GCTGCGCCGCTTCACGAACGTCCGGATGGTCAGAGGCCAGTGATTCGACGATTGCATCCGACAAGACACGGGTATCGATGGTCAGCGGGCCCTCGCCCGCCTTGGGGTCAAAGGGGTTGTAGTTGCGCTTGAGATCGATGAGGGACCTTCCCACTTCAATGAGGACAAAGTGCCGACACACATCGAGGAGGAAGGCACTGGATTCCTGCTTCACATCCGGTATGGACTGCGAGAACATGACGGCCTTGAGCAGCCTCTTGGTGACTTTGTCCTGCTCGTCCTTCTTCGGTATAGACTTGTCGCGGCTCGAGACCTCAAACGGCGCAAAGTTGATGTCCATCTTGCGATTGAGGAAATCCTGTGCCTGGAGCCTGACAATCCTGGGGTAGTCTTCTGGCAGCTGATCGAACCCGATGCGAAGCTTCAGCTGGGTCTTGATGAAATGGATGGCCTGCTTCTTGTAGTAGTCGTCATACTGTCGAGTCTGGGCATTGAGCTTGTTGTGCCGCGGCACCTCCATCAGCTTCTGTATCGCGAGATCAATGCCCAGGTCGGCTGGGAAGGCTCTGTCCTTCTTGGACCCAATGAGCCGTAGATCGAAGCTCGAGGCATCATCGGCATAGTTGGTGTATGTGAGAGGAACCGCGCCCGTCATGAACTTGCGATTTCTACCCCCTAGCTTTCCCAGAATGCGCATGGTGGTATGCGCATGGAAGTGGCTGTAGGGATGGGGTTTGAGATGATCGAAGAGGGCGGTCATCAGCTCATCGATGACAGGTGCCATTATGGGATCCAGATAGTCCGCTGTCAAGTTATCAACACAAAGCTCCAGAGTTCTCAATCCCTGGCCGACAAGATCTGTTCCGGCCCGCAAAGCCACAACCAAGGGACGCATGAGAAAGCTCAAATGCGGCAGCAGATGGCTGAGACGAGCTGGAACAGTGAGGCAGAGCTCAACGTAGAGATCTCGCTCTGAAGGCTTCCGCGCAGCCATTAGAAGATTGTTCAGGACATCCAGAAGCATCTCCAGCAACGGCAAGATCTGTTTGTAGAGCTGCTCAAATTTTCCACCGCCAATGCTTCTAAAGAGGGATCGTAGGAGCAGGAAGTAGTTCATGGGCTCCTCCGCTTTGGTAGACAGCTCAATGGATTTCGTGACGATGTTGACCACGTGGGGCAGCAAAACCTGCTCATTCTGCGTGGCAAACAAAGTGACTGCCATAAATGCCAGCTTGAAAAGCCGCAGCAGAATGGAGGATTTCTTCACGTCCGCTGAGCCAACTTCGTCGATCCGCTCCATCAAAAACTGCAGGAGCATGCCGCAGAAACTCGGGGACGTCGCCTCGCTGGCAAGGAAGAACTGAGGGATATGGAGGAGAGCGGTATGCTCGAAGATCATGTCGTAAAGGTGCGGGATCTCTTGCTGAAAGACCTCGTGGAAGGTGGCCGGGTCGATGCAATGGAAGACCGTGGCAAACGTCTCGAGAAGATCTTTTTCCTCCTTGCTGCTCGAGACCATGTAGAAGTTGGCCATATACTCGACAGGCGAGACGTACTGATTCTCGGTGGCGGGCTTCTCTATCTCATAGTACCTAAAGACATACGCGCCCTCCCGGAACAGCTTGATAATGACATTGACCTCTTCGGCCGTGAAGCCGTAAGCAACCTCTTGCCAGTGTGGCGGCGCATTCTGAGGGTCAATCGGCGTCCCAATGTTACATGTCCTCAGCTGATAGAAGGTGTTCTTGAGCCCATTCATCAAATTTCTGAAAAGAAACTTGTTGTCCCCAACCGGGTCAGCTCCCCTATCTCTTGGATTGGAGATCTTGATGGGCACTGCTGAAAAGATGTCCGTTTCGTCCCAGTCCGGCGGGTGCTCCTTATCGGCAAGGTATGTTTCGGGGGCGCCAGCCTCGGCCTGCTGGTGATAGAGCTTGGAAAGCTTGACAGCGTTCGGGTATTGCCGATTCATGGCGGCGAACTTGTCTCCAATCGCGTTGAGAATCATCATGAGATAATGCCTTGCGTCCACCTTGTTCGGAAGCTTCGCGATGCACTCAGCCATGTTGAGAAGCAGTTTCGCGCTCATGGTCTGGAAACTGGTGCCGGGAAAGTTGTCCTGGAGATTTCTTGTATACACCTCCACTGTCTTGCGAATCTGCTCCGGAGTCAATGAGTCGCGGACATGGTGAATCAGATCTGCCAACATGCTGTACGCCAAAGGCCGCATCGTCTCGTAAACAGTCAAACCGTCTCCCGTCAATGTGCGCTCATCCAGGAGTTCGTCGATTTTGGGGAGAAAGATCTTTCGGAAATTATAGTTAATAATGTGCCGAATCGCAATGAGGAGCTCCTTTCTCGTGCCCGATTTCTCCCGCGGGCAGTCTTTGAGCAATCGAATCACTATATCGGGTAATAAGTGTAGGAAGTCCTTGAGCTGAGAGGCGTATTGGCGGAGGAGATAGGCTAAGAAGCTCATGGTCTTGATCTGGGCGGTGATGAAATCGCCAAACGCGGCACGGTTCTTGATCCCTGGGCTCACACCCGTGTGAATGTCGCCCCTGGCAGCAGCCTCCTCGTGGGCCTGCTTCTGAGCGCTTGCTTGGAGTGACAGGAAGCCCTTGATAAGCGGCACAAACCTAGGCACATTAAGCTGCACAGTGTTGCGGTAGACTTGAAAGATGGAGACGACGATGATTGGGCATTCCGAAAGGACCTTGAAGGATTGCATTCCCTTGAGAAGCGGTCGATTCTGCTGCTGTGGATCAGCGCCAAGCTCAGTCACTGAGGCTACCGGAGAGCCTGGCCGAGGCGACTGGAAGTTGGCTTGTGTGCTGCCTGGTGTTGACGGTGCACCAGGCTGGGGATTCGGGGCGAGAGACGCATTGTCGAGCTGCTCGTGGACGACCCTCTCCATCTGGTCAAAGAGCTCCTGGATGAGGGTCAGGAAAGGCTGGACCTTGCTCTGTAAGGTCTGATGCTGATGCCGCATGATGTCGGATATGATCTTGACGCATAGCGTTGCGTTATCTTCGTTGTCGGTTCGAACTAACTGCATGAGCAGATCGACAATTTCCTCGGCGTAAGGCTTGAACGGCTCGGGAGGCGACATGCCAGTCGGGAGTCGGTGAAGCACCTCGAGGATGCAGTTGCGGAGTTTCTACCATCAACCGTCAGCTACACTTGGTCCCAAATCATCAAATCATCCCACAAGACCCTTACCTGCTCCGGGGAGTTGCTTTGGAAGATGCATGGTCCACGCAGAATGTTGATGAAGATGGGCATCAGCCGTCTCAAGAAGGGCTCGTAGATGGGGCCAGTGGTGTAGGCGTCCAGGCTGTCGCGCAAGGTGGTCGCGGCTTCCACCTTGAGTCGGGTCTCTGTTGATCAACAGCAGGTTAGCATGGGGAGATGGGGGTTGAGGCATGCGACAGGACGGAGGCGGCGTTGGCAAGGGACAGCGGAGGGGCGGCGGCGGCATCTTCGTACCTATATCCGAGGTGCTGAGTCGCTTTACGACATCGTCAATAGTAGTTCCCGACATGGCTGCATTATTGGCGTCCGCGAGACGCAGCTCTGGCTTCCATCCGCGGAAGCGATGGCGAGGCGATGCCGGGGACGTCGATTCGCAGCAAGGCTGAGGACGGGGCGGGACCAGGACGCGCCGCGAGAGCTCACGAAAGCGCTGCGGGACGCAATAAAGCTGCGTTCAAGGCAAGCCCCAAGTAAGAAATGCCACCTGAGGCGATGCAATACTGCCAGAGGGTCGCTGCGCAGGTAAGGATAGGCGTCTGCGCGGAGGTGGTGGTGGAGAGGCGACCGCAGGAGATGGGGGTTTCGCAGCCTTGGGCGGCTCAGTCTCAGTTTGCGAATCGAAGCTTGAACCGTGACGCCCGTGAATTTTCCAGACTTCGAGCAGAACTGGGCACCGTCGTCGCCAAAACCAATTGCGCTAGGCGGCGTGTCAATGATTTTCCGGGGCGCTAGCCCATGCGCACGCCTCTTATCGGCGGTGTGAATCTAGCCCTATCTTATCGATAGGGTTCTAGCGCCGGATCGGGAGCTTTTGCGTTTGATCGTACCAGCTTCGAGCCCCATTCAGAATCACTTTCTGTTCAAGAACCTTGAAGCTATTAATATGCCATGACCATCATGATCATCAACATATTGCATCCTACCTGAGTACATACATAAGTGGTAGGCCTGTAGGCATCCGGTGGACTTGATTCACCCGAATAGCACTACCTTCCATCAAGCCCCGCGTAGCAGCCCAGCTAGACAACTTCTGAGGTCACAGAAGTCACAGAAGTCTGACTCTGACATCCGGCCTCAAGTGCCGTTATCTCTCTTCGTCTCTTCTAATTTCTCATTGCCGCCTCTCATCTTCTTATCTGTTCAGATCTCACCTCTGCAAATTTTTTGTGCCTTAACTGTCGAGTTGACAAAGTCAAATTCCTGATCGGTCTCGATCACCGTCGGAGTAATCCAGGGTTCATGCTGTCGCGCTCTGTGAACAAAGAGAAGCTCCGGAACCCCACCACTGGGAAGCTATCGAAACGGCGGGGAAGTCTTCGAGCACAGCCGAGGAGATAACAAAGAAAGCCGACATCAATCAGACAACAAAGCGACTCTTTTCTCGGAATTCTTTCAGTTTTCATTCTAGATTATTTCTATAAAGCCAGCATCGCGTCCACCGCCTTGATTGCTCTTCTTGTGCCCAGGTCAACATTGAAAAGCCAACTCTCGAGTGCCATCCTAACCTAGACCGCTGAAAGTCCGATAGCGGCAACGAGCAACGCAAAGCAACCACTCACAATAATAATTACAAGATGAGTGGTGAATACGCAGCTTTCTTCTATGGTGAGTACCAGATCTCTTGCTTTGAACTTTTCTGGACTTTCTGGGCTATTTGACTAACATAACCGGTGATATTGTAGGCACCTTGGTAAAGAACTCATTCAACCCACAGACGCTGACAGGAAGGACACTGACTGCAGCAGATGGCACCAGAGGTCTTCTTCAGCGTTTGCTACGCGGACAAGCAGCCTCCAAAGGCAATCCAAGACTTGCACACCTTCACCCCAGCCATTCTCGATGGCTACTGCCGCCACAGGGTTCAATATGCAGACTATCCCGCCATTGTCGAAGAGCCAGGCCACTGCGTGCGAGGCATGTACGCGACTGGATTGACTGACGCAAACATTCACAAGCTGGACATCTTTGAGGGTGATGAGTATAAGCGGATCAAGGTCAAGGTCAAGCTCCTGAAGATGGAGGACGGAAAGGAAGTTGAGGGAGAGGTCAAGGAGGCGGACGTTTACGTCTTTCTCAACCCCGACCAGCTTGAGAAGCGTGAATGGGACTTTGAAGAGTTCCGCGAGCAGAGGATGAAGCTGTGGACCCGAGGTGACTGGGCGTTCTCAGAAGGTAACTCCTTGAGCTGCTATTACTACGCCCCTTCTGAGAGATCCACGTTTACTGATTTGCAGATGTAGAGGAGAAGGCAGTTGTTGAAAACAACCTGAATCCTTGAGCATCGTACGCTGAGCGACTACACATCAGGTGTGGGCGTACGTCGGATGATCATCATTCGAGTGGTAGACTGATGGATAGACGAACCTTGTCAAGACTCTGGATTCTTGGCGTGTCATATAGAGGAAGACAATGATAGATCCGGACTCTTCTCCAAGATTTGCAGGGATTATAGCCTTGTCCCTCCTGTGCTAACATGACAGGATGGACAATTGCTGTGTACCTACTATGATCTAACAATCGCGCCGTTTCAGATGCCCGAAGTAAGAATCCCGGGTTACGTTTCTCCATACGCTTCTCAATACGCTTCTCATATCAAGCCTTGCACATTGTCGTATATTGCGAACATGGGTAGTTATGAAAGGAACAAAACTTTACCTGATTTTCATATGTTATTCACTGGGACAATCCAGCATCAAGCTCTTACTTTTCGGGTTGTATTCAATGCTGTATCGGTACGGCATCAACGCTCAACAGACATCGACTTCAAATGGCTTGACTACAATGCTGGAAACCGTTCTGTTGTGCGCTTGCTTGTTGCAGCTCGTTGACTCATCTTGCTTACTTTCTATAGAGCTTCTTCTCTCTTCAAATGGCTATATCATTGCGTAATATATATATATATATATATATATATATATCCGACTAGAATTGACGATGGTTTGTTTGTCACAGGCCAGCAAGGCAATCTTCCAGAAACGCACACCATTGCCGAATCAAGAAGGTAGACGGTAGCACCGGAAAAAAGAGCATTTCGGACCTGATACCGAGGTAGCTCGAAGTCTATGACCTGCTGTAAGCGGCGTAATGCTCAAAGAAGCTTAAATGTATATTAATTGAGATTGCGAGGGTGGAATGGTTATTGTGGCTTCGGAGCGATGGGTCTGCCGCTGAGGCGTTGATAGGATAGCCAAAGTATTGTAATGTCCGGATGCAACTTGTGATGAATTCTCGAGCCGAAAAGAGAAGCCTCAGCCGACAGCCTCATCAATAGTCAGTATGAAAGAGGAGCCTGTTGTGTGTCGTTGCGATATTACTGAGCCCGCGGCCAAGGAGGGACCACAGCATTGATTGGAGCCGCAGGGCCATGCCAAGCACAGGGGCTTCTGGCATTGAGCAATCACAGAGATTCATGCGGTGGTTCCGCAGAATTTGAGCCTGTCGGAACCGACGTCCCAGCAATTTCGATTTCTTAGACTTCATCATATTGAGCCGTCTTGGCTGTTGTGTAATTGAGTGTCTGTTTTCCTTTTGTAGGATAATATGGCATTAGTTAAGAATCTCGGTTGGATAAGAGGTCCATGTTGGTGTTTTCACATGTGAGTGCTGGTACGTTACCATCAATGTAACCAGACCAGGTAGACTTTGATCCACGAGAGTGGTTACATCCAAGCGACAAGCACTGTAGTACCCACGGCAGCAACCCGACGCAGTTCTGCTTAGCTAATGCAGTCTTCAAGCATGTACAGTAATATCTGATGAGTACCTATCATGAGTGAGTCCAACACAGTGATATCACAACAGCTTCAACGTCAAGCGCCAGACACACGCGCACGCTCCTCCGGCTCCAGCAGAGCCTCAGGCGGCTATTGAAGCACAGATGCGCCACTAGGATCTGGAGCTATCGAACTGGGTAGGCGCTACGGACCGCTATAGGCTCAACAGCTTCTTAGTTGTTGGCTTGGAAGCTAGAAGGAAGGTGCAGCTTGGACCTGACGCACCGAGTTGCCGTTGGGCAGGCACCAAATACGTCAGAGCCTTGTGCGGTACCTTACTAAGGTATTCCGTACTTAGATACCTACCTAGGTACTTAGTACCTGAGCTGAGAGCCTCGAGGCGGTGAGGAAGCCGGGCTGCAACATCACCAACCAACCCGCTCGCTCACCCTCAGGCGTCAACTTCGGGGCATCGACAAGGCTTCAACGGCTCCGACTGGTCTGCAGCTCGTCGACTTGCTCAAGCCTCAGCGCCTATGACATTCACACTAGCCGTCGAAACGAAACGAAAAAGCCCAAACGACCTGCAGCCATCACCGCTAGCCTGCTGCGAATCCGCGTCCGGTGCCAGATTTGGCGCCCTGCGATTCAGCCCGTTCGCCGCCATTACGCACCGTCAGTCAAGGATCATCCCTATCCGGCTTGCTGTTGTCGTCTGCGATGTCCGGGATACGGTAGAGATGACTGGCAGAAGCGTCCAAGTCGATGGAAGACGGCATCGGCCCAAGCCAGATCGAGACAAGGCACGGAAAAGAAGCTGCTGACCATGAAACGAGCCTTTGTTTCACCAGAAGTCGATTCAACCCCACGGCAAGAGAGGCTAGTTCTGCATAGGTAACCCTGCTGATGAGGTATTAGACACCCCTGCCGCCAGCCCCCCCTGACCCTGCATTCCCAGGGACGAGGTCTGAGAAGAAGTTTTCCTCTTCCAGCGTCGCATTGAGATCTGATGGAGGGACGACTGTTCGCACAGAGACATTTCCGTGTTATTGAATACGCGTCTTTTTCCTTGTGGCGTGGGATGGCATGTCAGAGCGTAGACATGTACCGACGCTGCGACACGATGCATTTTACGAGTACGACGCGTACACACCACTGCCACCTGCACAGTGACCACGAAGTGGCGAGCGCCCCTTTGCCTCGTTCAGTGCGGCAGTGCAGCCTCGGCTGGCAGTTGCCGGACTTCACGACTATGATCTCCAGCGCAAGGGAAAAGGCATGAGAAACACCGACATGCTGGTGTCCATGCCCTGCCATGGGACTCCAAGCAGTCCATAGAGCACGCAACGATGTTAAACCGAACGTCCCAAGAGCCAGCATCGTCGAACAAGCAATTGCCTTCGGACCAACAGAGCATTACATTTCGGGCCGCGGCCGATCCCAATCTGTGTATCCTGGCCGTTTGGCTGGCCAAAATCCCCGTGCACCGTCTCCACATCCCAGGCTCTCTGGAATACTACTAGCAGTATTTCCAGCAACCTCGCAGGTCGCAGCTCAGCAAAACAGTCAAGATGGGAGCATGAAACGCAGCAATATCGCTTTCGTCTCTCTCTTCGTCATTCCTGGCCATTGGCGGTTAACGCATGAAGCCGCATTCTTGACGCGATGCCGACTTCCGCGCACCATCCCAGTGATTGGAGGCAACTGCTCGTTTCTCACACGAGGATAGACGCACGTACTCCGTACTGCATGCTTTGAACAAGTGACATTCCTCGGTTTGGTCAGCTTTGCCTTTGGTGCATCCAACCCCTGAGGCTCACATCCCCGCTACCGAAGCAAATGTGTGTGGCAAGACGGCTTACAAGTCTGCCTCGTTTACGCCAGAAGCTCAGTTTGTTCTTGCAGCTGCAGTAGCTCAGGGACGCGGTGCATCCCCCTCGGCGCCAGCGCAAGACAGCAAACGCGGTACACCGGATACTACTATCACCAACTGTTTTCCTGGATGCTGGCGGCTGATGCAGGAGGAACCTGGCGCCTAAGCAGCTTCAGCCGTCTTTGCCGGAGCACATGGAGATCCATGGTGCGAGCTGTCCTCACTGGTTTTCTCTATGCCATGGCTTGGCATGGCGTGGCCAATTGTGAACGTAAGACCGGGGAGAGCGTGACGGCTGTGGAGCCTACCAATGGGCTACGAGGTGCAGTCTCGTGCTATCGTTTGGTGGCCTCCGAGAATATCTGAACCCAAGGGTTCGGCTCGGCCCAATTGGCGGCCATGGTGTCACGATGCGTCCAGCAGGTACAAGGACGAGTACCAGCGCGGGCAGGGTAGCATTCTGGACTGGGCTCTCCCCCCGCAATCGAAGGTGCCTACGTCTTACTCGTTTCCAAATGCTACCTTGACTGTTCTACGACGCCGGTCAGGCCGCGCCGAACTCACAAGAAAACGCACTTGCAATCCTTCAAGCAGGCCTCCATATTCAAACACGGCTCGAATGATTGCTCAAGGGACTTGGAATAATATTCCTAGTCTGGAGATCAGGCCGTGGCAAGATTGGTCCACCTCGCGCATAATCCAACCCACGGACCACAGACCAGAGGACGTCTGACCCCTGTCCGGGACAAACCCGGTGCACATTCCTGCCCGCGGTATGTGCTAGCCACAGCGTCGCATTGAGCAGCAGGTGGTGGCAAACTTGCTTGTGAAGGATGAGGAAAGCAGAGGAAGAGAGAATGAGAGAGGCCACGCAAAGGTTATCCAGGGGGTTCGACTTTGGCTGATGCTAGCTCTACTTGGCTTCTGGGGTCTTCGGCTGATGCCCACTCTCCTCCGTCCACTTCGGGCGCTGCTCTCGAGATTCTGAAACGACGACTCCAGCCTATCACTGCGCCCCCAAGGGCACTCCCTTCGATGGCAAGCCCGCACTAGTGGTCCGCCGTGCCCCCAAGCCGCGAGATATTCAGCCCGCATCTGTGCTCTACTGGACAGGAACCCCCTTTCCCCGAGGGTCTGCTTCTCCGTGAGCGTTCCCGCCGCCGCTGCTGGAGCGCAACATGCGAGCCATCCCATGTCCCTGTCTGGGCCCCGTCCCCTGCCTCGCCAATGACTCCTTCGTCGCTCTGTTCCTGCAGCTACATCGGGCAACCCTTGCTTGCTTTGTGCTAGTCATGATCTAGGGGTACGGCTGCTTGGACCAGTTCTCCTCCACCGTGCCATTATGCGGCACGCAATGTATAAGATGAAGGTCTCATCCCAACCTTGCCCTGGGTTTCTCTTGTTCCAGACATCTCCAGTCGCCCAGTCCTTCCTTCAAAGTGGTCGTCGTCAAGACTCACTCTCCTTCATTCTTACGCGAGGCTAGTCCTTGTTTTTGTTCTTCATTTTACTTGCTCCATCTCTCAAGCCTTCATTTGCATACGCCAGCCTGGTTGCTCGCTATCCAACCCTGAAGCCTTTCAAAACTCTGAAAAAAAGGGAGCAATAAGAATCTGTGATATCTTTTATATCACGTTTCCGAGTTCTCAAGCATTCTTTTCCATCTTGACGACAACATACACCACTCCAGCACTCGAGCCTTCTTCGTCTGGTACGATTTAGACTCTGCTATCATCTATACCCTCTTTTCAAAATGTTCTCCAAGCTTTTCACCATCACTGCGCTGGCTACGGCCGCCAGTGCCCACATGAAGATGTCCAACCCAGTACCCTACGGCAAGTCAACTCTGGACAACGCTCCTCTTGATCTCAGCGGCTCCGATTTCCCCTGCAAGATTGGAAGCACTGGCTCCTACAACCTCGAGGGTGCCAGCAACGTCTATGCCCAGGGCAGTACCCAGCAGCTCGCCTTCATTGGAAGCGCTGTTCACGGCGGTGGTTCTTGCCAGGTCTCCGTCACTACTGATGCCCAGCCCGACAAGAACTCCGTCTGGAAGGTTATTAAGTCCATCGAGGGTGGCTGCCCTGCGCAAGACCAGGCCGGCAACATGGGTGATGACGCCGCCGCCATCGACCCCTACAAGTACGACTTCACCATTCCCAAGGAGTTGGAGGCTGGCAACTATACACTCGCCTGGACTTGGTTCAACAAGGTCGGCAACCGTGAGATGTACATGAACTGTGCTCCCCTGACCGTCACTGGATCAGGCGGCTCTTCGGGCTTCCTCGACACTCTGCCCGACATGTTCCGGGCCAACATCTTCGGTGCCGGTGATGACAAGTGTTCGACCTTCCCCGACACTGACCTTGAATTCCCCGAGCCTGGTTCGGATGTCGTCAAGCTGAATGGAGCAACGAACGCCTTTAAGGGCCCTGCCAACCCAACTGCTTGCCCGGTCGCTAATGGCAGCGGCGGTGGACAAGCCCCTGCTCCCACTTCTGCTCCCCAGCCGACCGCTGTCCCGGCCCAACCTTCATCGAGCGTCCCCGGCGGCGTTTTCATTACCAAGCCCATTGGTGGACAAGACCCAGCTACCCAGCCTGCTGCGCCTCAGCCTACGGCCGCTTCGCCTGCTTCCCCTCAGCCTCCGGCTTCTCAGCCTGCCGCCGCCCAGCCCGCAGTCACCTCGGCTCCGAGTGTCAACTTGCCTGTGCAGTCCCAGGCCCCCGCTGCCACACCTTCCGCTGCCCCTGCCCCTGCCTCTCCTCCCAGCTCCGGCTCCGGCTCCGGCTCAAGCGGTGCTTTTGCTGCCGGAACTGCCTGCTCCTCTGAGGGCGAGTGGAACTGCGTCGGCGGAAGCCAGTTCCAGCGATGTGCCAGCGGCACCTGGTCTGCTGTTCAGTCTCTGGCTGCTGGCACTGAGTGCCAGTCCGGACAGGCTGATAACCTCAAGATGGTTACCAAGCGAGGCAAGAGGTCGATGCGCCGCGCTAAGCGTGCGTAAGTGTGCGTGATGCACTGCGTTGCTTTTGTTTCTTTCATCCGCGTGCGCACATGGAAGCGAGGCCTCTTTCAAAATTTTAGGGGAGTTGAGATTGCTTCGGTTGGCGATTCGTTGGGTTTCCTTGTCTTGCATGTCGTTTGTGACACCGGCTGATTTTGGATACGGTTTGGTGATTCTTCTTCAAAGCTTGTACATTACTTCACTCTTTCTTTTTCTTTTGCTTCGTTTCCTTCCAGGTTTTCTAGAAGATGGATTGGGTTGACATCTTTTCTCTCACTTTATGATACCGCATATATATAGATACCCCAATCGCGAGAGGGGAAGACATTATCAAAAATACAAACATGTCGGGCATACATATACATACTTTATACATTGTACCTTGCTCGAGTGAGGTGACTGAGTGCTGAGCGGGACTATGCCGGGTTTGCCTATGATGATATTGTCCTTGTTGAGATGTAAGTGGGATCACGTCTCTGACCCAAGACTGGACAATGTAAAGTCTGAATTTGTAACGTCGTGAGCTCGGGTATATCCTAGTTCTCCTCCCTCCTCCTCTCTTCTGGGCTTTATGCTTCTTCAGCTTCTTCTAGATTCTATCTACTTGCTCACAGCCAATTATCATTCTCATGTTTTGACGCCGTCTTCAGACGCAAGACCCTCTTCTTCAAGAACCCAGAACCCTGCCTCGTGTCCCCCCTTTCCAGCGAAGTCGGATTCACCGGCACCACCCGATCCGCGTAGTCGATGCCGATATGCGCCTTTCCATCACTACCGACAAATCGCCCAAAGCTGTACTTTGGAACCACTTCGCCATCCTTGGCCACATCCTCTTCGCCCTCGCCCTCGCCCTCGTACTCTCGTGTCAGTTTGCTCGGCGCAATGTACGCCACCAAAGACCCTATGTTGGTGGGCATGCGCGGGAGGAAAAATGTGACGCCGCAGCCATAGAAGAAGAAGACCATGATGATGTAGAGGCTGAGGATGGTGGTGCTCGTGATGAATGCGGTCGTCGACACAAAGATGCGTGTTTCGGTAACGGTGCGGTTTCCCATCACAGTGGTTCCGTTCTCTGCGTCGACAAAGACGTCCTGGTGTAGCGTGACCATCATTGCAAAGATCCGTTTGTAGACGTCTGACACGATAGGGAGGAACTGCTCCGGGTCGGGCGTCGGCTTCGTGGGATCCAGAAAGTCCGAGTTGCCGCTGTATAGTTTAAGTAGGTACATGAACCAGGTGTACGAAACGTCGTCGGAATGCCATCCCTCAGAATCGTCGTAGCCCTGAAAACCATTGTTGATATCGTTGATGATCGGTGGATAAGTAAACGAGCTCGGATATGGGATTGAGGACGTGAAGTTGCTAATGGGCGTTGCATTTCTGATGTATCCCTCGCTGTCGAACACGACCCGAAAATCGGCAACTTTGTAAACCGGCTTGCACACGACAAGAGACGTGTTCATCACACCCGTCTTGTTCTTGATATCCGCTCGGGACCATCCCACCAGGAATGAGTTATCGCACTCATTTACAAAGTCGTTGAAGACATCCTTGCCCGGTCTCATGGTGTTGGCAACCTCTGCTGCGGCTCGCCCTTCAGGTACCTTGTAGTCCGTTTTGTTGAACGATAGGGTTGCAATGGAATACTCCTTGGCGCAGCCTTTCGGCGGAGGATCGGTTCGACCGAAACTCGTGTTCACCGTTGGCGGCTCGTTTTCTGTGACTATCGTGCCCATGGATATACACGAAGGATCTACACCGAATCCGGTTGTTGTGACAGTGTATAGGTCGTTTCCTGAAGGGGTCTCGGATGTGATGTTGACAGGGAGGTAGGTAAACTCGGCCGTGGTCCATGGCGGTAAAGGGGCTCCAGAGGACCAGTTTGCCATGAGCGTGTACATAGGATCTTCGTAATTATCGGGCAGACCCGCGATCCATTTTGAAGTGACGTTTTGCACACCCGTTTGATCGAATTTTGCCTGCTTCACAGGTGTCATCACGACGGGATACACTTTCTGTGTGGGACTGTCATTAAATATGGCGCCCAGCCCGACTGCTAGAACATTTGCTAATAGAGCAATGATGCAAATAGACCCTAGAAGGAGATGCCCGGATCGAAAGGCTCGCCAAAGAGCAAGCTGCGGCGGTAACGCGGTGTATCGAGCGTCAATCGTTCGCTTGGCGGTCCCGCGTCCAGATGTAAGGTCGTAAAATGGCTGCAAGAGGCACAAATATCGGTTGAGCATGACCCAGAACGGTTCGACCACTGTTGAGAATATAGTGGGAAGGTAGCTCGTCAGCAGCTGGTTGACTTCAAAATTCGTCGAAGGGCGGACAAGTCCTAGATGTAGCGAATCAGTTTTTACTCTCTCATACATTGTCATACATTGGTATTCTCCAGGTCGCTGTGTTCGTACTTACCTCCTAGAACGGTATCCTGATGCTGCAGATACGAGACAACAGCGACAGCAGCGCATAGGCACACTGCAAATGCGATTCCGACAACTTTGCGTAGAGCAAATGGCTTGATGGGCAGATAATGACCTATTTGATCCGATCCAGCTCGGCCGGAGTTCGCTTCTGACGGCCCTGTCTGCGCTTGGATAGGGACGTCCAGCAGCTCAAGCCTCGTCACCCCAGAGGCGTCTTGACATTGGCACGATAGCTTGAACGTGCAGTCGCCAAGCTGCTCCTTCAGCTGCTCAGCAGTCAGATTCCCCTTGCCGCTGAACTTGTTGAGCAGACACGGGCTCTTCTGAATCAGAGAAATCAGGGAGCCCAAGGATGCCGGATCCGATAATAGCAGGGTTGGGTTTCTATGACAGACCCATAACAAGACCAATGTGAGCACGGCCACAAAAGCAAGGCCCCCTTCCACCAGAGCCGTAAAGACGCGGCTGACGAGGATGCCGTATTTCACCAGGTAGACGTTTCCTTCAGTCGCGACTGTATTCGTGCTGTTCACAAGCATCGTGTGAAAAGCTACAGAGAACATGACCTTGTGCGCTAAACGGTACGAATCGCCCAGCACGGTCGTGTTATAGTATGAATCGATGGAGTAGTTGTGCAGACCCATCATGACTCCCACCATAGGCCAAAATGGATAAGACAGCCCAAATGGATCCAGGCGAGTGTCCAGATCGAGGAGGTGTGTGAACGGATGGTCCCTAGGCACCTCGACTGATGACATCCCGTTTGCAACAAGGTATTCGAAGGCCGAGCTGTTGAACTCCGTCACCGGGAGAACCTCTGGTGGTGATAAGGCTGTGATCTGCTCATCAACGGGGACATATCCAGGCATCTGGACCATAGCTGACACATTCTGCTTATAGTAGGACGTTTCGCAGAAAACCGCAGTCATATTGGCTGGGCCACTGGATCCATGCTCCCAGTGGCCCCATGTTCCGAGAAATTGGTTGAATGCTTCTTTTGAACAGGTCCAGCTAAGTGCAACTTCTCCCCAGGCACTGTCTTGGTAGCCAACGTACAGCATCTGGTAGTCAGAAATGGTGGGCGAGCCGGGGGAGGCAACAATGCTGGATGCATTGCAACCCATACCGTTGATGAAGTTGTATGTGCCTCCAGCCACCCACTCTACTTCAGCTGGCCAGCACTTCAAGTCCGTCCAGTATTTCGTAGTAGTGCCGGTGAAATTGGCTATATTGCCTTCAACAGGCTCACCAGGTTGAAAGGGCATCAGTGTATAATCGGAGGTCGTGAAGGCGGGATAGGGGCGCTCCAACCAGGCCATTCCGTACCCAGAGTTCATCACTGATTGATCCATGTATGTGGCTTGCGTCAACGAATCCATGAACACGGACGGTGCTGACATGGCGACGGTTTTATTCATCAGCACGGGGCCAGTTCCTAGACAGGAACTCTGAAGGGGTGTGATCATCCAAAAGATGATAACCATGACGGTTCCCGAGTAGAACACTGCCCAGTGCCTGGTAATTTTCTATTTAGTAGATGGCTCTGACTTATGCATGTGCACTGGGGATGTTGGTATAATACCTTTGTTTCGCAGCCTTGAAAGGAACGAAGGCTACAAAGTCCACGGGATAATCTAGAAAGACTGATTTCCGGCCAGTTGCACCATCTGGCTTGGACACTTCTGTCCAGGGCTGCATACGCTTGATGTCTAGATCAATCCAGTTCCACACCAGACTGTATAGTACCGCGATGATGGTGGGGAGGTAGAGGTAGGTGAGATTGACAGCGGAGGGTATGTCGTCGGCATCGTCAACCAGCGATAGGCCGCCGAACTTCTGGCTTCTCTGTGCAAGGACTTCGAGTAGGACAATAATAATAACAGACGAGATGACGAACGAGATCAGGACAGGAGCCTTCATCGTACTCGGCTTCCAGCCATGTCCGCAGGAAGGAGAAGCATCGCCAACTGGGATTCCGGTGAGCATTTTTTCCGCCGTGATTGGCCGTGGCTCTCATATATCACTGACCCCTCCTTGATCTCCTCCACCTGGCCATCCATCCGGGAGACAATAACTTCTTTTTCGGCTCACTTTGCACATGATTTGTGTATGTGAAGTCGTTTGCTGTTGGCCGCCCTACACCCGTCGAGGGCGATAGGGGCTCAAGCTCAGCTCGAGTCGCCATTATTCGAACCGATTCCGTCGTGTATCTTTAAACAAAAGGCGCCGGAAAGGGGGACTGCAATCTTTGAGAACTGGCAAGAAACGATAGTAGAGGAAGAGACCGCAGAAACAAACTAAGGAAGAAGAACAGAGAAACGGATCGATAATAAAGGAACTGCACCGCTGGGGTATCCGAGAAACCAAACAACTGAAGAAAACACAAAAGAAAAGGAAAGGAAACCTGATGAGAGATAGAGCAAAAAGGCTGAAGCCCAACCACGGGGCGCATCTTGCATATTAAATGCTCGATGGAGGCCCCCATCTGATACAACCCAGGAGACGAATCTGCAACCCGTGAAGATAGCTTAATCCAACAACCAACAGCAGATATACTCCCGCCTCTAACACTCAGTCACCTCGTCCTCCGCATCAGGCTGTTACCACCACATCTCCCAAACCTGTTGGTTCCCAGCTCAGCCCGGCTCGGCTCACACACCCCTTGCTGGCAGACAACATGGTAGCTTGAAACCCGGCCAATCTCCACCTGCAACGGCAGCGGTTTAAGCGCCGGCTTCTGCCTCACGCAGCCAATAGACGCGGATCTCGACGGGCAATAGCCGCATAAGCGGGCTGGCGGACCCGTTGAACTTGTCCTGGAAGGGAGGAGGGGGGAGCATCGCAAGGCTTTTTCGGCGTGTGAAGATTGCTGCTGTAGCATCGCTTAAGGGCGCAGAGGTGAAGTGCAAGGGAGGCGACAATTATAGCAGTAGTAGTAGTAGTCAAGAAGAAGAAATGATGGGAAAGGTTGAAGACGACGAGGCTGGCCTATGCCATTCCAGTCCTTGCCTGAGGCAACGAACCATGAAGAGGCTGACAAAGATTGACAATCGGAAGGAAGGACTCACATGAGGCGATACACGTTCGGGCAAGATCGTGTAACTTGCCAAATCGAGAGCTTCCTATTTAGGAAGGGCAGTGCATCTACTAGGTACCTCTTGTACGACGCGAACTACCAATTCTCTATCCTTTCACTGCCATTCACATTCTAATCTACTTACTATGGTTCTTTTTCGCATCTGAATTATACAATCTCTCAGTCGCTTGAGGCATGTCGGTAGCAATGTATCACATCTCGTAATGAAAATGATCTGCAACTCAGATCAACCATAAGCGCCCTGATCCCTGCCCAACAAGAGACCCATGGCGAAGAACGCTTACACGAGCAATCACAACTCCGCAATAAGTAAAGATACCCATTGTGACAATACAATTCTCACCAACAACATCGTTCAAAGCGTCATTTCTTTACCCTGTTCATCGAGTCCACAAACCTCGACCATGTGCTCAAACTGTTCCTTCATCTCTCTATAATACCGCACCACCTTCTTCAAACTGCTCTCAACAAGACTTCTCTGGTATTCACCATGCCCCAGCGCACTCACATCGATACCGAAGCTCTTCAATATGGCGCCCTGCTCGTCTGGTCGAAAACTACTAAGCTCCATTCCCATGACATCTTGACAAATCACGGCCACGATGGTCTTTTGAGCCTCATTAAAGACGTCCTCCATGTCCTTCATATACTGCTTGACTGGATGTATAATGTCAGTGCGGGTATCAACGGAGAATAGGCAAGCACTCACATTTCTTGATTGCTTCCACCTTCTCCGAAACACCGCCGTATGCTACCGCAGCCGCAACAGCCCCTACGCATAAGATTGCGGCAATCGTCCAGCCAAGAGGAGTCGAGGCCAACGTCCCATAGAGAATGGCTCCTCCGGTACCTACTCCTCCAACACCGGATGCTGCAGCCCCAATCGCGAGATGTCTAGGTGACAGCGCCCTCCTGTCATATTGCAGAAGCTGATCATCGAGGTACGGCCTCAGAAGATTGCTAGCCTTGGAGAGCATGATGCTGCCTGTACGGAGGTTCAGGCCAGTCATGTAAAGAAGTTGAGGAGTGGCGGCTAAGCGTGATTATGGTTAAGACTTCTAGGAGATCTAATGGGAACAAAGGGAGGAGAGTACTTACATATGCCCTTATCCAGTTTGACCGGACAGCTCAGGTCTGTTTTTGCCAGGTTGTCTAGTACGCCCGAGAGTTCGCTCTGGAACTCTTTAAAAGGAGCAACGGTCGGTATCCATTCGACTGGTGCTGCCGGCCGCTCAGCCGCCGTCTGGCCCGAGTTGGCCTCATACAAGAATCTCAACTGCGTCTCGTCAGACTGTCCGTTTGCCGAACAAGAGGTATCAATCGTACATTTTCAGCCATTGTAGCAAGAGGCTCGATGTTTTCGAGGCCGGTAGACCGCAAATTGAAGACAGTCTCGACATCGTGCGCGTGCATCAAGGAGAACTTGGGCTTCGTCTGCGTTTGGAAGAGCCGATACACGGAGAAGATTTCGACTACCTGGGATAGCATCGACAGTCCGTTATCAACTGTAGAAAGCCTTGTTAATGATATCAGCAACATCCTAGGTACATTAATGTGTGGAAGAAAGAAATTATACCGGCCCACAAGCTCGTCTATGTCTGTCACCTCAGGGGGTACCGATAGTTCGTCGACACGGATGCTGAGCTTATTGATGACGAAAAGCTGGCAATATCTTCCTCTATGGTCGGGTATCACATTACGAGCAACAAGGCTCATAGTATGAGGCTTTCTATTGATGCCGAGAAAGAACTTCAGGACCACGGCCGGAACGACACGCCTAAAGAGGTCTCGAACATGATTTTGAGCCCTGCCGTTGGGGTCGTAGTTGGTATACTCTGTGTGTTCGAAGTCGACCTTGAACAATGGTCAGCGGCGACGATTTCGATAGGGTCAGGTAGAACAGGGTCCTTGCCTGGATGGGAACAAAGTCGTCGCGATCAGCATCGCCATATGGCTCGACAACGTCAACCGTCCGCACATTCCAATTGACCGGTTGCGCCTCCTCGAATGCCTCGGCCAGATGCTCGTTCTTTTCCTGGCATCTGCCGTGACTGGAAAAGTACCATATTTCTAGTCGGACCAGAAGCTTGGGTGCTGCGCTGGAAATGTCATCGTAATTCGGCGGCGGTCCTTCCATTCCAAGGCGCAATCGTGTAGATGTCTCAAGTGCCAGATATTGGACGATGAAAATGGCCAGCGCTTGACTACCTAGCAGGAGTCCCTGTGTAAATGAAAGTCTCTAGAGTTGGTTTCAGGCAAAATCAGAGCGTACATTAACAAATTCAATGTCCATATCCTACATCTCCCATTATACTGACAATGGCGTGACATCGTTCCAGAGCACCACCAAAACTCTTCTCCCACGGGCTAACACACAGCCTTGCCTCGGCTCTCCTCCATGTTCAATCTCATCATACCCATATGGTCAAACGTCACGTCGCTGCATAGAACGTCTCTGATTGAGACCCAACCTATGTCTCCGAGGCGGGGTTTGCGCCAGCGGATTGGACATGATGCAAGGACGAACACGTAGCCGGGGATAACTGGCGAGGCTGCTGTACATGTATGCACTCAACTTACATGTATGCTGCGGGGTTGCGGCCAAAAGAACTGGCCAGGCTTGGCTCTTGAACTGCAACATCGTCTGACGAGATTCGGTACGTTCGGGCTGTACGTACTTGTATAGGTACAATTTCAACCTGCATGCCCTCGATCATACTGATGGGCTTCTGAATGCTCATCTATCCTTGCTTCTGCAAAGATCCCTCAGTTCCTACAACATCTTACGAAGACAATATTTGGTAATATACCGCCCTCAACATGCAAGGAGAACGTCCAGGAACAACATACGAGACGACCAATCTCATTCATTGCCCATCTCATGTTCCATGCGACACCGCAGCCTCATATGTATACACATCCCGCAACTATCATGAATTCGACGAAGCAGAAAACTGGATAGAACTCGAGTCAAAGACACGCTCCGTTCGTTATCACCTATCAGAATGCATCCAATACCAAAGCCGCCACGAAGACGCAGATATCGCAACTCTCATCGACGACCAATGTAAGTCAAGCCCTACATCTCCAAGGAAAGCACTGAGTTCAGGGCATTTGTAAACTTATCATAGAATGAACAGCAGAAGCAGAAGCAACATCTTCCCAGCAACGCAGTGATTATACCGTCACAAACGACAACGAAGCCACGTCCAGGAACCGCTGGCGTCTAAAAGTCGCCTCTGACATGGCTCTCTCCGGACTATCTGCCATGGAACATATCCTAGACATGCTACGAATCTACAGAAACGGCAGAGCAAGTGCCAGCATCTTCCGTGACCTCGCCAATTGGTCTGTCCCTCCCCCTCCCCTTCTCACTACATCACTTACGTCTTCCTTCACCATCCAAGAGAATATAGCTAAACAAGCAGGCCTCACAGGTTCTTCCTCATGTCCGCCTCCTACGCAATCCGCACCCTACACTACAGCCCCCCCATCGACACCACCGCCGATGCAACCCTCCTTGTGTCAGGTTGTCTCGCCCTACGCTCAACCTGCCAGCTCTTCCACATTGGCATCCGCAGCCTCGTCATCAACCGCTGCCAGAACATCGTCATCTCTCTGATGTTCCGCGTCCTCTCCGGCGATGTCGATCGTCAGGACGTCGAGTCGCTTCACGGTTACTGGTTCCGTGGATTGAGTATGTTTAGGGTTGAGGAGAGAATCAGCTTGCCTGTGGAGAGAGAGTTTCGGCCATCTTGTGGATATTTTGCTCAGAAACCGTTGCCTACTCCCGGATATGTCATTCCTGACGACAGTTGACAGCCGCCATGTCAATATTGCTTCTGCTTCAGCCCTCATTACCACTCAACCTCGACTAGGTAGATCCACCACAAACAAACCTGTAAACAAGCCATCAACAAGCCATCAGACAAACATCAAATACATAAAATAGCAAGCCAATGACCAAACTAACTAGCGGCAGCCTTTGATCCCGAACCGCCACCCGCTCATTGGCCCATACACTCCAAAGGTGTCCCCTCGTCAAGCCACTTTCACGCCACCAAGACATTCAACATCACCACAAGGCTTCAGTTTAGGTTCAATTGGAGATTAATCTTCCCATTCATCCTCGACTACTCTACTCATGGCAAGCCCGTGTTATCCTTCTCATTACCAGTAACAGTCCAATGCAGAATAAGCTCTCATATGATACACTGCAATAACAAACGCGTTGCTCATTCACAACAAGCCTCCCTCATCATGCCCAGCGGCAGCAAGACTGCATGGCCTCGGGCCACGCACGGTCCTTGCTCAACCAGTTACCACAAAGGAGAGAGGCAACAGTCCGTCTTCACATCGTATGCTGAATCCCTCTGCCGCTCTAATGCTCCGCCAAGCGCTGTACATCTTCAAGAAATAGGGTGTAGGAGAAGAAAAAGAAAAAGTCAAAAACGTAGGAAAAAAGGGGGGAGAACGAAGAGACGAAAACAAGCAGAATGCTTATGACGAGCCTCCAGCGGCCGCCATAACGCCACCAACGCCCAAAGTGTCTTTTTGTGAAAACGTAGAAATCGACGCGTAAACGGAGACCGCCCTTGTCATCGACGGGTCTACAGGAAACTTCAAGTCGTGCCATCATGTGGTGTGTGATATAACTCGGCAGCTCTCTTCATCTTGGCCGCCTCCGACTTCGTAATGCGAAGATCCGTCTAAATCTCAATGTCCTTCATGGTATCATCAATCACAACCTCGGGGGTTTTGCTGCTGACTTTGGGAGCCTCGACCTCCTTGCCCTTGTCCTTGGACAGGTCTGAGTCTGTCCGCTCCACGGTGGTCACCGTCGGACGCTTGGCTTCCTCGCTGTTTCGCGGGGACTCGTCATCCTCCACGTCAACCAGGGTGCTGGGATCAATGGTCGCGTCCGTCAGCTCAATCGTTGCCTCCTCTGTTACGCGGCTGAGAAGGGGCGCCTGGGGCTTGCCGAGACCGTTCCTCATGGGACTAGTAAGGGGAGCGGAATCGCGAAGTCGCTGCATCGAGCGGCCGCGGACGTCGCCCGTCGAGTCTGCGGGGTTCGCGTAGGGCGAGGCTGATCTGGAGCCGAGAGGCGAGTTGGTCTTGGAGGCAGTCTGCGAAGGTCCCTGGGACTGGCGTCGGGCTGCCGCCGCCCGGCGACCATGCTTCTGGTCCATTCTCCACCGGAGAATGTTGAAGTAAGAGGGCTCAACTCGCGCGTCCTTGAATTCTCGGAGTTTGAGCTCGTTAGTCTCCTCATCCACGAACCACTTGCCGCTGTTGAGGTCGTCGGCAACCACGGCGAGGAATGCGGCCCACGAGCGGGCAACCACATATTTGGTGTCGTAGTCGCGACCGAACAGGATGATCTGGCCGTATTTGCCAGCGGGTCCCGGAGCAAGATCGACAGCCAGGTTGTTGCCACCCCAGTCGCGAACAAGTGGAATCCAGCCTGCGTGAGCATATGCCTTCTGGACGGTGTTGGGCGGAATGCAGGTCTGCTTGGCCAGGAGATTCTGTCTCCATTCACCAGGGCCGTTGGACGACGAAGACGACGAAGGTCGCTGCTTGGAGGACGACGCCTCGCTGCTGGATGGGGTCGGCGGCTTGTTGTTGGCGGCATCCAGCATAAACTGCTCGTTAACCTTTCGCCACGTCTCCCACTCCTGGGGGATCTCTTCGCAGTCCATCAGCATCGAGCCGAAAATGATACCCGTCGGCATTCCACCGCGCTCCTGACCATCGTGGATCATGAGAGACTCGCGGACATCCTGAGGCAGCGAGCAGTCCAATTGATGCTCCAAGTCGTTCAGGTCGTTGACCGTGGCACCCTCGCACAGCTGGTCAAACAGCTCTGGGTAGTTCTCCTCGGCCCACGCGTCTATGCGCCTCCAGGAGTGTGCAACAGGGGGAGGCGGGGGGAGGCCATTCTCGAATGACTGCATGGCTACGTCACCGGGCGACTGGACCTCAAAACCATCCTTATTCACATTTTGCGATCGAAGGCCTGGGGAGTATACTCGGTTTCCGTTGGTAGGAGAGCCTTGCGTGGAAGGCGCGGCAGAGTCGTCAAAGTACGGGCTATGGATGTCGGCTCGAGAGTCGGAGGCGGTCGCGACGCCCGTCATGATGTTACGGCCATTCTGCAACGGCACATGGCGACCGGTTCGCTGGGGAGAGTCGTAGGAGGAGTCTGCAAGAGGGCGCAGTTAGCATTGGCGGGTCGATTTGACTCGTGCTGCAAGCTCAGGATCCAGCACATACGTCGGTCATTGCTGGTCATAGTATGCCAGAACGTGCGAAACGCATCTCCAATTCTGTCGGTCAAAGATCCATTAGCCCGCCATTCAGTACAATTGCCGCATCGCGCTGGGAACAGAGGGACTCGACTCACGCATTGGCCATTGTGTCTTGTGTTGTGGGCTGTCACCCAACCGGAGCTGCGACGGCGCAAGGAATTGAGGCGGCGTTGAAAGGGGGAAAATAGGGGGAAAGTAAGTTTGGCGCGTAATTTTCAGCAACAGTGCCGATTCAATCTACCGCTTGTCCAGACGGCGGCAGATTTGTGCGAACCGAAGTCGAGAGAGAGAGCGAGCAGCAGCAACCAGGCCTGTGCGTATACAGAGAAAAAAAAAAGATTCTGCTTAGCCGGTCGAATGCAGGTTGCGCCTCTTCAGCGGAGAACAAGTCGCGGGATTATCAATAAAACAGGCTGCAGTGAATGGAAGCTCGATTCCCCAAACGCGAGGGCCCAAAACAGACTGAATGGCTTGGAGAGAATCCGATCCTCCAAAAAAAGAAACGCGGTTTGGCTGTGGCGGACGGGAGGCGTCTTGCGTCTGCGTCAATCGCTTCTGCTTTGTTGACAATCGATCTTGTTGACTGCGGATTGACGCCACGAGCTGTTGAACCTGGCTGTATGCAGGTTCTGGCAACGATGACTTTGCTCTGACGACAGCAGCGAATGCAATGCTGGTCACCCGACTGGATTTTGCAAGATCTTCGGTGGGTGGGCGGGCGCAGATCACACACACAGACACACACACACTTTCTGCTGCTGGCCGGCTGGCTGTAATATGCGTCTGCGGATGCGTATGCGTACTAGCTATGCGCCTCTGGGGCTGGTTCTGCTGCGGAGAAGCGGCGCGGTTTGCAGCAGGGAGCCGAGAGGGAGAGAAGCCGAAGCTGGCTGGATGCGGTAACAAGATTCGCAGGACGCGGCGTCTGTTTGTCTGTCTGGCTGTCTGAGTTGGATGCGAAGGAGAGAAAAAGATGGCAGAAGACACAGACGAAGGGAGCGCGGGAGAGGCGAGGGCGGACCAGGCACAGGTCAAGCAAGCAGGAAGCGGCCAAAGGGGGGAGAGAAAGGGGATCAAGATCCAGTGCGGACGCCAGCTACATGTACTCTGCGCGCTGCAGCTGGCGACGCACGAGTACCGCCCGTCGCCAGTCGCCCCCGACCGCCTGGGTCCAGGGCTGTACTGTACGGGTACCGGTACTTGCGCGGTCCAGGCCTGGCGCTGCAGCTGCTGGCTGTTGGCGACGGGGGAGGGGCAGCCCGGCTGCAGCGCGACCGTTTCTAGGGCGTTTGGGGCCTCTGGGGGCCTCTAGGGGTCTCTAGGGGCCTGTAACGGGGCGCCTACAGGGGCTTCCAGGGGATCCTCAGGCCGTACCAGTACCGGCGCCAGTACTGCTACCAACCGCTGCGCCAATCCTGCCCGCGGACCGGCGCCGTCACAGGGCCAGGCACAGGTACCGCTACTCGAGCTCTCTCTCGCTGTCTTCCTCCGAGTCTGTGCCTGGGCCACCTGATGAAAGCTGCCCGCCCGCCCGCCTCAACTTTTATTCCGGCCGGCTCCAGAAATGTTCCTTCGCCTTGGGACCCGCCTCAAGGACAGGAACTTGCGTCCATTCCTGCTGCTGAGCCGGAACTCGTCCGCCCTCAACCCAAGCCTCAACCAACCGACTGGCCCGGGCTTATCTGCCCTTCGAGAGACGCTTGGAAGCACAGCAGATGCAGATGCAGGTGCAGGTGCAGATGCAAATGCAGATGCAGAGAGACAGGGCCTGCAGGCACCAGTCAGGCATGTATCACCTCCATGATGCAAATCCTAGCCGGCGCGGATGACTGCTCTGTCTGTGCCTTGTCTCTCTCTCTCTCTGCACTGCAGTCAGATCCATGGCGCGTCTGCTCTCGGCGCCTCGTCCTCCTGCTCCGTCTCCTACTGGTCCTCGCCCTCGTCTGCGAACTCGACGCCAAAAAAGAGCCGAAGTCTCGCGGGGGGCCACCAATCCAAGCAGCAAATCCACCCAAGAAAGGGGACGAGCCAGGGGTCGCCATCCAAGCAGCTTGAGACTCGGACAGGGGCACCACGCCACCCGTCGAGATAATTGGCTACACCGGCCAAGGCAGAGGCACGGGTGGCTCCCCAGGTATCGCACTAATGCAGGAGGCAAGTCATCCAACTTGGCTTTGGGTCTCTGCCAGAAGGCCACTTCGGGAAGCTCCATCGGCCTCGAGAAACCTAGTTGTACGCATAGTCAGGCGCTCGAAATTGCAGTGGAGGGACCAGTCAGTCGCCTTTTCGCCCACGAGTCCTGCAATTACCTACTACTGGGCTCTCCAAAGAAGGGGGAACCTCTGCTTCACCGGCATGGCCGTGCATACCCAGCAAGGCACGGCACGGCACCAGTTCAGGTCGGTAGAGCTTGTGATAACCCGCCTTCGGCAAGGGACTTCAAACAGGAGGCATCGATGCATGCTACTAGTAGTATGAGCTTACAGCGTACTGATACAGGTCCAGGCTTGAATCGTACAGATTATCGTGTTACCGATAATATGCAATCGAGCATTGCAAGCCGCTGCCACATGCCACGGAAGGATCACGAGCAGCATTAGCATCAACGGTTCGCGACGCCACACGGCGCTACCGGGCAAATCTCTTGGGGGCTTCACGCGGCATCTGTTGACTGCTTGCCTGGCCTCTCACAGCGCGCACAGCAATCTTGGTGCACGATGACACTTCAGGATCCATCTCGCAGATTCATCCGGTGTTGTGAGCAATGTGAGCATGAATCCTTCGCCTTTCTATCACAATCTCCGCTTTGTACTTGTACAAGTACAGCGACAATGTTTCTTTCAGGTTGAGTACCTAGGTTGTCAACATCGTCGGACGCCATTGGCTTGATACTAGCTTGAGCGTATCGTTGGCTGACCTGCCGAGTTGTGCCCTGCCCTGCCCTGAATCGCAGTTCCACATGCGCTAGACGGCGCCGTCCAGTGGTCAAGAGGGGCCTGGATGATACCGGCGTCCCCTGAATCTGTCGGATTCAGAGCCTTGACCCCATTTCCAGGCACATCCATGCATCCTACTTGGAGCTTCAGCCGTCCTGTCTATCCTAGACGTCCCACTTGGAAGGAGAGAGAAGAAGCAAAGAAACTTTGGAACATGTCAGAATCACAAGATGCAACATCTGGGTATGTAACTTGTCTTGCTTGCTTGCGCCGTGCCATTACATGATGACTAATCGCTTCTTCTCAGCCAACAACTCTGATTATGATGGCATTTCATGACGGACATCTCGAAATGGCATGAGGTCCCTGGATTCGCCGTGTATCAAAGCCTCGGCTGCATGCTATGCACGGAAGATTTGCCTGTTTCAACAGCTCTCGGCCAACAGCGGAGACAACCATGGACATGACATTGTTGGTGATCCCCTCCCACAGACGTCTATTTCCATTGCTCCCTACCCAGGCATGATTCGGAAGCTGTTGTTCTGTGCTTGTGCTCCATCCCGTGGTCTTCCATGCGCCTGAAGATGTAAACAAGCGCATCCTGGAATTATTATGGGAACGCTTTCGCCCACTGCCCGGCTATCGCTATTCCATGTACTAGTAGTAAGCTCACAGTCGCATAGGGTAATTGCTTGGGATGGGGTAGATGCACGCCAGACACGCAGTTGATCACACGCATACTAGCCGCAGTGTAGGCAGACAGTTAATGATACCAGAGGCGATATCATTATTAGCAGTTTCAGCCTTTCAGTTGTACAACTGAGAAGCTCCAGCCTTCAGTCGTATCAGACAGAGCTCCAACGATCTGTTCCGAAACCGACGCCAGACGTCACTAGAGGAGGGGATATCTGAAAAGGGGACTTGGAGCTGAAAGCAAGGCAGTGTTTATTTGAGTAATTGCGAAATCACAGGAGAGGCCTGGTGAACCCATGAGGCTCAACACCACATTCAAGCGCAAGTTCTCCAACTCCCTTTTCAAATCACCGTCATACATACATACATAGACGCGTTCCCATCAAGCGCGGTGGCCAGCTGACTAACCCAAGACATGCAGATGGCGAGACCAGCAGCGCAAGCATATTGTATGCATGTCATTCAGCGGTCAACACCGCTCTAGACGTTTCTACTCTGATGGCATGTCTCGTATCGAAACTTCCAAGCGGTTGAGTGGCGTCAAACTCGGTCTCCAGATCGCTGAAACGACAGCAATAAAAGCGCAGTAGTAGCCCGGCACCAGGACCAAAGTGGAGACAGCCTCGATCGTGAAGGGTTGGAGAGCCACTTTACCCCAAAGCCTAACGGCCTTACATAAGCCGGCATGTCTGCACGTGCCACCTCTCGAAGCTGTTGGTCTGCCGTTTCATCCAGCCTAAAATCCATCAATTATCGCCGAGCAAGAGCTTCATGATCGTTTTGCATTCGTCACCCACCGTCTGGAGCACCGCTCGATCTGCGACGATTGTCGGGGTCGAGAAGCTGGCCATACTCTCGCTGCAAGCGCTGTGAGCAATTGCCCGTCGGTTATGGCACGCTGGTTCCGCCTCTGCCTGGCCGCTTGACCTCCGCAATCCTGCGCTTTTGTTATTCCATGTCTGCGACGTCACCAGTCGGGCACGCTTTCAACTAGCAAACGCCATCAACCAGCACCACCAGCACCACCAGAACCCCCCCAGCAATGGCCTTTCTCGAGGATCCGCGTCTGCGGCAGCGCTGGAACCAAATCACCCACGATGCAGAGACGGTCACTGAGAACGCCGCCGCCGGCATCTGGACCTTCCAGCACCACTACATCAACCCTTGTCTGGGGTCGATACGCGGAGCCATTGAGCAGTGCACCACCGTGTGCCTGGGCGATCCCGAGGAGCGGCTTCGGCGGCAACGGGAGCGCGCCCGCGAGAGGGCTGAATACAGCTTCAACTTTTACGATGACTGGGACCGCGAAGAGGAGAGCGGCGGCCTGCTGGGCAACTGGGGAGGCGAGGATTGGGATCGTCTCTTGGCCGGCTCGGGCAGCCAGAGGAGGGCCGAGACGGTTGAGCAGCCGCGGCGCAAGAGAGGCATGAGCTACGGTACGCGGGGCGCCAGGAGGAAAAACAGCGAGCAGGATCCCACCATTATCCCCAGCACCCAGCCGATTGGCTTCCTGAGCAAGCTTCCGTGGAAAATGGGTGGCACCTTGAGATACAAACCTAGTGCGGCTGATCTGCAGGAGCACCCTGGAGCCAGGAAGCATGAATACACCGAGTCACAACCGCTGCTGGGAGCGGAGGACGACTCGGACCATGACGGGCTGTTGCAGCCGTCCCAGTCGAGGAAGCGGAGCGGCACCACGGGATCGGGCGGGACATCGGATTCTTACCGCTCCCGTGGAGACTTGTTTCCGAGCGATGGAGAAGGGGAGGAAGACGCAGTGGCACTCGATGACGAGGTGACCTACGACATGATTAGGAGAGACGATAGAAGCAGCGGCAGAGGGGGGACGACGCCGAGTAGCAAAGGCAAGCGACCGGCGCACACCGTTTCGAGAACGGTATCAAGGACGACGCTCGGATCGGTTGCATCTGGCGACTCGCTGGGACTAGCGATTTTTGGCACCGCGCCTCATGACGCTTCACAGGATGCCCAACTCTTGCCATCATTGAGGGACCTGGAACTGGAAGAGGAGCGCCTGGGACGCGAAGAAGACGAAGAATTGGCAAAGAAGAAGGAAGCTGCAGCTCAACTAGCGGTGGAGCGAGGATTGCAGACGGAGACCGAGCCCAAGCCGCCAGACGGGGCAGATGAAGAGTATCAGCCTGAAGAGCCGCACGAGATTCACCTGGACAACGATGAAGACAAAGGCGACGGTGACGATGAAGAGCATCGCGATTCCGAATTGTCCGGAAGTGACCCAGAGACACGGGTCAAGGATGAGGGACCGCCTGCTGCTCAAGGCGTTTTTGTGCCTGCGCGGTTGCCGCATTTTGGATAATAACCGTGCTCTTGGGCAGTTACTGAGTGGTCAAGACATATCTGACCACAAGCAGCATTTGTCTTACTGACGGGATCTAGACGACATTGTTCACCGTTCTGACGGGCTTGGGAGTATGTGATTCAAGGCGTCTGGGAAAGGGCGGCTACGACGTGAAGCATGACAGATGCTTGGAGCGTCGGGCTACACGATGAATGACGAGATACGAATATACATATCATTTTCGGCTAACGAGACAAAGTCCATTCTTTCAATTTTGGTGAAGTCTTCAGAGGCATGCCAATCATGCTCAATGCAGCGATATAAGACAAACGCAGGATGCAGGCAGTTGATACCTCGGTATGATGGGGCGCTTCCCCGCAAAATGCCTGCCGGTCCCCGCGGGATCGTCTGCCGCAGCGATAGCCGTCCCAGGGACAAGACACATCAGGCCGCTCTCACTGATAATACGACCTCTGCTCATTCGCATCTAGCAGTCTCCTCAAGTATCGCCAGCTCCTCCTTGTGTTTCTTCTGTCAGCAGCCGATCCGGTGCCACAGAAATTGGTGACAGCAATTGATCACACCACCTGGACACTCAGTCAATGCCTCACGACTCTTTGACCCGCCAAACCAGCAGTATTCCATCATAGCAAGCATCATCAATCTACAGATTCACTTCCAAACTCTTCACAGAATCTTGCATCATGGCGCCAACCGGCCCCATCACCACGCCCATCACCACCCTCCTCGGCATCCAGCACCCCATCCTCCTCGCCGGCATGGCACGCACATCCGGGGGCCGCCTCGCTGCCGCCGTCTCCAACGCGGGCGGCCTGGGCGTCATCGGCGGCTTTCAGTACACGCCCGACCAGCTGCGCGACATTGTCGCCGAGATGAAGGCGAACCTGCGGAGCCCCGACCTGCCGTTTGGCGTGGACCTGGCGCTGCCGCAGGTGGGCGGCAACGCGCGCAAGACGAACCACGACTACACGGGCGGGAAGCTGGACGAGCTGATTGACATCACCATCGACAGCGGCGCGAAGCTGTTTGTCAGCGCGGTGGGTGTGCCACCAAAGCACATCATCGAGAGACTCCACGACAAGGGCATCCTGGTGATGAACATGGTGGGACATCCGAAGCACGCAGTCAAGGCGCTGGATCTGGGCGTGGACATTGTGTGCGCGCAGGGCGGCGAGGGGGGCGGTCACACGGGCGACATTGCCAACTCAGTGCTGGTGCCGGCGGTGGTGGACGTGGCGAGGCGGTACAAGCCTCCGATGCTCAAGGGGTCAACGGCGCTCGTCGTGGCCGCGGGCGGGATTCGCAACGGACGCAGCCTGGCCAGCTCGCTGATGCAGGGCGCGGTGGGTGTCTGGGTGGGCACGCGGTTCGTCGCCTCGGTGGAGGCGGGATGCAGCGAGGAGGCCAAACAGGCGGTCGTGAGCTGCGGCTTCGAGGGCACGGAGCGGACGCTGGTGATTTCGGGGCGGCCGCTGCGGATGAGGACGAATGAGTATATCCGGAGCTGGCACGAGCGGCCGGGCGAGATCAAGGCGCTGTGCGACAAAGGGATCGTGCCGTTGGAGCATGATTTGGACGAGGGCAGAGACGTGGACATGCCGCACTTGATGGGGCAGGTTGCGGGTGCGATTGATAGGATACAGCCTGCGGGAGAGATTGTTGCTGAGATGGTGGAGGAGGCGGTTGAGATGCTCAAGCTGGGGCAGACGTATCTGACGGGCAGGAGCAGGTTGTGATGGACGTCATTTTGAAATGAATGATGCTGGATTATTTGAACTCGTGAAGATAAGGGATTGAATCCTCAGCATGAGCACCCGTTCGATAAGTAATGAGAACAAGAAGACTGATTCAACCTTCAATGTGATGAGCGTCTGTAAGAGGTACAAAGGACTTGTATCTCAATTGTGGCTTGTGCCACCAGCCCCATCGGCAACTGTGGCGCACCCCCACCCTGTTTTTCGCAAATCGCAGGCTAGCAACTTTTTTTACTGGTAGTAGCAACTTTTTTTTCTTATCGGTTCCCGATTGCTGGCGAAATCTTTCTGCTGCTTGAAATTTGCATCACGACCCGCCTGAGCAGAGCATCGCATCGCATCTCATCTTCCTCGAATATCAACGCAATCACTCGCCATGGACGCCGCCACACTGAACAACAAGCGCAAGCGGAAGCAGGGCGATGCCGCTGCCGACGGAACCAAAAAGTCAAAGAAGCTCAAGAATCCTCCCCCGGCAGAGGTCGAGCCCGAAGAGGAGGATGAAGTAGAGGCGGAAGAGGACGCAGAAGTCGAGGCCGAGGATGAGGGAAGCGACGACAACGACAACGACAACGACAACGAGGATGGACAGTCAGAGGGCGGATCAGACCTCGAGGACCAGACCGCAACCAGAAACGGCGATGGAGATGTCATACCCACCCAGTCTGCGCCCATAGTATCGACAATGGCAGACTCGCAGAAGTTTGAGGACCTCAAGCTGTCCGAGAAGACGATGAAGGCGATCCAGGAGATGGGCTTTACCAAGATGACCAACATTCAGCGCAGTGTTCGTCCACCTACTCAATTCTCGCGCTTCAATGGCACACACGATTAACTGACATGCTTCATTACAGGCCATCCCCCCTCTCCTTGCCGGCAAGGACGTCCTCGGTGCGGCCAAGACGGGTTCCGGAAAGACGCTCGCCTTCTTGATCCCCGCGATCGAGATCCTCAGCTCCCTGCGATTCAAGCCGCGAAACGGCACCGGCGTCATCGTCGTGTCCCCGACCCGAGAACTCGCGCTCCAGATCTTTGGCGTTGCGCGCGAGCTGATGAAGTACCACTCACAGACCTACGGCATTGTCATTGGCGGAGCGAACCGAAGGGCAGAGGTTGAGAAGTTGACCAAGGGTGTCAATTTGTTGATTGCGACTCCCGGCCGATTGCTCGATCATCTGTTGAATACCCAGTTTGTTTTCAAGAACCTCAAGTCGCTGATCATCGACGAGGCGGACCGTATTCTGGAAGTTGGTTTCGAGGATGAAATGCGGCAGATTGTCAAGGTCTTGTCCAACGAGGACCGCCAGACTATGCTGTTTTCCGCGACACAAACAACCAAAGTTGGTGAGTAATCCCTTCTGATCTCTCCAGTAAATCATCACAGGGCGTGTATGCTGATATGACGCGCAGAGGATCTGGCCCGAATCTCCCTGCGACCCGGCCCGCTATACATCAACGTCGACCAGGAGCAGCAGCACAGCACCGTCGACGGCCTGGAGCAGGGCTACGTCCTATGCGAGGGCGACGAGCGCTTCCTCCTGCTCTTCTCCTTCCTGCGGAAAATGCAGGCCAAGAAGAAGAAGGTGATTGTCTTCTTCAGCAGCTGCAACAGCGTCAAGTACTACGCCGAGCTGCTCAACTACATTGACTGCCCGGTGCTGGACCTGCACGGCAAGCAGAAGCAGCAGAAGCGGACCAATACCTTTTTCGAGTTTAGCAATGCGCCGCACGGCATCCTGATCTGTACCGATGTGGCGGCTCGCGGTTTGGATGTGAGCATATTCTCCTTTCCCTGTCCACTTGATGAATTGCGTTTTGTCGCTGACACAGAACAGATTCCCGCCGTCGACTTCATTGTCCAGTTTGACCCTCCGGACAACACCCGCGACTACATCCACCGCGTGGGCCGAACTGCCCGAGGTGCCAATGGCAAGGGACGAAGTCTGCTCTTCCTTCAGGTACGTTCATCTCTCACCTATCTTTCATCCAACGCCTCTTAACACATGGAACAGCCCAACGAAGTCGGCTTCCTGTCCTACCTCAAGGCCGCCCGCGTGCCCGTCGTCGAGTTCGAGTTTCCGCGCAAGAAGATTATCAACGTGCAGTCCCAGCTGGAGAAGCTCATCGGCAAGAACTACTACCTGCAGCAGAGCGCCAAGGAGGCCTTCAAGTCGTATCTGCACGCCTACGCCAGCCACAGCCTGCGCTCCGTCTACGACGTGCAGAAGCTGGACCTGGCCAAGATTGCAAAGAGCTTTGGCTTCCCCACGCCGCCGCGGGTGGACATTACGCTGGGCGCGAGCATGGGACGGGACAAGGTGCAGGGGAGGAGGGCGTATGGCAGCCAGCCGAAGCAGGTTGGCAAGTACAAGCGGGACAAGCGGAATTGAGTGTAATGTACATGTGTGTGCTTGAGAATGGTGGGTTTGTTCTGCGAAAATAATACGGCGCAAGGGATTCGCTTTAGTATATACATCATGAGTCTCATTTACTTGCCGAGGTAGTGCGTGATGGTGTATGTTTGTGAATGCCCAAACATTGCGTACTCGGTGACTTACAGCTCTTGCCCAGCTCTTGAATTTTACCTATATACGACTGAAAACATGTAAACTATTTCGGCTTCAATGTGTGCGATATCCCTGACGAGCCATCTGTTGGTCTTGCTACCCATGCATGTGGCTGTGTCACACACAATACGTAAGCAGGCAAGCAAGCATGCAGGTAATCTCCAAGACGACGCCAATCATCTCATCTCAGGCCGTTCAACATCCTTCACTCACGCTCACACTCGTTCAACAGCGCGTTTATATGATTTCAGTTTATTGTTTCTAGAGACTCTCTCCTCACCAATGCCATAGACCACTCACTACAGAGCTCATCCACCGCCATGGAAGCCCACGACAAAGTCGTCTCCGGCATCGCCTCCCGCGTCAAGCACTTCCACCACCTCCAAAAGCCCTTCCGCATCTACCACGGCGCCACCAACAGCACGCGCCGCTCCCACCGCAGCCCGGACAACACCATCGACACCAGCCCGCTCAACCATGTCCTCTCCGTCGACGCCGCCTCCAAGACGGCCGTCGTCGAGCCCAACGTGCCGATGGACCTCCTCGTCAGCTCGACGCTGCGCCACGGCCTCGTCCCGCCCGTCGTGATGGAGCTGCCCGGCATCACCGTCGGCGGCGGCTTCTCCGGGACGTCGGGCGAGAGCAGCTCGTTCCGCTACGGCGCGTTCGACGCCAACATCAACTGGATCGAGATTGTGCTGCCCGACGGCGAGGTGGCGCGCGCGTCCAAGACGGAGCGCCAGGACCTCTTCTGGGGCGCGGCCTCGGCGTTTGGGACGCTGGGCGTGGTCACGCTGCTGGAGGTGCAGCTCAAGGAGGCCAAGGCGTACGTGCGGCTCGAGTATCAGCTTGCGAGGGGCGCGGAGGACATGCTGAGCAAGATTCAGGCGGCGTGTGCCGTGGAAGAGAACGACTATGTGGACGCGATTGTGTTTGCGATGGACACGACGGTTGTGTGCACGGGAAGATTGGTGGATGAGGTGCCGCAGGGGACGAAGCCGGTGGGATTCCTGGGCCGGAGCGATCCCTGGTTCTACACCCGAGCCAGGGACGTTGTGAAGCAGCTCAAGAGGACGGCAAAGAAGGGAGGAGGAGGAGACGACAACAAGGCAGCGACCGTGACGGACTTTGTGCCGCTGCAGGACTACCTCTTCCGCTACGACCGCGGCGGCTTCTGGACGGCCGTGTATGCCTACCGATACTTTCTCACGCCCTTCAACCGGATCACGAGATACATCCTCGACCCCTTCATGCACGCCCGCGAGATGTACCGCGCCGTCCACAAGAGCGGCCTCGCAGACTACTACATGGTGCAGGACGTCGGCGTCCCATACGACAAGGTCGTCGAGTTCCAGGCCTGGCTGGACAAGGAGCTGCACATTTACCCGCTGTGGATCTGTCCGCTGCGCGTCCGTCGCGACGACCCGGACTCGGGACACGGGCTGCACTCGGAGTTTGCAAGGCCGGACGTGCCCGACCTGATGAATTTCGGCGTCTGGGGCGGCGTCAAGGGGAGCCGGCGGGAGGTGATTGACAAGAATCGCGCGCTGGAGCGCAAGGTGCAGGAACTGAAAGGCAAGAAGTGGCTGTATGCGCATGCGTACTACACCGAGGACGAGTTCTGGTCGCACTACGACAGGAGCTCGTACGATGCGCTGAGGAAAAAGTACGGCGCCGAGTACCTGCCGAGCGTGTACGACAAGGTCAAGGTGGACGTGGAGGGCGAGGAGAGGGCGCGGAATGCGACGTGGCGGACGAGGTTGCGGGCGAGGGTCTGGGATCTCTGGCCGTTGGCGGGATTGAGGGGGTTATATAGCGCGGTGAAGGGGGGTGATTATCTGTTGCAGCAGCAGAAGAAGAAGAAGGGGAAGACGGGGAAGGGCAAGGATGATGTGGTGAGGGCTGAGGTGGAGGAGGGCGGCAAGAAGAGGGAGTGAGGGATGCGAGAATAGGTACTGTATGATGATACCCGAGTTGAGGAGAGAGGTTCGAGGTGTTGAAGGATATTTCGTATTATAAAATGTTATTTTTCGTTGATTCGTCGACTGGTTCGTGAACTTCCAATGTACACTTTGTTGCCTCCTCCTCCATTATAATCTTACATCCAAATGAATGAATTTCCTCCTGTCAGTTGGTTCCCATGCAATCCATTTCAGTCCATCATCACACATCATGCTTTTTTGTCCGATAACCTCACTTGGTCAGCCCCGGACAGAGCAGACACTCCTCCCGCTCAGTCATGTCGAAAGCCGCCCATCTCCGTCTTATTCCTGCCGCTCATCTCGCCGAGCGTCTTGTCGCGCTGCTGCCGCGCCTCGTCGGGGTTCTTGTAGATCCAGTTGTAGCCAACGAGCACGGCCAATGCGGCGCCGCCAATGACCAGCCTTTTTTTTTTTTTTCACTTAATGTTAGCCAAACTAGTTCATCAGAAAACACACACACATCTCTCCAGAATGGGCGGGAATTCTTGGGGTTTGGGGAGCAGGGTTGTGAGATGGAAAAAGACGCACCAGTTGCGGCGGAGAGCTTCAGGACCGCCCGGGTTCGGCGGGATCGGCTGCTGGCCTCCCGGGCCGCCGAGGTCCTCTTTGCCGCTGTTGAAGGCGGAGCCGGAGCCGGCGCGGACGCGGGCGGTGGTGGTGAAGGGGCGGGAGGAGGATGCGAGGAGGGTTGGGCGGAGGGTGCGGAGGGCTCTGGCGGACATCATTTTGGATAGTTGTATAGGTGGATTGAAATGAGATAGTAATAGAGGAGTTGGATTGAGGTTAGAGGCAAGTAGGTTGCAGGTTGGATACTTGGGGCTCTTTTTATTATTGTATAGCTATATGGTACCTATATGTAATAGCTTGACTAGAGGTTGACGAGTGCTGTGTCAATGACTTCAGGCGGGTGGCGGATATGATGTGGGCATGACGTCCGACCTGGGGGGGAGGAAACGCGGGTGTGATGCGATGGGGTGGCCCGCATTTCGAGGGTGAGAACTGAGATTGGAAGACGGCCAACTGAAGATTGAGGAGAATGAATGGGGATTGCTTTTGATCAAGGGGTGATTGTGGCGGATAGGAATTGGCTGTTTTGGTTTTGGGTTTGTTCTGTGTCCGTCTTGGTGTACTGTATGTAGGTAGGTGTAAGCGGTTTGGGTTGCTCTGTGTAAGAGTGTATGTGCGTGCGTGTTTACTTGTGAGAAGTGTTTATGGAAATATTGACGTCTTTCCTCGAGAGTCTTATGAAAAGGCTTCTATAAAATCAGAAATGGAGTTGATTGAGTTCATTTGTTGACATAATTCAGCTTCATTGGGAGTGTAGCTTCCATAGGTACGTGTAAGTGCATGCGAGGCATTGCCAGACTCAACAGGCGTTAACAGAGAATGCATCGCAGTCAAGAACAGCAGTTTTCAAGTATGTAAGCAGCCAAAAGACTGTTTATCTGTAGTTTCCCTCGATTCAATCAATATCCGATACGTGTCTGGTTTGCCACAGCGTAGCTGAACTGGCTGTCAAGATGGCTCAGCTCCAAGGTCAACCAACAGCATGCCATCAGCGCCCATCGTAAAGCCCGACTAACCATCCACTTCGAATTCTATATCACCAAATCAGATTGAACGGGTCACATACTAGTCAATTGAAACTTTGTGTTCAGCGGATCAAACTTATAGAGTGTGATTGAACAATGCTAGAGTGGAGAGTAACAACTCGAGGCCTCGTCAAGAGGCTTAATAACAGCATCTCACCGCACTCACGGATATGATGATTCCGCTCAGCTCAGCTCGAAAAGTCGACTTGAAGAACTAAGCTCAATCGCGAGCATCACTACCATCTTGTTCACTTACAAAAGCATGAGTCCGGCAACATGGTCGGCTCTGCGCTCATCGCTCATTCGCTCATTCGGAGACTCAGCAACTTACCTTCAACAGCCCTTGCAAACCGTGAGAGCTCTTCGCTTGCCAAGATAGGTCGACAAGCATCTGCCCTAGGTGTCTTTCTGGCACTGAGTTGATTGCGTAAATGACACAATCAAAAAGTCCCAGTGTTATTCTTTTTTCCCTTCTGATCCTCGTATTTCTGCTGTTGTGCTTGTTCTTTGGTTTTGATCTCCTCCGGGTTGTGTAGGGTACGAGCACTCAGGGCTGCACTTACACGGCCCTTGTATCAGAATCGCTGGGAACTGGGTCGAGTATTCTACCAACTTTTCGATTGCTTTTTCTTCATTCTTTGGTTTTCAATCTTCTTAGAATCTCGAAGAAACTTTATCAAGTTCACATATCATAGAATAGCTTTTCGAGTCCCCAAGTCAGCTATAGCCGCCTCCATTGCTTGTCTCACCTGTCTTGTAGTGCAACCAAGACTTCATCCTACCATAGGTACCTCATGTAACTGAGCTTCAGCGCCAAGCATAGTACTCACCTTGGCCAAATCGAGCAAATGGCATCTACAACCATCTCCCTTTGCTTATACGATCATTCGTCCCTTCACCTTATTCATCGTCTTTTGTTTTTGAACAACTTCCATCTTATCAGCCCGCAACAGCCAATAACACATCGCCATGCCCCATTATACCCGTCGGCTATTTACCAGCCCCCAATCGACGCCCCGTCGGAAGCTGCTCAATACCAATCAGACGTAGCCAGACACGTCTCGCTTGAGACTCAAGATAGCAAATCCACGGTGAAATGCAATGACTTGCTGCGGACTATTACCCGTCACCGGCTTCTTTCCAAGGGTCTGCAAGATGGATCGGAGATTTCCACCCATCTCACGCTCCTTTAGCGGAGAATCTTAGCTCTTCAGCCGTCTCATCTCGACGTTTATATATCGCCGTCAGCCGCAGGCAAGCTGTGATTCTCACAAGTCCCATCATCATCCCTTCTTGACCATCCTCCTTCGCCAAGCCCGGCCTCTCCGTCGTCCCTGGATCCAATGGGTCACTCCAAGTCTGTCCCTCGCTCGTCGTCACAGCCTTCGAGCTCTCGAAACGGCTTCTCTAAACCCTCCCAGAAACCCCAAATGGTCCAGAAAGCGCCCCAGGTCGTGGCGGCGCCGCTGTCATCGCCCGAAGTCCCCAGCGGTCCACTGCCTCTGAGCGGAAAGGTGTTTGCCATCACGGGCGGCGCGAGCGGCATTGGCCGGGCGACTGCTCAGGTACTGTCAAGACGGGGAGCGACTGTCTGCGTCGCCGACGTGGATCACGAAGCGATGAAGGCTGCCGAGGACTATTTCAGCTCCTTTGGGGTGCCGCATATGGTCACCAAGGTGGATGTCTCCAAGCGAAAGGAGGTTGACGCCTGGATCGAGTCGATTATCAAAGAGTATGGCCGGCTGGACGGCGCTGCCAACGTAGCAGGAGTCATTGGAAAGTTTCACGGCGTGTCCCCAGTCTCAGAGCTCGACGACGATGAATGGGATAGGATTATTGGCGTCAACCTGACCGGGACAATGTACTGCATGCGGGCCGAGCTGAGGAATATCGTCGACCGCGGGTCCATTGTCAATGTCTCTTCCATCCACGGCCTCAAGGGTATTTTTGCCGTCTTGTTTTTCCCCCATCGATATGTGCCCGAGTGTTGTCTAATCTGTTCTGGCCAGGCTTTGCAAGGCACGGCGCATACGACGCAAGCAAGCACGGCATCGTCGGCCTCACCCGAGCCGCCGCCCTTGAAAACGGCGAGCGCGAGATCCGCGTCAACAGCGTGGCCCCCGGCGCCATCTACACCCCGCTGATGCAGAAGAACTGGGACTTTTCCGGCCGGCCAAAGGACGCTCCGTTTGACGATCCGACGGCGTTCCAGCGGCAGGGCACGGCGGAGGAGACGGCGAATGTGATTGCGTTTCTGCTGGGGCCCGAGAGCACGTTTGTGAGTGGGAGCGTGTATCGCGTGGACGGAGCCTGGATTTGAGGGGATGCTGGTGTCAATGAGAGAGGAGAGAGAGAGAGAGAGAGAGAGAAAGAGAGAAGAGAGAGGGCTTGCATATGTTGCGGCGTTATTCTGGCATCATACTTAGGGACAGGCTTTTTGTTGTTTGTTTAGTGTTGAGTTTGTGTCGCATTCTTCGTATAGAACCCTGAGGTCGTTCGACACGACAAGATACAGCATTTGTCTGATATGGTCCTGGATCACTATTATACCTAGGTACCTTAGTACTAGTATCTAACCTTCTCGACGAGCTTCATTCTGAGTCGGAATCAACTTCTTCCCACAAGCAATTGGTCACCTGAACTGGGCTGTAACCATCACTTGGACTCGACAGTCAAAGGTCACACTCGTATTCGACGATGCACCTCGGCCTAATTTCTGCTTCCCGAGCAGGCATCTCGGTGCTTTGCCATTGATGGTTGGGTAGCCATCGAGGCCAACGGCTGACTCCGCCAGGGCCCATGTCCCGTGTGCCGACACTTTGCATGTGCATTAGTAGTAGTAGCTGCAACACATGTGCTGCCAGTTTCTTGTAGTAGTACGTAGCTCTATCTCTCCAGCAATGAACTAAAGAGTACACGATGAATATTACCTATGGACAACAGTATAGTCTCGAGTACGAAGGCTTCTCCGCATTGCTGCTACCCAAGGTACCTACAAACGAGTAAGGTCCCGTCATCACCGCCCTGCGAAGCCACGACAGAGGCTCTGGTTGGTCCATTCTGCCGACGGAATGCAATCACCGCCCGCGCCTGATTGGTCGAGAATCAAGGAACCGGTAGCGTCGCATCAGGTCCAGTTCTCCACCCTCTCCATTCTCCAGTCTTTCCCTATTTCTCCACCACCCACAAACCCCCAGCATTTCGACCAAAAACCTGGGGAATCGCGCCTTTTTTGCTTCTTTTGTCCAAGCAGCATGACGGGCAACAGACGGGCCCTGCTCTAGTCCAGTATCGTATGTCCAAACATGCACTAGGTAATACTGCATCTACCGGCAGCGTTTGAAGAGTACATGCAACAGAACTGACAGCCAGAGTGGCAGAGTCTGCCCGATTCCAGACAGGGGCTCATGGCTAAACTAAAGGCTGCAAACCTCATGCCATGGCACCTTTTCTCTTTTCCCTGGCCTCTCCCCGCATCCTCGACAGGCAAGGCAAAAGGAGGGCTCTGACACAAAAGTACTAAATGGGATGCCAGCGGCCGGTAGTTCGGGTTTTCGTCCTCTTGCCCTGTCCCCAGCTGCTTCTGCCATAAAAAGGGCCACCAGCTGTGTCTCCTGTCCCGGTCGAGCCCCAGCCGTATCCGCCTAGTACTACTCGCCAATCCGTCGGGTCTCCTCCTCAGCCTCAATCAACCCCTGGATATTGCTGTCTCTTTGTCTTCCATTGCCTTGTGATTCGGGTATTTCGCCAGCCCCATTCTTCATCCTTTGCTCCTGATGGGCAGATAGCGAGTCAAAACTGTGGATATCGGCATTTCAGCCCTGCGACAAAGGCAGAGATAACACGCGAGAAGGATCATGGCAGCTGAAGCCGACGGCCAAGAGCGGGATCGCCCCGAGCCTCTTGTCGGCTCATTGGCGCAGCATAGCGAGACGCCCGATACGGAGCACGCCCGGCCGAGGAAGCGGACCCGGAGGGCTTGCGACAAGTGCAGCGCCTCAAGGACGCGGTGCGATGGCGAGTGGTGAGTTGGGACGGTTCATGGTTTCTGCATATCAGTGATGGTGTCTAACCGGGACATTTGTGCGCGTCAGTCCTTGTCGTCGGTGCGAAGGTAAGCACCATGTCTCTTCCATTTGTCCTTCTTCCTGGAATGCGGCAACCCCCCTCTTCTCATTGTCTCACCTCATACCAATCATACATGTACCTTCTCTAACATGCTGCCTCTGCCATCAAGACTACGGATACACCTGTCGTTATAACCGTGAAGTCAAGAAGAGAGGCCGTCTACCGGCCTCGGCTACGGCCAACAACGGCAACATCAGCGCCCGAAGGGAATCCTGGCCGTTGTCAACTCGCCGTGGAAGCATCCGCAACGACTCTCCCCTGAGTCGCAACGCCAATGGCAATAGCAACGGCAGCAGCAGCAACGGCCACGCCATGGGCTACGGCAATGCCATCTCGCAGGCCTCGCCCTCGTCTCTGTCAGCCACCTCGCCCAGCATCAGCTCTAGCACGGTCGCACAGCATCCCTTTGATGACCCAACGGATGCAACCTCGGCTCGTCCCGAAGGTGCACCCCTGGATCCGAGGGATCGGGTCGCCATGTCCGACGTTCGCCCAGACGTGCTGCATTCCATCAGCGCACCCTTTCCCCAGAGTCGACCCGCCCCTCCGCTCAGCGTCCCGTCTCTCAGCCAAGTTGGACTCCAACCGCCTTCTGCGCAGCGCGCTTCCATAAGCAACCCCCTGTCTGTGAATGTGTTTGAGGGGCAGTTTGGGGACTCGGAAGTCGTCGTGTCCGATGAGAGCGTTGGATACCCGTCACCGATAAACACCAGGCCCCATGCCGAGCTGAACCGCCAACACAGGGCGTCCGGCAAGTCGACGCACAGCCACGAGCGGAACAGAGAGTCATTCAGCACAGCGGCAACGACCAGCCACGATGTCGGGGGCCTGATGTTGGATTTCTTCCACAGAGCCCCAAACGAGGACTGCTGGTACAAGTTTCTGGAGCCCATCTTGCCGTACATCCGCAACATCATCCCCGCCTCTGTTGCGTGCGACTTGCTCGACATATTTCTGACGGATCCGGGAAGCTCGCTGTTTCGTGTTGCGTCCCCCTATATCCTGACTAGGGTCTTTCGTAAAAAGTCCATTGTGCACCCGACGAACCCCAGATACACCACCCCGGCGCTGCTGGCGACCATACTCTGGTGTGTAGCACAGACTGCCGATGTCATGATGCTGCATGTCCCGGGCTCCAGGGCCAAGGTTGTCAACGATCTCTACGACCTAGCAACGTCCCTGATATCCGAGCGTGACCCGGACCGGTGGCGACGAATTCATGGTAGGCCATTGTTAACGGAAATTGACGATGTGGGACGCATATTGACATATCCCAGGTGGTCTGCGTGCAGAAAATGAAGCACCTCACCCTCGGCTTCCTAATGCGCCGACAATGCCAAAGACAACAGTCAACAACGAGCCAGCGGGCGAGATCGATGATGTTCTCACCTTCATCCTCCTCTCCATTGCCGTCTCGGGCTCCGATTTCAAGTCGGACTGCTACAAGTGGTGGTCCAAGGCAACGCGACTTGCCTTTGCGCTGGGCCTCAACCGAGAGGACGAGCAATGCGCCGGACCCGTGACGCCCTGCGCGAATCCTCTCTGCTCGTGTCGAAAAGAGCAGGATGGTAGCTTGTACAATCTCGAGCTGCGAGAAGAGCGCCGGCGAGTCTTTTGGCTTCTCTATGCCTTGGACCGGCACTTGGCCCTGTCTTTCAACTCTGCCCTTACCATCCCTGACTCGTACTGCGAAGTCTACTGTAAGGACCAAAACCTGCCCCCAATCTGTTCATTGTCCACCCTTTGCTGACCGGCCTCAGCACCTCTTCCCGAAGCCATCTGGGAGAACCTCGACACGATTTCGCCCAGTGAGATTCCCGCCCGAAGAATCGGACCGCCCACGACTGCCTCTGGATCTGCATTTTTCGAGTACTTTTTACCCCTCATGGCGATACTAGGCGACATTATAGAGGTCCATCATCGGCGCCGTCACCCGAGACTCGGAGGCCTCGACGATTCACACTCCGTGGCCGTCGTTCAGGGGCTGCTTTCGGCCTACGAAATGAGTCTCGCCGCGCTGTCACCAGACGGCGACGACAACGGCACCATGCCCCTGCCTATTCACACGCCCAAAGGGATCGTTGCCGGAATGCCTTCCAGGCCATCCATTTCCCATCCACACCCGTCCGCAGCCCCTTACAACGCAGGCGATCCCTCCAAGATGCGGCTGGCAAAGGCCTATAGCACGCACATCTTGCACGTGCTGCACGTGCTGCTCCATGGAAAATGGGATGCCATCTCCATGCTGGACGACGGCGACGATTGGATCACGTCCAAAAGGTTCAACGAATGCGCGTCGCATGCCATTTCTGCGTCGCAGTCCGTCTCGACTATCTTGACTATCGATCCGGAACTGACCTTCATGTCCTATCTCTTCGGGATCTATCTGCTGCAGGGGAGTTTCATTCTTTTGCTCTTCGCGGACAGGATGCCGCAGCTTGGTCCCAACGAGTCGGTTGCGCAGGCGTGTGAGACCATTATTCGAGCTCACGAGGTGTGCGTTGTGACGCTGAGCACAGAATTCCAGGTATGCAGCCCTCGTCCCTTTTATGTGAGAAATGCTGCAGGATGTTGACATTTAGCTAGAAAAACTTTCGTACCGTTTTGCGATCTACGCTTTATAGTGTTCAAGGTGCAGGAACTACGAATTGGGACGAGCATCGTTCACGACGCAGAGCTTTGTCGCTGTATAGATGGACAAAGGGGGCCAAGGGACTGGCATTGTGAGGATGGGTTATGGATGGCATCAAGTCACGATGGAGGTAGTTCTTGATTGATACCCAATTGACTTCGTAACACCATAGAATCAACGGGGCACACATGGCCCACACCCATCTCACCTTCAATTCTCATGAGGGTGTCGAGACGAATTTAGCCGCCAGGCAAAGGAGATTTCTTGGCCTTTACGTTCCGGAATATGCCCGAGCTGCGTGCATTAGGCCAGGAAAATCTATGCCCCGGTGATGCACTGATGAGGACAGAAAAATCTGGGGTAGAATGCGGGGTTGAGACTTGCAACTGTCTTGGCCGTACAATACTCTCTGGAGGTGTGTTGTGTGTTAGTGTTTGAGGGCGCCGCTGATGAGGAGGCTCTGGTAAAGGTTGATGTTGGGGCCGTGGGGGTCGACGAAATTGCCGACGGGTGAATTTTGCTTAGTAGTGAATTACCTAGGTATGGAGAGTGTGGTTGAGCCTTTGCTTGGGGTTTTCGCTTGAGCTGAATTGAATAGCAATATTCCAATGTAGATCTTCTCAGTAGGAGAAGATGTGTCTCCAGCGGTCATCACGGTCTCAAATGCTGGGCCAATTCGCTGGGTTTATGACCTCGTCTGTTTTGTTAATGAGAATTAGTGTAGCATTGGCGATATTATCCGGACTCTGTCAGCAGCACTACACAGATAGTACGTACGAGTATACCACCCAACTGATCGATAATCTATACTGTAGACGGGTGGGTAGGGTTGCATCGTGGATGGCATCTGCTCGTTTCCGTCGTCGGTCTTCTTTCAGGTGTCTGAGAAGTTGACCGCTTTTATCTGATCATTGGGATTGAATTGCCAACTCATGTTGCATGATGATGGTAGGTTATCTGCTGTGCTGCATTACGCTTCGGGCCGTAGCGAGAACAGACTCAATGTTTAGTGTTTAGTATGCAGTTGATGAATTGGACGATTAGCCCTGAGCTTTCCAACTTACCTGATTGATATAACTAGTCATTGATACTCTATTGATACCTGAAGTTGAAGGCACTAGATCAATCTCCTTTAGACACCTGGTTTCTTTTTTTTGGGGGGTGGGGAACGTTGTTCTGAATACCTACTGCTGACTTGGACGCGCCCAAATGACTGACTGGTTCTGTGTCTTGCGCGATTGTTACAGAGTGTCTCCAGCTCGTCGTCGCATAAGTAATCACCACATACATTGCTCGTTGAGGTCAGTAGACCATTGACTATTTCTACTACATTTTCGAGTACTTATCCTCAGTTATCCTCAATTCTTGAGGGAACAAAGGTCACATTTAAAGGTACAGCAGTTGCGCAGTTCATGATGCTGCGCTCGGCTCCGGAGAAAGGTTAATGCACAGCCAATGGCGCCCCACTCTCAGCAACCCCCGAAATGCCAGCCAGCATTTTGAAGTCGAGCGCCTCATCCATCGCCTGACGCACCTCTGCAACTGCTCCAGTCAGCAGCGACACCGACACAACCGCCATCATGGTGTTGCAAGACCTCGGCCGCCGCATCAATGCGGCCGTTTCCAACCTCACGCGCGAGCAGAACCTCGACGAAAAGGTAGGCAAGACTCACGGCGTCTTTCAGCCCCGCCATGCCTGGGGGCGAATATGCGACGAGACAAACACAAACTGACCTGACTGCAATTCCCAGGCCTTCGACTCCATGCTCAAGGAGATTTGCGCCGCTCTGCTCGAGGCCGACGTCAACGTACGGCTTGTAGGACAGCTCCGGAAATCGATTCGAAGCACCGTCAACTTCAAAGAACTCCCCCCCGCCGTCAACAAGAAGCGCCTGATCCAAAAGGCCGTCTTCGACGAGCTCGTCAAGCTGGTCGACCCCCATGCCGAGCCCTTCAAGCCCAAGAAGGGCAAGTCCAACGTCATCATGTTTGTCGGCCTGCAGGGTGCGGGTAAGACGACGACGTGTACCAAGCTGGCGCGACACTACCAGACGAGGGGCCTGCGCGCGTGCTTGGTCTGCGCCGATACGTTCCGTGCCGGTGCTTTCGACCAGCTGAAGCAGAATGCGACAAAGGCCAAGATTCCATACTACGGCTCGCTTACGGAGACGGATCCTGCGGCGGTCGCGCGGGCGGGTGTCGAGCAGTTCAAGAAGGAAAAGTTCGACGTCATCATTGTTGATACCTCGGGTCGCCACCGACAGGAGTCTGCGCTTTTCCAGGAAATGATTGATATCCAGGCGGCGGTCAACCCCGACGAAACCATCATGGTGCTGGACGCGTCAATAGGTCAGCAAGCCGAGGCGCAGGCCAAGGCTTTCAAGGAAGCCGCCGACTTTGGAGCCATCATCATCACCAAGACGGACGGCCACGCGCATGGCGGTGGTGCCATCTCTGCCGTCGCCGCTACACACACACCCATTGTGTTCATTGGCACGGGAGAGCACATGCTGGACCTGGAGCGGTTCGAGCCCCAGCGGTTCGTCCAGAAGCTGCTGGGAATGGGCGATATGGCCGGTCTGGTTGAGCACGTGCAGAGCCTTAACCTCAATCAGAAGGACACCATGAAGCATCTCCAGGAGGGTATCTTTACGGTGCGAGATCTACGAGACCAGCTTTCCAACATTATGAAGATGGGGCCCCTGTCAAAAATGGCCGGCATGATTCCTGGTATGAGCGGTCTGATGCAGGGCATGGATGACGAGGAGGGAGGCGCCAAGCTCAAGCGCATGATTTACATCTGCGACTCCATGACGGACAAGGAGCTGGACTCTGACGGCAAGCTGCTGATTGACGAGCCGACGCGGATGACGCGTATCGCTCGAGGATCCGGCACATCGGTGCGCGAGGTGGAAGACCTCCTGACGCAGCAGCGGATGATGGCCGGCATGGCCAAGAAGATGGGCGGCAACATGAAGAACATGCAGAGGGCGCAGCAGGCCATGTCGGGCGCAAACAAGGCCCAGCAGATGGCCGCCATGCAGAAGCGACTGCAGAGCATGGGCGGTGCGGGCGGCGCTGGAGGCATGCCGGACATGGGGTCATTAATGAAGATGCTGGGCGGCGGCGGCATGCCCGGGGGGATGGACATGCAGGCCATGATGCGGCAGATGGGCATGGGCGGCGGCATGCCTGGCATGCCTGGGATGCCCGGAATGCCGGGGATGCCTGGAGGAGGAGGTCGTGGACGGAGGTAAAAGGGGGGGGGGGTTGAGAAGAGGCCTTTTTTGGGTCGAGCATTTGATTTCTATTGTATGTTTTGTTTGCGGAGCTCCGGTGGGTTGGGCAAGCTATGGAATGACGGCTGGTTGCTAGAGCTCATGTGCATGGGTATCGGCGTTTTTGGGCAGTGATGAACGATGGGCGGATCTCAAGATGTTTATGAAAGAGAAGAGTGTTGACCTTGTCACTGATTACAGATGATTGAATGTCGTCTAGACGCTGCTTTGCTTTCTTTGAGACTTGTCATGATACTAGGTATACAATACTAGGTATACCAGAGAAGATACAAGTGCCACGAGCTTGAACTGATGCCTGCTTTGTTTATGGCACTCTAGGTATTATTGAGACTCTGATGAGCTGTTGCTTTATAAAGCATGCATCACGTACCCGACCTGTTACTTCCAAGTTGTTATAACAGCATCATCTGATGAGCCTGCTGAGTCATCAGAGTGCCATAGCCCCGCACGCCTGTTTACTACTTACTAGCAATGCTAGCAGCATCTTGTCGTTCACCTCCACTTTCGCTCCATCCTCCACCTTTTAACTTCTCGGTTCCCCGCGACTACTGAGGGAATCGCCCCACCAGAGCTCGAAAAAAAAAAAGTACCCTTACCCTTATCTTATGCAGTACTACTAGTAGTTTCTACCTTGTTTCCGAAGCTAGTAGTGCCTTTGTCTTGCTCTGTAGGGCATCGGTTCAGATGTCGTCTCGCGGCAGAGGGAGAGGCGGGGGAGGAGGATATCAGGAGCGAGGGGGGTCGAGAGGAGGAGGAGGAGGAGGAGGGGGCGGATATAGGGGAGGAGGACGAGGTGGAGGGGAGCGAGGCGGAGGGGGAGCAGGAGGAGGGGGATATAGAGGAGGAGGTGGTGGAGGAGGAGGAGATCGAGGAGGAGGAGGAGGATATAGAGGAGGAGGGGGAGATCGAGGCAGAGGGGCCCCCAGGGGTGGCCGAGGAGGGCCCGTCCAGGTCTTCTCGTGAGCATAACACGTTTCCTTGTGTCGTCGTCTCTTCCCATCACCAGAAACAAAGAACCGTCTTGGCAACTAGTCCAGACACTCACCAACACTGCTACAGTCCCCCAGGCGGCGTCCCGGCTCCGGATAGGACCGTTACCCAGACCGAAGATGCCCTGCTGGCCCAGGCTGCCAAGGGCATCGACCTCAGTACTCTCGGCCTCAAGGAGTCGTTTCCTCGAAGACCAGCCTACGGCACCAAGGGCGCCGAGGTCGTCCTGTGGGCAAACTACGTCGCCTTGACAGCCTCGCCCAAGCTGGTGCTGTACCGATACGACGTCTCCGTCACCCCGGCGGCTGCTGGAAGGAAGCTCACGCAGATTATACGCTTGCTGCTGGATGCCCCGGAGCTGGCCGAGTACAAGCACGACATGGTCAGCGACTTCAAGTCGACGCTTATCAGCCGCCACAAGTTCGATGACCAGAACATCAAGATTGCGTATCGACAGGAGGGCGAAGACGAGCCGCAAGCCAATGGCCCTCAGTACGAGGTCAAGCTCCAGCTAACGAATACTTTGGCGACTGCGGAGTTGATTGGATACCTCACGTCGACGAACCCGTCTGCCCAATACGACGACAAGCTGCCTCTGATTCAGGCCCTCAACATCTTTCTCAACCACTACGCAAAGTCGACCAACAACCTTGCCACCATTGGGTCGTCCAAGATGTTTTCTTTGAGCGAGAGTTCTGATACATGGGACCTTGGGAGCTGCCTCACCGCCATCCGCGGCTTCTTCGCCAGTGTCCGTGCGGCTACGGCTCGTGTCCTGGTCAATGTCAATCCCAGCCACGGTGCCTTCTTCCAAGAAGGTCCTTTGGAACAGTTCATCCTTCGCCTAGGCTCCGGAAGAGGACTCTACAGGCTACAGACGTTCATCAAGGGCCTCCGCATCAGGACCACCCATCTGAAGCCAAAGGTCGACAAGAATGGCAAGGAGATCCCGCGCATCAAGACCATCTGGGCCTTGGCCAACCCGAACGATGGGCACAACTCTGCGCACCCTCCGAGAGTGAGCGCATTCGGGGCTGGGCCCAAGAACGTCGAGTTCTGGCTCGAGGGGGGTTCCTACAGCGGCCAAGCCCAGCCTGGACCTTCTTCCGGCAAGAAGAAAAAGGGCGCCAAGGGCCAAGAGAATGGACAGTACATTTCTGTCTATGACTTTTTTGCTAGATGTGAGTCTTCATTGGCCGCGCCGCATAACACTCTCAGACCATCTAACTTTCGCAGCATACAATATGCGCATCAACGATACTCGGCTGCCCGTCGTCAATGTCGGCAATAGAGAGAACCCCACCTATCTGCCACTCCAGGTTTGCTATGTGCTGCCTGGCCAGCCGTCCAAGTCCAAGCTGGATCCGAACCAGACCCAGCAAATGATTCGGTTTGCCGTTCGGAGGCCATTCGAGAATGCCACGTCCATCGTCAACCAGGGCCTGCAGACTGCTGGCTTGTCTGCTAGCACAAATCCCTTGCTGGTAAGACTTGATCATTCCACCCTTTTCTGCTCTGTCAAGAAGAACAGCTTGTTGATATCCCTCAGCCTCAATTTGGAATTGAAATCTCCCAAAATCTCGTGACCGTGCTGGGGCGCGTTATTACAAGCCCAAAGGTCAGCTACGGCCAGAACCGACAGGTCGCAACGTTTGGCGGCAGCTGGAACATGATCCCAAGGGGTGCCCCGAGCCTCAAGTTCAGCAACACGGGAAACCTGCAGAAGTGGTCCTGCGTGTACATTGAGACGGCTGAACATCCAAACGCCTACAGGTTCAGCTCCGAAAGCCTGGACGAGACCATGCGGGCCTTTCATACCGTGTTGGCCGACACTGGCATCGCTGCGAGCGCCCCCCTTCGACCCTTTAGGCGGCTGCAGCTGAGAAACGACGGCGATCCTGAGCTCGAGAATCTGATCAAGAACGCTGCAGCGACGCTACAGATGCTGCTTGTCATTCTGCCTGCGACTCCCATCACATTATACAACCGCATAAAGTCTCTGGCCGACGTCAAGTACGGCGTCCATACCGTCTGCAGCGTCGGCACCAAGATTGCGAACCCCAAGGGGCAGGACCAGTACCTGCGTAATCTCGCCCTCAAGGTCAACCTCAAGCTCGGCGGCAACAACCAGATTGTTGAATCTGCGCACTTGGGGTTCGTCTCTGAGAACAAGACCATGATTGTCGGTATCGATGTCACGCATCCTTCCCCTGGCTCGTCCCCACTGGCCCTCAGCATTGCTGGCATGGTCGCGAGCATCGACCAGAAACTCGGGCAATGGCCCGGAATCCTGAGTCTCCAGCCCAGGGGCCGCCACGAGATGGTTGCGGATCTGCAGGACATGTTGAAATCGCGTCTACATCTGTGGCGCTCAAAGGGCAAGCACGCGGCTTTCCCCGAGAACATCATCGTCTATCGCGACGGAGTCTCTGAAGGGCAGTACCAGAAAGTGCTGGACGAAGAGCTGCCGCTGCTGCGCGCCGCCTGCAAGGAGGTGTACCCAGCCTCGGACCAACAGAAGGGCCTGCCACGCATGACCATTGCCATTGTCGGCAAGCGTCACCACACTCGCTTCTATCCGACGGCAGTGAACGATGCCGACAACTCGGGCAACACCAAGCCTGGCACCGTGGTCGACCGAGGCGTCACGGAAGCCCGCACCTGGGACTTCTTCCTCCAGGCGCACACGGCACTGCAGGGCACCGCTCGGCCGGCGCACTACATTGTTGTGCTGGACGAGATTTTCCGCCCCCGATACGCCAAGACGCCGGGCAAGAACATTGCGGATGAGTTTCAAGACATCACACAGAGCATGTGCTACACGTTTGGCCGAGCGACCAAGGCCGTCAGCTACTGCACGCCGGCCTACTACGCCGACATTATGTGCGAGCGAGGCCGGTGCTACCTCAGCCACTTGTTTGAGACGCCGACCAACTCGGCAGCGCCGTCGCTGGTGGGAGACACGGAGGGCGGCGGCGGTGCTGGGGGGCCGTTGAAGCAGGATGTGCAGGTTCACGAGAGGCTCAGGGACACCATGTTTTACATATGAGAGGAGGAGGAGGAGGAGGAGGAGGAGGAGGATTGGATATGTATGAAGAAACGGCCTATTTGGAAAATACGGTATTACTATTTGGATTTCGGCATCTGGACACTATTCGGCTGAGCGGGTTTCAGGCATGAGATTGGCTTTTGATGATTTATCAGAATGAACACATGACGAGAGCATGACAAGAATGAATATGACGATTATCGTGGACAAACAGCAACTTGGCGCTAGGCGTGGTGTTGAAGCAACGGATCATCTTTCTCGGTCAGACTCTGGTGAGGCGCCCCAACTGAAGCTGGGGGGGATTTCCCAGAAAGGCGGCGTGTTATTACCTGCCATGTGTGCAAGTGTTTCATGGAGAAGTCGGCGGATTGATGCCTCAATTTTTGATATAACGGAACGTTCTTGTCACCGTCAGGTCCATTACTGCACACTTGCTTACAGTATAAGCTAATGGCAGGCTTGTCTTCACACAATAACACCACACAAAGTCACGGCTTCTATATTCAACTATCGCAGCCGACCTTATTGCGGCCGACCACCTTATTATAGCGCGAGATTAACAGTAACGCTTAAAATCGCTATATAACTAAGGAGGTGGCCGCAGTAGCAGTAGTAGCAGTAGTAGCAGTAGCAGCAGTAGCAGCAGTAGCAGCAGTAGCAGCAGTAGCAGCAGTAGCAGCAGTAGCAGCAGTAGCAGCAGTAGCAGCAGTAGCAGCAGTAGCAGCAGTAAGGACTTTAAATTAATGCCCTTATATACTTAGCTTTAAGATAGCATTAATAAGGTAGTTCTGCAGTAAATATAGCTCTTATTTATAAATAAGAATATTACTTATTAAAGCTGTCTGGCCCTCTTTTAGTAACTTAGCAAGAGAAAGTTCTAGTAATATAGCTGTGTTATCTGCTAGGAAAACAGGCTGGTATCCCTTAAGCAATTTGAGGGCGTCCTGGCGAGAAGATTCAAATTTTTCAGGTTCTAAAAGAACTGAAGACAACGCTTCAGACAAGTCTTCGGAGGCTGCTCGCGCTGGATGATCCGCCATAAAAGCCAGAGCCTGCAGTGGGTTGGTCTAGGGCGAATCCATTTTGTGGGATGAGAGCGATGCTTTTGCAGGGATTGTGAGAGTTGATGTTTTGGGAGAGATTGTGGAGGAGAGAATAAGGAAGCTAGTCTACTACCAGTAGTAGTACTACCTTACAAGCTTGATGCCCGCTAAAGGCGTCCATACGGTGAGCAAAGCTGCTGGTACTGCTGCTGCTGCTACTGCTATTGCTGCTATTGCTGCTGCCGGTATTGCCGGTATGCTGCTACTGCCTCTGCTACTGCCTCTGCTACTGCTGCAGCCACCTCCTTAGTTATATGGCGATTTTAAGCGTTGCTGTTAATCTTGTGAATAGCAACTGGGTGCCGCACTTGGTGTTTGGCATGAAATTCTCGGTCAGATCCGGTGAGACGGCCAACAAAGGCACCAGCTCGGTGAAAGCAGCCCGAATAGTGGATTGATTGGCGGGATCTCGATGGCCATGACACGCGATGACGTTGTGATTGGGCTTCATGCGAGGCCCACACTCGGAAGTGAGATGCCGTGCTCAAACAACGTTACTGCCAAGCTTGATGCACGAATTTATGCTTGTATGACGCTATTCACGGCTTTGGCCTGGTTTTCATTTGCGGGAGCCTGCAGGGGTCTCGATCCCAGGACGGCCTACTAGTAGTATTATCGTGAGGGGGATGGACCGTGTTTGGCATGTTTTTTTCAGGGTTACAGCAGTGTTTGTGTGGCGATGACGAAGGGTTGGCTTTGGTTGGGTTTCGATGGGTTTTGTTTGGATGGATGGTGTTGACGTCAGGGGGGGGACACGATCTGGTTTTTGTTGGAAGGGAAAGGGTTGAAGCTCGGATTTGGGTATATTATGATCGGTCAAGGACTGCGAGGTGTCGGAGGAGAAATCTGTTTGCCAACAAGACTGCTTGTCCAGAGCTGAAGTTGTTCTACTGCTCGTCCTAGGGAGAACGTTGGGCCTCCATCACGGGCCATCCCCCCTATCGACTTTCATCTGTCGACGACGGCACTTGCAGCCCAGCTCAGCTCCAGCTTCTTACACCATTAACAACAACAACAAGAACGACAAACACCATCAGAGTCCATACATAGAACGGCAGCCATGCCTCTCTTTGGACACAGAGCTCGCGCTCCGGCGAGACCTGCCGCGGCAGGCGAGCCCACGACGGCGCCGACAACAAAGAGACGATGGGGCTTTGGAGGTCACGGCGGCGGCGGCGGTGCCCAACCCGCTACATACAGCATGGCTACGCGGCCTCGGTTTGGACAGTGGCTCAAGGTGACTTGGCTGGATATCCTGACCATGGTGGCCATGGGCGCCATCGGCCTCGGCGTAAGTCTCTCTCTCTTCTCTCTATTCCCCCCCCCTTTTTAAAAACAACCTATCCTTCACAGCCAATACTGACTCTAATAAACAGGTCTACGAAGCAAAGCCCGCTCCCACGCGATCCTTCCCCGTCACCTTCTCCGACGGCGAAATCGTCTGGCCCGAGTTCGGCTACCCGCTGCGCAAGGAAATCATCCCCATCTGGCTCGCCGCCTTCCTCGCCGCCGTCATCCCCATCGTCGTCATCCTGCTCATGCAGATCCGCGTCCGCTCCTTCTGGGACGTCAACAACGGCATCATCGGCCTTCTCTACGCGCTCATCTGCGCCGCCGTCTTCCAAGTCTTTCTCAAGTGGCTCATTGGCGGTCTGCGCCCGCATTTCTTGGACGTGTGCAAGCCTGACCTGAGCCGCGTCACGACGTCCGGCCTCGATAGGGTCGGGTACAAGCAGCTGTACTTTACGCGGGACATTTGCACGGGCGACCCGGATGAGATTGACGACAGCCTCGAATCTTTCCCCAGCGGCCACACGACGGCCGCGTTTGCGGGATTCGTCTACCTCTCGCTGTATCTCAACGCCAAGCTCAAGGTCTTCGCCAACTACCACCCGGCCATGTGGAAGCTCATCGCCGTGTACGCGCCCGTCCTGGGCGCGACGCTCATTGGCGGCGCGCTGACGATTGACGAGTTCCACAACTGGTACGACGTGTTTGCCGGCGCCGTCATCGGTACGGTGATGGCTTTCTCGGCTTACAGGATGCTGTACGCGTCCATCTGGGACTGGCGCTTCAACCACATCCCGCTCAACAGGGGCGTTGCGTTTCCGTACACGGTCGGCAATGGGGACTTGTTTGATGCCACGTTTACGAGGAGGGTCGGTTGGGGCACGGAGAGCTTTGCCGGTGGCGGTGCGGGATACGGAGGAGGTGCTGGTGGTGTCAACAATGGCATGCATGGCGTGAATGGAACAAAGTACGAGACTGGGTATGGAAATGGTTACCATAACAATGGTGGTGCTGGGTATCATAACGGGGGTGGACCGGCGGTGCCGGGGAGGGCTGCTGCTGCTGGGGGACAGCATTATCCTGAGCAGATGGTCTAAGGTCTGCCGTAATATCACTGGTGAGGGGAGAGGATGGTGATTGGCCTTGAAGAGGATGCGGTTGATGCGACGGTTTGCTTTGGTTGTCCAAGGTTGATTGGGGCGTGGTTTCTGTGGGAATGGACAGTTTAATGATGGTTATGAGGGCTTGGGATTTCCTTTTAATATCTAATAAGTCAGTATACCCGCAGATTATGACCTTTCTTTTTTCTAATTCTTAATCAATGAACAAATGTAATGATATATATATATACGACAAGTTGAGGGAGCGATGCATCGTGTGTTAATGACTACCGTATGGGTTGTAAAATGCAAGACAGTCAGTGAGTAGCACGAAGGACGATTTAGTTAATTTAACCACAGTTTCTACCTACCTATACATGTACTTGCCGCCATATGTTTAGAGAAGCATTTCACTAGATGATAATCTCACTTGGGCAGTTAAAGTCTATCCACAGTGTTTTCATCTGGCCAAACCATCCTATATCCTCATTGCTATCATAAACTTCAAATCATGATAGTACTAGGCGGTCAAGGGCTCTCACATGTAAATGCTTCATGCTAGTACTACTAAGTAGGTACGACTAAGCAATTCAACCCCCACTCTCCCGATCTCGGCCCCGTCTCCTTGTCCCCACGGAATACTACTACCATGATAATACCTGTCCTCTGATTTGAGTCATGAATCGCTCCATGAATGCCCGTAAGAAACAACATACAAATCGCATACAGGCTGATCATAGACATGTTCTCAATATTATGTGATATCAACAATACCATCACCACCAGCTTATGTGATGCAAATCTATACCTAGATCCAAAGGCCCGGTCGGGAGGGCTAAGCAGCCCGGAGTGGAGCAGCGGCGTCCCCAAGTTCTAGAAGCTCAAGCTGGGCCGCAGCCAAGAGAACAAGAGTCAGAAGCCGCCAAACTCGCCGAGCGAAATCCGGATGACTCTTTTTTTTCTCTCCTGTGCCGTGTTCTTTATAACCAGCGTGGCGTCTAGCGTTTCCGTTTCGTTTTCCTCTGCTTCCCTTGTTTTCCTCTCCTCCGACCCAATTGAAGCTGCCGATAGCTCTCTGTTGATTCTTGACCCAATTGCCTTGCCCCTCGACTCAACTCGAGACTCTTCCAGACAAAAAGATCCGCTCAACTCGAAACCGTCACCATGTCCGGCCACATCCTCACCCTCAGCTGCCCCGACAAGCCCGGCATCGTCCACGCCGTCACCGGCATCTTCGCCTCCAAGAGCCACAACGTCCTCGACCTGCAGCAGTTCTCCGATCCCGTCACCAACAGCTTCTTCATGCGCGTGCACTTTGACACGGCCCCCGACGCTGCCGACCCCTCGTCCACCGAGCACCTCGAGCCCGACTTCCAGGCCCTCGCCGCCCAGTACGCCATGACATATGCCTTCCGCCCGCTCAAGCGCCGCACCCGCGTCCTCATCATGGTGTCCAAGATCGGCCACTGCCTCAACGACCTGCTGTTCCGCATGAAGACGGGCCAGCTGCTCATCGAGGTGCCCATCATCGTCTCCAACCACCCTGACTTTGAGCCCCTGGCCAAGAGCTACGGCATCGAGTTCCACCACCTGCCCGTCACCAAGGACACCAAGCTGGAGCAGGAGGCCAAGGTGCTGGAGCTGATCCAGCAGCACAACATTGAGCTGGTGGTGTTGGCGCGCTACATGCAAGTCTTGTCGCCTAAGCTGTGCGAGGCCATGTCCGGCAAAATCATCAACAGTGAGTCGATGCAGCCCTGAGCTCTTCCCTTTCCTCCATCACATCAACATACTGACCAGATCCGTGCAGTCCACCACAGCTTCTTGCCTAGCTTCATCGGCGCAAAGCCCTACCACCAGGCCTTTGACCGCGGAGTCAAGATCATCGGCGCCACCGCCCACATCGTCACCGCCGACCTCGACGAGGGTCCCATCATCGAGCAGCGAGTCACGCGAGTCGACCATAGCATGGACCCCAAGAAGCTGTCCGAGGAGGGATCCACCGTCGAGACGCAAGTGCTGGCGGCGGCAGTCCGCTGGTATGCCGAGGGGAGAGTCTTTTTGAACGGACACAAGACGGTTGTGTTCTAGGCGGGAAAAAACCAAAGGGGGAAAGGAGACGAAAAGCGTCACAGTATATATCTGCGATGGATTAGCATCCGTACATATGTCCGAATTTAGCCTTGCTCACCAATTGCTTTTCACGTGTGAGCTGGGCCACCTGGCGCATACCCGGTGGTTAGAAACCAGGATTGCCATTTGGCAACAACATAAACTATTAACCAGCGGGAACAAGCGCATGCATGCCAAGTCGCACAATCGTCGATATAAAGTCAGAAGAGAATCAGGATTCCGCTGGTTTCCCCTCTCGGTTAGATCTGCAGGATACGGGATCCAGGATCAGTGCGACTGTGTCTGCAAATGGAGTGCGTGCAAGTGGCATCGCCGACTTCCGAAGCTAGGGATTGGGCTTCGACTCCACGAAGGAGACGAGATCGGATCTGTTGAGCAGGGACTTGGACAGCATAGATAGAGACCAGCGAGTACGGAAATTGCCATCTGCCAAGCCCATCCTTGTGAGACATATTGGCGTTGAAGCGGCAGCGGCAAGGAGGATGCGTTGGCCAAGGGGGGGCATAGAGTCGCTGGTGTAGCACAAGGATAAACGCCGCCGACGGCCCGCTGATGCGCTTGTCGGTGGTATAAGTGCAGCGACATCCCTTGGTCGCAGCAATCCGGCTCTCGATGCGATCAACAAAAAGCATTCGACACCTTGATCAACCAGTTTCCCGCAGCTGTCAGGATGGGCGGAGTCCCCTCGATACCCACCGATCGGTCGCGGACCGTGCAGGTCATCGGCGCCGGCTACTCCCGCACCGGCACCGTGTCCATGGCACTGGCGCTGGAGAAGCTGCTTGAGGGGCCGGTCATGCACGGCGGAACGCAGCTGTTTGGGCGCGAAGATGGTTGGTGCAGCCCTTGACAATCCTCACCTTCAGCATCACATGTCTTTGCGCTCGTGCTCACGCTCATGTTGAACAGCCTATGTCAAGCTCTGGTGCGACATCTTCGCCAACCGCGACAACAGGCCCGTCCTCATGAAGCTCCTGCGCGAGGCCACCGCGGGCTTTGTTGCCGTGACCGACGCTCCCGCCAATGCCTTCATCCCGGAGCTGCTCGAGCTGTATCCAGAGGCCAAGGTGGTGCTGGTGACGCGCGATCCGGACCGCTGGTTTAGCAGTATGCAGGCGCTGATTAAGGACGGCGTCGGCGAGTCGATGCTGATGCTCAAGGTGCTGCTGTGGCCATGTCCCGGATGGCGATGGGCGCCGCTGTGGTTGAACCAGCTGGGATCCTAGTAAGTCGAAGCTGCGCTTTCAGCGGCATGCCTGTACGCTGATCGGACGATTGCTGATCCTCCGTACAGTGAAGCAACCCGTATTGGATCAACACTGACCCGAGGTTGGTGATGCCCCTGAGCTGAGATTTGCAGAGTGCCTGCTGATCATTGACAGACTCCATCCTCATCCACAACGAGTGGGTTCGCAAGCATGTGCCCCCCGAGAAGCTCTTGACCATGGAGCTGAGCCAGGGCTGGGAGCCGCTGGCCAAGTTCCTGGACAAGCCGGTCCCCGATGGCCCGCTTCCTCACGCCAATGATGGCGAGGCCATGGAGAAGTTTGCAAAGAGCGTGTTTCGGACTGCGATGCTGACTTGGGTGGGCATTTTGTCGGGCACGGGGATGCTGGCGTGGGTGGGAGTGGGAGCGTGGAGGAGGAGCCTGCTGGTTTGATGGAGAAGCGTGGATGATGATCACAGTTGACAATGACTTTGCACGTTATGAATGGACGAACAAAAATGACATCTGCTTCAAGCCATGCAAAGTGATTCCAGGGTTCGTGATGCTTGAGATGGTGTAGGTTGGCAGTCAGTTCGATGCTCCGAGGAATGAACTGACTTGCAGCGATTGCCCACCAGATGAGTAGACATCACGTGAGATGACACAAGTTGAAGCTGCATATCGATTGCGTCTGTTGGAGATGGCCAATGATGGGACACCAGATAAGCGAGGATTGATGACATACATACTCTTGACTCTAGGAGAGACCTGATTCCAATTTGTCTTGTTGTGTCTTGATGTGTTGCTGTACTAATACTCGTAACCTCAGGGTAGCATCTTGCACGGAGTGGCCGAGACAGCAAACTGCCGCACTGGCTGCATCCAGCCAAGGCCCAGTGGCTTAGCATGCGGTGGATAGAAAACACGGGAATGATCGTGCTCGTTTTAACGCTAGATTTCTATACCTCAGTCTACCTGGTATGGTATGGATACTTCAGTTAGGATTTACCTATTCAACGTACTTTAGTCAAGATAGAAGTACATAGCGATAGTAGCAGAAATTAAAGACCCGTTTCTTTCATAGATATCAGTTGTATTAGTAGGTAGGAGTAATAGGCACCATAAACATACCTACTAGGTACCTAGAGTGTGTGAGCTACATGTAGTCTGGCGTTTTTCTTCCACAGCCTGCTCAGGCACACGCGGGGACATGGTTCAGCCACTGTGTCGATTGCTCGATTGTTGATGCCGTTGAGGGCGTAGGCCGGCGCATGTGATTGGCCGGAGCGAGGGTGTGCCTGGCGCTGGAATTGCCCTGGAAATTGCCTGCTCTGACGATGCACGGGCAAAGTCTAGCTAGTAGTGACCAAAGTACGGTAGGTACTACATGTAAGCCCAAAGTCAATCGTGTCAACAAGTGCTGGAACCGACTGCCCTCGGTCTATCGCTATGGAGATGCTCTAGATGATGCTCTCATCATACTGACTTGTCAGATCAAAACATCAACCTCAACTCTCCAGGGTCATACAGCCAGATTCACCTCAAAATTGACATCGTCATCTCTCGTCCTCGTCCTACTCCTCCTCCCCACCTCGTCGCTCTTCGCACCCCTGCTCGCCCTCATCGGCCATCAAATCTCAGCTCGTCACGTCACGTCACGTCAACGCATCGCCCTGCAAAACCACCCCCTTAGCCTCGCTGGGCATCAGCAGCCTGTTAGTGGTCAGCAGCCGCCTGTATAGCGCACTCACTGGCCCTCTCGCGCCCGCTCCGCTGCTGTTGGGCCTCAAAGCTTAGGTCAATGTTCTCTGGAGTTCCAGGCGTGATGGACGCCGGGCTGCGTGTAATTCCGGCCCGAGCCTCGCTGTCCCCAGCCTGAACGAATCCATACCTCACCAACCTCACAAACCCCTGCTAGGCCCGTTCAGTCTCCCGCTCCGTCTTCCCTGCTCGTTACCTGACTCTCACCACCCCTCATCCACCTGCTATTACGGCTCCAGCTACCTTTACTATTGCCCGACTATTATCAATCCCACAAGCCTCCAGACTCCAATCTTGCTGAAGCTTTCCATCTGCGCCGTTTGACTTTCTCGCCCTTGACTTTGGCCGGCTCTTGTTTCCTTTGTTGTTCCACCAGCTGCCGCTTCCCTTCTTCACCTTCGTTCCCTCCTTTGTCGCCTCTTGGTCTTTCTCTTACTCTACCTACTTACCTACCTTACCTTACCTACCCAAGGTATCCTGCGCAGCCAACCGCTTGTTTGTTTGCTGGCACCAACCGACTCCGACTCCGACCCCGACCGACCGCTGATACCCTCCACACGAGCTGCATCAGATTCATACCCGACGAACCATCCATACAGCCGCCCTGCTTCTTTAATCCAATCCGCTTCTTCTTCTTCTTCTTCTTCTTCTTCATATCCAGCCGCTCGTCATTCGCCAGCACCCCGCCGCCTCTCTCTCCCTCGTCTCTCTCCCTTGATCCAGCTTGGATTCCTCGACCAACACCGCGAATCGCTCAGCCAGGTTCCACGACGCCACCGCCGTCGAGACGCCGGAGATGGACTTTTCCCAGCAGCAAGACTTCATGCCCCAGCACGACGCCGACACCAGCATAGGCCCCGACGACACCCTTGCCGGCTTCGACGGCGCATCGGAAGCCGCCTCTAGCAATGGCGCCCACCACCAGCAGAGCCACTCGTTCGACCATAGCATTGCCGGCAGCCTGAGGCAGGAGGAGGACTCGCCCAGCCGACACACTCCCCCGGTGTCGTCGCTCTCGAGACCGGCTAGCGGCCTGTCCAACCCGGCCCCTCCGCCCTACAATGAGTACCGGCCGAGTTCGAGCGAACAAGCAAACGGCCGGAGCCACGTCGTCATCAAGGTCGGCATGGTCGGCGATGCCCAGATTGGCAAGACGTCGCTCATGGTCAAGTACGTCGAGGGCAGCTGGGACGAGGACTACATCCAGACGCTGGGCGTCAATTTCATGGAGAAGACAATTAGCATTCGCAACACGGAAATCACATTTTCCATCTGGGACCTGGGCGGCCAGCGCGAGTTTGTCAACATGCTCCCGCTCGTCTGCAACGACGCAGTCGCCATCTTGTTCATGTTTGACCTGACGCGCAAGAGCACGCTCAACAGCATCAAGGAGTGGTACCGGCAGGGGCGAGGTTTCAACAAGACGGCCATTCCCGTCCTGGTCGGCACCAAGTACGACCACTTTGTCAACTTTCCGATCCAGGACCAGGAGGAGATTTCCAGCCAGGTACGCGTGCTTGAGAAGGCCTTTAATTGCCTTGTCTAGGGATGCTCTGCTGACTGACATGCGACTTTATAGGCAAGACGGTTTGCCAAGGCTATGCGGGCGTCTCTGATTTTCTCAAGTACAAGCCATAGCATCAACGTGCAAAAGGTACGTCTGTCGTCTTTCCATCCCCGAGCATTGTATGAGAGAGGCTAATCCAGCCAGATTTTCAAAATTGTCCTGTCCAAAGCATTTGACCTCAAGTGCACCATTCCCGAGATCGAAAACGTCGGCGAGCCGTTATTACTATATCAGTCTGTGTGAAGTCTCTAGCAGCGCTTGCTCCCCATTCAAGGCTTGACTAGATTTATGCTTATTCTTTTTCTCGCCACGCCATTTTCTTTACGATATACATTTTAATGCGCGAGTGCCGCGAGACGTAACTCGAGCGGCGGCGTCAGAAGAAAACCTGCATCTCAGCTGAAACTGATGGCGGTATATCATTGCTCTTGCGGAACGCGAACGGCTATTGCTGCTCATAGAGGCGATTGAACAATGATTCGTATACTAGGAGGACCCCCTGCAGGCCGCCGTCTTTGTCGTCTTTGCCCATGATGCACTTTTGCTAAGGCCGTCGCGCTGATTATTCACCAAGGCGGAGAGGCGAGCCCTTTGGGGTCTGGGACTGGCGGCAGAAGAGGGACGCCATGAGAGCTGCGCTACACCCTGAGGCCGTAGCCGTAGAATCGCCCGGCTCTCTGGTTTGGATTGGCAAAGAATGCTTACAAGTAAAGTAGGTAACAAGGAGAAACAGAAATGGTACCTGTACTTTTTTTCATCCAAAGGTCGTTTTTTTTTTTTTTTTTTTTCCAAGCACTCTCATATTTTATACTTCTGCTTTTCCAAAGGTATGCGCTTTTGAGGGGCGGAGCAAATTCTGGGCCATGAAGAAAGGTTCTCAAGGGGTTTCAAAAATGGAGGTGAAAGGGACATGGCTGGGCCAAGTCTGATGATTTATCGTTACTTAATCAATGGTCCACGATTCATATGCTCCTTGCCATGTTGACTTTGTGGGATGGATCTGCTGTTGAGACGATCAGATGTGATTCGTTAGTTGAGACGTACCTTATATATAGGTATATATGGCATTTGGTATGGTATACTCATCCTTTACCTTTAACTCTCTCCCATTCGTTCTTTCACTGTCCATACCTTATTTTCTTCACGTGGCCTGATGATTATTGAGCTTGAAATACCAAGTTGACTACCTACTTCTCTGCCCGCAAGCAGGCTATTAAGCAAGAATAATGAACCCGGTAACCGCCCTTTTTTCTTCACCAATGCTCAGTGCCCAGTTGTTGTTCCCTTGTTCCCATTTCCGTAATTTCCCCGTTTCCCAGTGTGTGGGTGTGTTTGCATATATCCCGTACATGATCAAATTGCTCAGACGGAGTTGTGTTTTATCCGTCAAGTGAGCCAGGAAATGATTGAGAATGCAAATCCACCTCCCATGTTCTTTGAAAAAAAGCAGCCAAAGAGCTGGTCGATTATGTTGCAATTATCGCAGTCAAAGAGTTGAGATGTTTCTGATGGTGGAGATGGTCCTTTTTTTTGTGTGTGTGCTTTTGTTGAAAGGTGGTTCCATGAAGCTCCTTCATGATGACAACTTTCGTCCGTATATATATGTCGCCATTCCACGTTCAGGGGCACCTATCCTCACTGTACGAGAATCAAGACTCACCGACACCTTGCTCAAGTAACGCCTTAATCAGAGTCGCTCTCTCCAATGGACTCAGCCTTTGGCTTGACGTAGACCTTGTCCTGCGAAGCACCAGTCTCACGACGATGATTCTCAACCACCGGACGAATCGTTGCGGCGCTTCCATGACCCCAAGTGCGCACGGGAGGCGGCGTCTGCGGGTACGGATACACGCGTGGGTGCAGGCTGCAGTGGACCTCCCTCGGGAGCTGCGAGTAGCGAGGAGGAGCTCCGTCAGGAGATGCCTCCATGCGCGGCTCGGGATTGTACTCGGGCCTTATGCCGAGGGCGAGCCTCGCCGCGTGGCCTCGCGCACCGGTGAGGGTACTGGCTGGAGAGGGCAGCTGAGCACGCTCGTTGCGATGGTAGCCGAGTCCGCGGGTAGAAGAAGCAGCAGAGCCGGTGACGGCTGTGCCTGCGTTACTGTGAAGGTCGTGCTGGCGGTAGTACTGGAACTGGCCCTGCGTCTGACCGGATCGGAGAGACTGAGACTGGGACTGAAGGCGACCAAAGGCAGAGTTTCCAAGCGTCTCCTCAGAGTCGGTGGCCCAGTACGCCCAGGCATCAAAGTCCTCATCCGTCTCGACATAGCCGTTGAACACGGTGACCTGGCGAGAGCGCGAGCCGTCGACGTAGACGGATCGAAGACTGTAGTAGCTCTGCGCGGTGTACGCGTATGCCTGGGGACGGTTGTGGTAACGAGCGGCGCGGAGGGCGGCTTGGTGGGCAGAAAAGGGAGGGAAGCAGAGGTCGTCGGGGAGGAGGACCCAGATGATGGCCATGAGGACGTTGAAGAGAAAGAAGACGGCCATGGTGACGGCGATGGCGAACCAGACGGGGGAGACTTCCTTTTCTTCCTCCATGACGAGCTGCTGGTTTTTGATTCTCTTTTCTAGAGAGGTGTTCAATATAATGATGAGATGATGGGGGGTAAAAGAGTGTGTTTCTTTTTTGTGTGATGATGGAAAGTGAAGGGCTGGAGTGTTGGTGTTGGCTTCAAGGACCATGAAAGATGTGGGAGGAGAAGGGAACAGAACGCGGACGAGGTGGAGAAGAGAGGAAAAGGCGTCATCAGTCCTTCTTTCCCATTCTTCCTGCTTCATCTTTCAACTTCTTCTTGACTAAGCATGGCCACGAGGTGCTGCCAGCTGAGGGTGGTTGCCTGTGCAGCTGGCAGCCAGCTGGCAAGTTGTTCCTGCCTTTTTCTTTCCAAGTCTATTGGCGGGTGGCAGGGACCTTGTATGTGGTGCCATACAGCAGCAATACAACATAGGCTTGCTACTGATATAGTGAAATCAATAATGAAACACATAGAATCTTGGTACATTATCAAGGACAAGGATGAACCTCTGTAGAGAAAATTTTGAACATGGTTATGCCGATGTGGTGAACCAGGCGTGGTGGTGTCTGTAGGCTGGGACTGCTCTAACACAAGGACTCAGGTGACATGGCTCGGAGGCTTGTGTGAATGAGAGATCCAAAGTAAAGGAAAGAGACTGTAAGATAGCCGGTTGGCGGGTCAATGGGTTTTCAATCTCCCTGATACAGAGTTTTTGACGTAACTCCATATTAAATGACATATGTACTAGGCAACAACAGAGGCCATCACCCTTGTATAAGTGCATACTCATTTTGTCCGGCAAACGCTTGGCCTACTAATGAATCTATTTGATGCCTTTCTCATACATCATAGTAGTCTTGCGACTGCATAGTAGTATGCTTTATCTGTGTCAGCTAGATATACTATTACTTTTAACTTTTATAGCTACCTAGAAGGCTATGAGTTTAGTAAACCAGCACTAGATACTTTTTCTAATAGAATTATCCATACTATAACAGTATAGGAGTACTTTCATATCAATCAATAAACGTAAATTCCAAAGCAAAAAGTCATGGAATTCCTTCCAATCATAGAGAAGAATGATCAAAGCAGCAATCGTCAACAACTACCTACTATTTCACTCCACCAAGCACCCTCAACCAGTAGCCCCACTCCAGCAGCCTCCTGACCCTCTCATTGGCCACTCGAGTTATCCCGCGATCACAGGTACTAACCGTGCCTTGCGTGCAAATACGTGTATCGCCTTTCAATCTCCATATTTTGCCTTCCCTCCTTTCTATGTCTCCCACACAAGATTCGGTACTACTATCGTCAAGGTTATTATTATTAGAAGCTCTGCATGTAGGTTGCTAACTACCTACCTACCTAGGTAACTGCAAATACGTGTATTCGACTGCCCTACCGGAACCTCACTTGACTTTCTTCACATGTCGCTTCGTGTTACTCATCGTCCAACGTCCCCGAATGCAAAACGTCAATCCATCCATCTTTACTCGATCTGCCCTGCATCAATGACATCTGGGCATCTAACTTGATCCGTCGCGCGACTCGTTACGACCCGCGCGACGCCATCAAACGGCACCCGCGTGGCCAATTGGCAGCGGCTTGATCGCATGCAGCACCAAGAGCCCCCATTCCACATCATCCACTGTCTTTTCTGCATGCGTCGATGCTGCGCATCAACATGCAAACCACCATCAGCTGCATTCTAGAGCAGCGTCGTCAATTTCAGCACACCATCGTGCTAGTATTTTGATCCGCATTAAGAGAAAAAAAGAAGGGAAGCGAAAAACTCTTTCTTTCTCGCATTGGCAAACATCAGGCAAGAAGCATCCTGGTCAACCAAGTCCAAAGTTCGCAACCCCTGACGGGGGTTGTAGCGCAATGTTACACCAATTGCCCTCTTTCAGCAGCAGCACCGAAAATCAGACCAGTCACAGACACCATAGCCAAAAGCAGGCAAAAAAACCCAGGAGATAGAGGGGACGAGAGTAAAAGAAGCCATGTGCAGGACGCTTCGCGCGGTGTTAACAAACGACGACTCTTTTGTGAATGACATGGTGCTTTTATGTATCCGTTATGTAGGTAACTGACAAGAAGCAAACAACTTCGCGCTCTAGACAAAGCACAAGTCCATCCAGTCGTATTTCTACCGTATATGAGCGCCAAACATGGGGCCAAAATCCACGCAACTCCGTTAACGCCCGGCTGTAACATGAAGTTTCCTTCATTTGCTTCCAAAGGGCCATACGCAATTAAAGTGAGCATCTCAAAAAAGAGTAAAAAAGAAATGGAACAAGAAACAGGGACAACGTCCGTGATAGCGGGGGTATCTCGCACGTCCCCAACAAATCCTCAATCAAAGACGAAAAGGTTGCCGGCACGGCATCCGGCATCAGAACACCAAGGGTAGCACAATGTGCGCCCGATGATGAAGGGAAAGGGAAACCTCGCAGAGAAAGGTTGTAATTGCGTATGGTCAAAGGTTAGGCCCCAATGGATGGCCTGTGAATCAAAGGGTCGTGCGACGTTTCGTCATAGGGAGCATCTTCATCTTCGAGAGAGCGGTGTTTGCCTTTAGTCGTCCGACTTCTTGCCCCAGAGGGGTGCGCCGAGAGGCTTGCTGATGCCAAAGCCAACGCTGACGGCGACGCCCACGACCAGCACGATGATGAGGACCTTAACAATGATCTTGTTGCGAGGGCTCAGTTTGGCCATGCAGGCGCAGTTGTTGCGCTGCATCTTGGCCTGCTTGGCCTGTCGCTCCCAATGGTCCTTGCCGGGCCAGACCTGGCAATCCTTCTTTGCATCCAGTGTGACGCTTTTCCGCATGGGCTTGTCGAGGGAGCTGTGCGAGTTGAGAGCCTCAATGTCGGCGTCAAAGGGATTGGTCGTCGTCTTGTCTGAGTGCGGGTTCGATGTGATGCTGGTTACCGACGTGGCGTTGGTCGGAACGGCATAGACGCCCACAGTTGGGGTGAGAGCCTTGTCAGGCACGGAAATCTCGATGGTCACCTCTCGAGTGAGGCGAACGCTGGCAGTAGACTGCCTCTTCTCAGGAGCAGCCGCCATAGCGAGGAATGTGGGAGGTCAAGGCGAAAGTGACGAGTGTGGGAAAGTGGCCAAAGTTGAGATCCCGTCACTTGAAGTGCGGAAAGAATGGCAGGCAGCTATTGAAAAAAGGCAGCAAAACAGAGCCTCGAGGAAACAATTTCTCCTACCGGATGGAGATCAGCATCTTGAACATATGCAAGGGAGAGCTTCCAAAGGGAAAAGCGAGTGCGGAAGAGAGAGGGAAAATAGAGCAATGTAGGTAAGTAGGTAGGCAAGGTAGGCAAAAAGTGAAAGTGCACAAAGCACCTGGCACGGACCCGGATGGCACATGCAGGCCCAGAGCAGCAGCGAATAGTAGAATTGAGATCCATACCTGTGTTGCACGAGAATTGGAAAATGGCACAATGGACCCTGCACAGCCCGGGAGAGTTTGCCTGACACCAAGGCACCGTCTGCGAGTGGCGACGACGAGTTCGAATGTCTCGGACTGTTTGTGGCAAGTCCGGTACGCAAGAGAGTGAAGGAGAGAATGAGAAGAGTAGGTAGAAGCTTCAAGCGTCGAGGTTGAGAGAGGAGAGAGAAGCGGAGCAGGACAGAGGAGGGGGAGGAGGAAGGGAAGCTGTGGTGCTGAGCAGCCACGAGGGATGAAGTGAGGTGCCGTCTAGATGGTGGACATTGGCGAGCTTCGATCTTCTGGGACGCCTTGACGGAAGTTTGATCTTGACACAAGCGACTCGAGCCAGTCCAACTGCGTCTATCGATCGGGCTGTCGTCGTGAGAGAAGAGGAGAAGCGCTGGCTGTTGAACCGAGAATATGGGGAGACGGGAGTCGAGGACGAGAGCAGCCGGTAGCCTGATATTGGGAAGGAGGGAGGCGAGCGCCGGTACCCCGTTTGTATCTGCACTCGTACCTGCTGCTGTACCTGCTGCTGTACCTGCCGCTGTACTTGGACCAGCACCTGGCAGCGGTTCAAGGCTAAAAGCACCTGAAGCTGCAGGCGTTTGCGCTCGAGCTTGGCGCTAGTGGGTACCTCGACATGCTCTAGCGGGTACTTGAGGGGCACTCCCGGACACTCTTCTAGCTCTCCAGACAAGAGCAAACGGCCTTGCGCGGCCCAGGTAGCATCTGCTCATCTCGCGGGTACCTGATGCCACAGACGTCTTGGACGGCCCATGTTCCTCGTGCGAGCCCATGCCAGGACCACTACCTAGTCGTATCACCACTATTTCTTGCCCTCTTGCTGTCCATGTCGGATCCCCTGCTGCCAGGCCCAGGGGAGCGAGATTGCCCTCTTGCCGCTCGGGCCACTCCAGAGCCTAGACCAGCCCGGCTAGCGCTGCCCGAGCCACCAAAGGCCACTAACGGCAGCGCGCTAAGGCCCCTGTGGCATCGCTTTAGTGCATGCAGCCGATGCAGGGGAACAAAGAAGCTCCGGGTTCGACGATGCCCCAGCTGCTGCGCAAAACGTGGGCTCTTCATGTCCCGCGTCTTGAAGTGATGGGACCCAGATGAAAGGACCGCCGCGCATGGAGAGCATGAGTTGATTTGGCTGGGCTGGCTCGACTGGGCTCTGGCGACATACGAGTGTTGCGCTCTGGACGGAGCTGCTGCACCGCTCGCTTATCATCGATGACACTGAGGTGACGAAGATAAGACCATCGTCGCTCAGTCTCTGCCCTGTCTGTCTCTTCTGCTCTCGCTCGCTCCCTCTCCCCCCCTCTCTCTCTTTCTCTTTCTCTGCGCCCTTGTCCGTCTTGTCTGTCTCGCCAGTCTCGTCTGTCTTGCTTGCCTCAATCTCTCTGTACTCAGCCTCGTGTCTCCATACGCGGGAAAAAGCCCCCCTTGACGAGTACGAAAATCAACAGCAGCGTACTGCCGCATCGCGATGCGCTTGACCAGTCGATATACCTGCACCGGCATCGGTAGACGCAATATCGGTACGCGCATCGTCCCCCCTCCCTAGCCCTTGACCAGGAACTGCATTTTGATGCTATTACTACTCCCACGCTTGCATCCTCCCACAAGCCTTTCGACAGCATCAGCACCATTCAATGCAGACTGCAGGCGAGCCGGTCCCTGCCCATGGCCACCCAGACGTTGTGCGGCTTGGGAACCTTGTGGAGGCCGTTCCGGGATGGCCCCCCTTCCCCCCCCAAGTCAATCCTGGCCACCACGCGTATCAGTCGTCCATCCATTGGCTCGTCCTTCGTGCCATCTGCCATCCGGTTCCAAGTACGAGTACGAATGGCCTGGCCTGGTCTCCTTAGTCAGGTAGCAGCCGAGGCGCCTGCATGGCGTTTTGATGGCATCAGTTCGTCTTCAATGGTCTGTTAGGTCGAAGAGTGAGTTGCCTGATTGAGAGCATGTCGTCGACTGATTGACTGGCGGCACTACATACAAGCCGTCGGGACGGGCGAGTCAGCAGTTTGCATCATCCTTCTCTTGGCTGGCTTCTTCATCATGCCCCTTTAAACGAGGCGACCCCTTGCCGCCGATGAGGATCGCCACTGGCGCAAATGACGGCGATGCAGACAGGTCGATACGCGTTTTGACTGTTGGCAGCCAGGTTCCGGACAGCGTGCGACCAGCCTTGGGGAGGGGACCAGCACATCTGCGTGCATGTAAGACTATTGATTCCATGCTACCGTAGTACCACGCCAGAAAGCTCGTGGCTTGCAACCGTTCTGCTCAGGGGCTTTTGTCCAACTGCTTTGTATTAGCCCCCGCGCCACTCTGTGTCTCGACTCGTCGCCCGACAGACGTTACGACGCCCAGTGGAGGCACTCGGTCCAATCCCCGCGTTTTCATGTACCCATTTAGGCAGTTTCCTTAGGCTTAGCATAGGCGTGCTCCGACTAAACCTGTTGTCATCGCGCAACTATCGAGATAGGATGCTTCTGAAGTAGCGAGCCGTGATGTGCTCCAACATCACTTCGTGATGGCCAAGTATGCTTTCGCCTCGTCACCACTCGAAAAAGCCAGCATGCTATCATCGATACTGGTGCTTGGGCCGTGAGCTGCGTCGCCGAATACGAACAGCTGCGTGGCTGCTCGCCGAACTGAAACTCGCAACACTTTCGGACCGGTCAGAGGAGCTATCGTCGTCCTCCACTTGCTGCTGTAAAGCACTAGGAGGCACCTCCCATGACATTAGGCCCAGCTGCAAAGCGTACGAGCGCATAGGGATCCCGTTTGGTATGTCTTCTCTGAGTGCACGCCATCGGCTCCATGTTCCTTCGAACCGCTTGATCATCGAGGTTTGGTCAACTCCATCCTCCTCGGCCAGTCGAGCATGTATAAACATCTCAGAGGTTGCATATGAAAGCAGCGCGGGATAGTCTTCTAGCATCGGCGCAGGGCTTCCGTCAGACGACGACGTGGCAGACTCGCAAGGAAGCTCATCTTGGTGTGCCCATCCCAATGGAGCAAGACCATCATGTGCCAACCAGCTGCCGATATCTATGCCCACGGCAGGTTTTGAAGCACTTAAAGCGTCGAAAATGAATGCTTTCTGATCTCCTTCCACCGACCGCCGTGGCTGTTTGCTGACTGCTGAATGGCCGGAATGTGCGTCACTGGAGCTCGTCCTTTTCAAATGTTTCTCTCTGACTCGACGACCAGCCGCGAGAATTCGGGCTTTGACGAGGGCATCTAGCTCGGAGATATGGACGTAATCCAGGCAGGTGGTCATTATTGCCAGATGGCCATTGCCGATCGGATGGTTCTGTAGGCTGGAATCAAGCGCAGAGAATCCATTGCCTCTCAGAAAGAAGTCACGCACCGATTCGTGTATAACCTGCACGACCCTGGAGTCGCCATGTTCCAAGTCGAGCGATCCTGCTCCTGCACACATAGATATGACTTCGGTTTCCGCCTTTTGTGGCACACTCGTCCAGGCTTTACTAATCTCCACGAGGCCCCTTGACAGACTTCTGATTTGCTTCTCAAGCTGTTCGTCGCTCTCGGTGAAATGGACTGACTGGCGCCATTCTCCGAGTGACCCAAACGCTGCTGGCCTCGACTCATAAGCATGAAGCCTTTGTTGCCTGCTTGCAAGGCGGGATGAAACCTCTGCTGACGCAGGCTGTCGAATGAAGGCCATTATATGGTGCCATTCGTGGAGGCGAAGTGGTTTCGTCGCAAGAACAGCCCACTGAAAGAACCGGGCCGTCAACTGTCTTGTGCTTGGTTCCAGGTCGGAAAACAACTTCCGGAAGAGGCTCTCCAATGCTTCTGGCACATCTCTCAGGCGCTGAATCAGGGCTGGCAGCGAGCTACCATTGTCCCAATTCTTTAGCACATCTTCCACCACTAAAACGGCCCAAAGGAAGACTCCAGCAGCCTTTTCCAGAATCTTTCGCTTCAAGAACTCCCAGTGCGACCTCTGTGCAGACATACATATCTGAAACTTTTGATCCACGTAACTTGCAATGTCATCGCCGTTGTGCTGTTCAACTACTATTTCCACACAATCACTCAGCGAGATGGTGGGGAAATGTCTGCTGGAAAGGCAAACATTGAGATCATGGCCTAGATCATGGGCAGCTTTGGTGATTGACCTCCAAAAGTACGCAAGTGGACGTATACTATCCTCATCACACTCATCGAGAGCATCAATGAAGATAATAGTCCTCTTTGCCTGATTGAGTAGAACTGACTTCAACAATTGCCGCAATTCTGCCTCTTCCCAAGCAATAGTCATTGCCGTTTGTCCATGGCTCTTGAATGGGAGCTTGGCCTTGTTGCAGTATTGGTGGAAACGTTGGAGAGATGGCCTGTCTCCAGGCAGAAGCTGGCAGAGCAGGGAGCGGAAAAGGCCAATGCTCGTGTGTTCAAGCTCAACCCCTTTGGCACAGAAGAAGTGGGCGGCCGTGCTGTAACTGGATGTGGCTTGCATCGCAATGGAGCGGCCAAATGCCTCCTTCATCAGAGTGGACTTGCCCGCACCTGGCTTTCCTTTCAGCCAGAGAAGGCCGTGGCTTCTGTGCCTACTTCTGCTGTTGAACCACTCTTCATACTCCAGGTGTGCGAATAACCATGAACAGGTCCGATGGGCCGGGCTCTCAATGTTCTGGACCCGGTTGTTGATGGCTGGGAACCACAGAGACTCGAGGCAGGCATCGCTGACTTGGTTGGAGCCGGCTGCAAAGACTGGTTCATTTGAAGAGCTGTCACTCAGGAGCCTCGAAGGTTGTTGCATCCGGCGGCTTGGAGGTGTTTCGATCCTGTTGCATCTCTCAATAGAGCGGTATATCATATGAAGCTCACCAGCTACTTTATGGTAGTTTGGGTCATCTCTTCCCGAGTACCGACACATTTCCAAATGATTGGCTTGTAGCGTCTCCGCATACTCGCGATGGTCTCCAATCAGTGAGGAGTAATCTGGGACCACCTTCTTCCCGAATTTTGCAAAGCTGAGCCCTTCTTGAAAGGTCTTGACCCGAAAGTTGTACTTCTGCCATACCTTGGAGAAATCCTCTTGCGCCCTCTCCAAGTCCGAGGTCTTCAGACCAAGAGCATGAAGGTTCACAGCTGATGTCTCCATGCCTAGAGCGCTGACGACAGATCGCATTACTTCCCCGAGAGCCGCGACATCCTGGCTCCCCCGATGTGGTGTGCCCAAGAAGATAACTGCTCTAGTGAACTTGGCGACCTCTCTGAATGGGGTCTCCAAGAGCGAATCTGACTCCGCGAGCATCTGGAGGGAAAGTTGAGTACGATGTGAATATGCGCCTGGAGTTCATGATAGACTTACTTGTTTGACAATAATCCCTCCAAGGCTGTGAGCAACGAACACCAACGGCCGGTCAGAATGTCTTTCTCTATACAAGGCAAACAGCAGATCCTTGCCATGCGAGAAAATACCGTTCTGATTTGTCGCGCCTCCAAAGTACTTTGTAATCTTGCTATCATAACCAAACATGAGTATGCGCGAGTCGGGGCAATCCTTGGAGATCAGGTCGATAGGCCAGAATATAGGGTTGAGCTGAGTATTGTTGTCTAGAGACGGTGTGGCAGTGAAGTTTTTCGTGCTGAATGACGTTCGAAACAAATGATTGGCAAGACGGCGTATGATGCTCTTTCTTTTTGTCTTGCCTCCTGCATTGGTTGCCTTGGGGTGGTAGGTCCATGTCTTGGATGGATGGCCCTGTAGGCCATGGACAAACACGATACTGTACACACGCGATTAGTTGGTATCCGCCTAGCATAGCAGGGACATGAAGCGGGCACGCAGGGACGCACTCGACGATAGGCGAGCCATTATCGGGCTCATAAGCAACCGATATCCCGGTGTCGCGGATGGGATTCAACATGCCTTCTCGGGGATGCAGGCTGCTCTCAGTATTTGCGAAGCTTGAGGAGCTTGAGGAGAGGGTAAGGTAGAATATGGAAGTCGATGCGGCTGAGTGACTTGACGGCGTAAAAGCTCAGCTGAGGCGGCATATCTGCATGCACGTTCAAAGCGATTGCCTGTCTGCCTTCCATGCCGCCTTGTGATCTGATTGGGAGGAGCTGGGATTGGCTGGACCGCCACGACACGGCAACTGCTGCACAGCCGCCTGAATGATCCGGCTTCACATTTGAGGGCAAAACCCTTCGGAATGGTTCGAAAAAACTCGCGATACGGACGAGGCGCCCGTCTAATTCTTTGGCGCTGAATCGACGCCGGCATAATTCGCTTCGATGCTGGCCAACTTGTCAGCAGTCGACAAGCATCGTCCGGTGCTCGGGGATGCTGCGTTATACTTGTGTGAAGAAGGGCCACCTGTTGGAGTCAAAACGAGGAATTGAGGTGAGGTTTCGTTTTGTTTCTTTGGCGACTGGTGATCAGTGCTCGCAAGAAGAAGCAGTTGCTGTTTGGGGCATCAGAAGTTCATCATACTGTCTAGCTACGCAGCTTGTTTGCAATTTCCTCGCGTATCTCGAGTACACTGCAAGTACACGCGCTTCATTTTATATAACGGGAAGCTGCGCTCGAGAGGTTGCAATAGTAAGGTAGGCACCAAGGGAGCGACTTCCTTCCAGGCCTTCATGCCGCTTCGTCATCTTCCCCCTCTCCCTCTTTCTCTCTTCACGCGCGTGAGGATTCCTTGCCTTGATCAGTTTGTTCACCTACTATTCTCTTGGTTTTCTTCATCATCAACAAGCCCAACCCGTCATCAGCTTAAGAGCCCGAGCATCAACGTCATTACGACATTCACTCTTTGCATTCGTTAGCCGACTGCCTTCGCTTCCAAACCTCGGACCACCATTTGATTACCGATCATCGACTGTCTTTCGACTATGGATCGGACAGCATCACGACACCATGAGTTATTGCCCTACAAACGAGGACTTGGAATTCACCTCGCTGCGCTGCTCTCTCTGTTTGCAGCTCTGCCACGCCACACCCAACTTCAAGCCGCCAGATGAGCAAGCATCCGAGTGGCTGGTGAGCCGGTATGGCAGAGATGTGAATCCGTACACCGAGCTGGCGTCCAACGCGCCCTGTGGGCTCTGTGCCCTGTATGCTCGAGCGTGGACTCGCTTGGAGCTGGCCATCTGCGACCAAGATGTAGACGATTCCAGGGCCGTCCCTTATTGTTTAGCTGATGCGGCAGGATTTGGAGCTTGTTTGCCCCGTATGTCGGACAGCACGCGAGAAGAAGCTGCAACTAACGCTCTGCATAGTGTTCGGATGTACGATCGGCTCGCTCCAATATGCTGTCCGCAGCTACTTTGGCATCAACGGCACGAAGAAGCAGGATTGCGCCGACGGCTGCTGCGCCCCCCTTGTGACACTGGTGCGCAACGAGCAAGAACTTATCCTCCGCGAAAACCTTCGGAGAGCCTCGAAAGAGGAGCAAGCCAAGCAATACGTCTGTTACGATCCAATGGTCTATCCTGCGGCCAAGCTGGCCCCGCGTGCGGTCCGAGCAGTTCAAGGCTCTGCCAACGAAGTGACTGCACGGGGCACAAACGCCAGAGCACAATCCCCGTACGAAGATGTTACCCCGCCGCCCAGAAGCAACCGACGAGTTCACGGCCTGGAAGATGACTTGACAGCTCCGGCCAAGGCGAAAAGGAAAGAGCACGGGCTCCACGAAGACGTTGAGACAACGACTCCCCCAAAGTCTGTGCCGCACCAGCTGGGGGCAACAGCATCCTAAACATGGTCTCAAAAGCCACACGTGGTGCGTTGTAGCCATTATAGCACCTTGTTGTTGGCGTTGCTCATCTTCCAAGCCTGGTCCGCAAGTGTTACCCTCGAGATTGACGCGAGTCTGTTTCCAATGTCCACATATACACCTACGCACGTTGACACGGTGGTCCAAGGCGTTTCTTGATTCTCAAAACGCACTGAGAAGAACTGAGTGAGACTGGTGGTCAAGGCTTCGTATCTCTTCCGATTCGAACAGTGAAGAGACGTGGATGGTTGCCTACGGACACACTCGGATACGCCCGGCGATGATCCTGCTATTGACTTGTTTGAGTAGCAATACTTATAGCTCTATGAATTTTCGTTAACTCACATAAGGTGCCCATAATCGCTTGGTGAGAAGCGATCAGTTGCTTCAACTCCGCCACGTTGTTTGTGCTCTTCTCCTCGCATCCCTATCCTTGTATTCAGCCTTGCCTCATTGCCAGCAGAGCATGTGTCCCATTTTCAACGCAGCAGGATATCGATCACCTGATTCTGTCTGCCTTCTACAGCCTCTCCTTTCATGACGCCATAGACGAAGCATTCGCTATGAAAACTGAAGCTCGCCTCACACTCTTGCTTAGCAGCCGTTGGTAAAGGTATTAAAATAACAGGCACTCTGCATCCGCCAACGATCCAGAGTTCCTGGCCGGGCCTGACGTTTGGTGGGCCAAGGCCAACGTATCCATTGTCGGTGATGAAGATGGCTTGCGGGCAAACGATTTGCATCACCCATGTCTTGAAGTCATCCTTGTCGTTCGATCCGTCGGGCCTCAAATTCCCCGTGATGAGGCCTAGAAAGGCCGTCATGCCGCCGTTGGAGAGGCTTTCTGGGAACTCAGCTTGATATCGCGACAGAAGCCTTCCCCAGCGGTTACCGGATGAGCGGAAGATGGACGCGACTGAGTCCCCGTCCGGCACGTCGGTTGAACTTTCGTCAACGAGAGCAACATTGCCAAGCTTGAGGGCGCAAATGCGAAGAGCAGCGCCGTTATCCTCGACTCTGAGACCCTCGCCGACACCATACATGCCGCGGTCCGCTTCGAAGCCGCCAGAGTGCCACCAGTGACGATGGTCCCAGAAGTTACATCTGCTGCGTCTGGCGGGATCATCGACGCCGCTCCAGTCGACGGCCCACGATGCGAGGCCGGGGATGTCGGAGCCCTCGCCGCCGCGGCCGATCAGGGGCTGCAGATCGGTGCTCATGTTGATGAGGTCGATGGTGACGTTTTGATAGAGCGTGCGCACGTCGACGGTATAATCGCACATCTTCACCGACGGCAGAGAGATGTCGCTGCGGAAGCCTAGCAGGCCGTAGACCTTGTCGCGAGGGTCCGTGGCCCGGCGGTATCGCCAGCGCCAGAGGAGCTGGAAGAGGCCCTCGCCGCGGGAGGCACCGAGGCCGCGCAGTGCGGCCTGGAGATTGAGGATGCAGCCGTTGGCCCAGAACTCGGCGTGGATGGCGGGCGCGGAGCCGTTGAAGAAGCTGTCGGAGGCCTTGTCGAGGGTGCTCCATGGGAGGGAGCAAGGGCCCCAGTATATGGTTGCCTTGGGGGGCAGGATGGCTTCTTGGACGGTCCAGATGCGGCTCCACCAGGACACGTTGAGGAGGGCCTTGAGGGCTGAGCTGGCAGCGATTCGTTTGGCTTCGTGGGCGAGCCAGGGGGGAGGGTCTTGCTCGCCGGCGATCCAGGAGAGCGTGTCGAGGGCTGCTTGGGCGTTGGATGGGGATGTGGCTCCGAGAGGCCCGAGCCAGATGGCGCCTTGGGTGGATTGACGGTAGATGCGGCCCATCATGGAGACTTGGAGGGACTTTTCGATGTCGTCTGCCTGGTTGATGCATAGGGCGTCGGCCCAGATGTTTCTCGTCTCGTTGGGGAGGCGTAGTCGGCGCAGAGCATTGGCCAGGGAGGGGGTTACACCGATTGGGGTGTCTCCGAAGAAGATGTTCTCATGGGATTCTGGAGTGTCGTTTCCCCAAGCGTAGGAGAGGGCGTCGTAGGATATTTCTTGGCTGTCGAGGGTTGTTACGCGGAAGGTGCATTGTAAGGGGGATGATGATGGTGGTCCGGGGAGGATTTGGAGGATGCGGATTTCTGAGGCGGAGGAGTTGATTGGGGGGAGGATTTGGTTGTGCCAGGAGACTTTGCTGGCCATTGTGTAGGCGTAGGTTTTCGATACTTGGTCTTTGTCTCTCTTGGAGTTTGAAGAGAACTGGGAGAAGCTAAAGAGATGGTGGTAGTAACATGATGAATGCTGTTGCCTAGAGACAACCCGCTAAGACGCACAGCATGGGTTGATGCTTGTAGGATTAGTTGCAATGTAAGATATAAGCACATTCGTTAGCCGCAATGAGGAAGTTGGCGAGTTTGCTGTGCGGGAGCGAATGCCGTTGCTTGCTCGGTAACGAGTTTAGGCTTGCCGCTAAGCTTAATCAACATGCTTCTGCATGAAATTGGTGGGCCTTGCTTGTCACTGGGATGGGAGTTATAAGGTAGTTGATGTAGGAGAAAGCAAGTGCTTGGTGTTGTGAGGATTGGGTGGGTTGTGAGATGAGGTTTCTGGCGTAGTTCCGCAATGAGACTTGTGGCTCAAGCCGTCATTATGTATTGGGCTCAAACCGGGAAATCAGGAGAGAAATCAAGGTAAAGCAACAATACGGGAAATAATAGCATATGGATTTCATTTCTTGGAGGCTGGAATTGTAGTGGTTGTGAATCTGGTGTTTTGGTTGATACCCACCTAGCCACGATGCTCTGTACCTTGTAAGCACAACGGCGTTGACTTATATGCATCCCCATGGCAGCATCACCAAGTTTTCAAAGTCCCATCAACGATGTGCATCTATGCGGACACAAAGCCATGACTGGGAGATGTAGAATCGAGACTATAGGTGATACGAAAAATAGCAAATGAACCTTGGACCCAAGATGGAAACAAATTATGTAGGCAGGTGGTATATTAGCCTTGCGCAACCCAAATATGCCGAGCGTGGTGGAAGCTGTCAATATGGCGGGATCCCGGTTCTTATTATCCGACTACATGTACTTATTCTAGCCGCCTTGAACAACATCGCTACGAGTAGTAATGCAATGCTCTTCGCATGAGTCGGGTTGACATGACACTCCCCATAGAGTCCGGCCCTACTGCAAGCATTCACTTACATGTAAGAACATCAAAGCAAACCTATGGTAGAAGACAACCTCGCCTGGCCGATTGCACACAAACATCATCTCCGAAAGGATACCAAATTAGTCTTTGTCAGATTCGTCATTCTTCATCGGCGCAAAGTAGGTAATGTACCTGTAGGTAGCATGCCCCGACAAGCTCTCAATCCTCCGCAGCTGTCTTGGATTCAAACCTTCCAAATCGGGACATGCTGTCTATACAGGTATGGAACCTCCACCGCCAACCAAACACCAACCACAACAAGTCATTAGTTGGCCTCTTGTCAAGACACCCTCTTTACTTTCGTCGCCCGAGGACACGTAGGTATCTTTTGGTGTGGCAGCCTTTATAAAGCGCTCTTCTGGTTTTAGTGTCGGCGTCTTGTCATGTAGTATTTATTTCCTTGCTTTTGGAGAGATGGACGATTGGACAAGAATGTGCGACTAGGGGCGGCCCGTTGGCAAGGCCAGGCGCGTTTGTGGATGGATGAGATTTGGGGGCCGCTGGAGCGTTGTCCTTTTATAGGTGGTTGGCACGAAGCGGTAGATGATGATATAAGCTGCATCGCATCGGATGCCGTGGATCGGCATATGCTCTAATTATAACAGCAACGATGTATATAGTAGGTATGTCGTATTAGGTCAATGAAACGTCACGATGGCGGTGGAATTGGGTTACAGTCTTCCATCTACTACCAACATCCAACACCACCTGGATGAAGTGGACGACGAGGTAGAGGCCGGACAGGCCAAAGACTTGAGTCCATATTACCTCAGGTGCAATTGACTGTTAAACAACTTTGCAACTGAATCACTTAGTAAAAATATATGATGACGGTCAGCCAGACGTCTCGATCCTCTACAACATAGCAGAGAACACGGATGTGTGAATTGTGAGGTCTCCACAAGAGGCAGTCCCTCGACAGCAGTGTGGCATCATGTCATCGGGGCCACCGTCAGCCCGGTACTGATAGGCAGGGGAGCCTGGCTTTCAGCATCTGAAAAGTCGGATCGCATAGAGCAGTTCAGCAGCTCCCTACATCGGAGCCGACTCGGAGTCGAGGTTGCATATGGTGCCGTCGACTTGGCTCTGGTATGGTCCTAGAGGGCTTTTCACATGATGCCATCACTAGGGGCTGCATCTCCTGCCACAGCGGCAGCAATCACGGGTAAGACGTCGGGGCAGACCTTTGAAAGTAGTTTCCCCATGGCACAGGCAATAGCAGCGCGTGTACTCCGTACGTGGCTCCAATATTCCGACCCAGCAGACGACGCTGAACTGGATCAAGGAGCACAAACCGGCCTTTGATCTGGCCGATACAGCTCCCCACGTCGGCCGACGACATTGGCGGCATCAGGGCCTGGCTCTGGATCGTTTCAGCTGCCGGCGTCCACTTTGCCATCCGTCGGTGTCGATACGCGCAATGTGGCCGAGCTGTGCCTCAGGGCAGCCAAGCAATACTTACCCGACGCCAGTGATTAGAAGCACATTTCGGCCTGGCCAAGGAGAGGATATCCACGACTGGAGACGAGGCTGGTACAACGTGTTCAGGGTGACCAGATGGCCAGTTCCGAGAGGCTTGACGGACCAGCAGCCGGCGCTGCAGAAGGGCAACTGAGTGCCTATTGTCTGCTTGGTATGCTCTGTAAATTGTCGGATGTCTGACATCTCGTCGACCCGCACTCATGGCCGTCGCCGCTGTCTGAGACCCAAGGGGAGAGGAGAGGGGAAAGAGTATGCAGGCAAGACATGGTTGAGGGACGAGACAACTGCGTGGTCGGATTGAGGGGGTCGAGGGATCGATTCGATTCGACGAGATGCAGCTGAAACTGAAACGAGGATCAGAATTGCAGTCGTCTCCTCCTTTCCGTCGCCATTGGGTGAGACAGAGCTCCGAGCTGGGCTGCAGCAATGCCGCCAAGGCAATTCAATAGTCCCGGTGAGACAGACGAGAGATTGATTTGGACCTGGACGGGAGAAGCGAGTCGCGATGCAGCCAATGGGCATCGACGAGGGCGCAGATGCATCTGCCTGGTGCGACTGGGGTGTCCATTTGGTGATGAAGATTGGATTTGGCGTGGAAGCCGCATGTTAAGATGATGGCTGAATGACGGGCTGAGTGAAGGTGGAGAGGTTGAAGGATGCGGCTGGACGCGTTAATTGGCGATGCAATCAATCAAAGTGGGTGGGATCGGGGCTAGCCGAGGGCCCTGGTCGGGCTGGCCTGGGCTGAGGTGCAGTGGACTTACAGCGGTCGCGACGTCATCTAGGGCTCAACTTTACAGTGCCCAGGTGGCTGAGCGTGGTGGCTCTTAGCGGGAGGGCTGCCTGTAACTCGTAGATGGCTGCACCATCTGCTCCAGGGCTGTTGAAATCTGCAACTAGGTACTTGGGTATGTGCTCGCCCCTTCGGTTGATTAAATCTAATCGATAGGTATCGCTTCCACTACTTGAATAGGTAGAGAGGGAGAATTGATACCTACCTACCTACGGCATGCAATATCATCATCATCATCATCATCATCCCAATATCACCAGCATTGCTTCACTCACCACTCCTCCAGCATCGTCAAATTCTTCAACTCCCTGAGTCAAAATTAATGCACGCACTTGTACCTGTCGCGTCCGCCTCGCGTCCGCCCCGGCGCACCCCCTGCCATGCACCCCATCAAGGCGTCTCCCGCGCAGCCTGCAGCTTACAGGCCTCTCCCCTGGCCGGCCCTGGTCACGCATCACCGGCGCCTCCATGGCCTCACGCATCCCCACGCGTCCATTGGCTTACAGCCGTCCAATCGCGTCGTGCCTCGGGAGACGCGTAAAGAGCTGGTACATGCAGCAGCTACAAGTGTCTCGTCGGCTGTCTTTTATTGTCTCGGACCACCTCCCTCTGCCCTCCTGCGAGGCATCTGGATGTCTCATGCTTCTGCCCTCACCATATCAGAGCATTCCCTCTCCCCCCCTCTACCTACCTACACAGCTCCCCTGCTGCCAATCCCCTTCTGCAGCTCCCTCCAGTTCGTCCTCGACTCCTCTGAACTGCCCCCCCTCAGCCATCCCTGGAGCCCTTCAGCCATCGGCTCCCCACCTCCAGCCCGTCATCCAGCATCCCAAAGTCCGGAATTCCATTTTGGCGGCCCATTTAGAGCTTGTAAGCGAAACGGCGACTTGAGGCGCGTCGCGACGAGGTACTTCCGCTGGCCAATTTGCGCACGGCCGGCCTTGTACCCACGACCTCAAGGAGTACCGACGCCACCATTACTGGCCGCGACGCTAGCCCCCTCCTTGTGGCCTTACTAAGGAATTTTCCAAGACACACCACCAGAAGCTCAAAGTATTGCCTTGATAGCGCCCGTGGTATCCGGTACTCCAGACGCACCAGCACGGACGCCTCAACACTCGTACCGCCCTTTTTTCCCGTCCTTTTCGCATCAGATTCGCATCGCGCCTCCTCGGTGTTTATTAGTACTCCCTCTGTCCCACTTGGGCCTCGCGCTCTCTCTCCCCTCCTCATCTCTTGTTTGTTGCCATCCTTTTTCTCGTTCTCTCTCTCACGTATACTCGCACCACGTTCGTTTGTGTTGGAGTCGCGGTTCAAAACATCAACAACTGCCAAACCGGCCCAGGAGCAGGAAAGGAAGAAAAAAAGACAGAACCAGGATTTTTGCCGCTGAATTTGCGCCCTTGTCGAAATTGAACGTCTCTGACCGCTTTGCTGCCCTTCGTCCTTTGGTGAACCAACTGCCAACTGCCAGCCTCGCAATATCAAGCACACACACACCAATTTTTGACATTTTCCCTTCCCTCCAAGTGCTCAACCAACGCGAACCGCGGCTACTTGTCGCAGTCGCATTTCTGGAATCCGTATCACATCGACGATCCAAATCGCATCATTCACTCTTCGACCATCGTCAACCATGGCCGCCGTCACCCGTCAGCCCTTTGCTCCCTTGGACGGGGCCCGTCTTCAATCCTTGACCAGCCTCAAAAACAGACAAAACGGTATGATCTTGTCACTTGCATTGTCCACCAGACAAGACTCGGGGCTAACTCGACGCAGCCTCCGTCTCTCCCAAGCGCAAAGCAGAGTTTCTCGAGATTGACAACTGCGAGAATGTCGATCCGCTGCTCTTTGCGAAACGCTCCAAGGGCGGCGCAGCCACCCCTGCCAAGGACAGTCTCACCAAGCCGTCCAACTTCTTCCTCACTCCCAAGCTCAGCACTCCTGCCGCCAATGCGCGGTCTCTCGCCAGCCCAAGCAAGGCCGCCACCACGCCGCGGCGCATCTTGAACGTCAAGTCCAGCTTGGGCAAGGCCAGTGTCGAAAACACGCCCAAGTCCTGCCCACCAGCTCCCGCGGGCCGCTCGCCAACTAGGGGCAAGCGCTCGGGAATCCTGTCGGGACGGCGGCGCGCCACTCGCCTGGACCCTCCCTCTTTCCACATGGACTCTGCGCCCTTTTCTCTCGACGCAGCTCTGAAAGGCACAATTGCGGGATACACCCCGCGGCCATCCACCAAGAAGCCCGTCATCTCCAGCCTGCTTGAGCCTGAATCCAAAGCCAGCTGGTTCTTCGATATTCACGAAGACACCGCTGAGCAGGAGATGACCAATCTTCTTCAGCACAGCACCTGCACACTCGACATCTCATCAGATGAGGAGACGGAGCAGCGCGCAAAGCGAGAGGGTGTCGAGGGCCGCGACAAGGAGAACATTCCTCCCGCAGATGACGTCTCCCAGACTTCCTCACAACGGACTGTCCAGGCCAAAGCCGACGAGATGGTTGTTGAAAAGGAGCGAGTTGCGCTGGGCGAGATGGACGCGGCCGACTTTTACGCCGAGGGTTGCGACGAGACATCGGTGATTCTGGTCCACGAGGATGAAGAATCAGAGGCCCCTGTTGCCCCCCTCGTCAGTGTCTCAAGCATACCCGAGGAGCCGGAAGAGCAAGAGCCGGAAGAGGAGGAGCTGGAGATCCATGAAGACATTGACGCCCTCATTTCCAGAAGCGACGAGACTTCGTCCAAGGCAGCCGTTCTGCAGCCCATTGAAGGTACAGGCGAGAGCTTTGAACTCTGGGAAAGCAGCAGTGCCAAAGACGAAGCCGAATCCGCGCCGGGGAGCCCGTAATCAGCGCCCAATGGTGGGCTGCTTTGGCAACCGGGCTGTATACGAGGGATTGAGTGTACTTTTTCTTCAATGTTGGATGAGGAGCGAGCGTTGAGCGATTTGTCTGGGTTCTTGTTTGTCTTTGTTTCGGCCGGCCTGTCTGTCTTTTCTTGTCTCGTTAGCCTGTTTTCGTCCCCTTCTTCATTTCCTTATCTTCTTAAAAAGTCGTGACTGGGCGCATCAGATTTGCTTTTCCCGGGGCTGGGGCGGCGTTTCCGGGTTGGGTACATGTAGGGAATGGGTATACCAGGAGTTGTTGCTTGATGCGCCGGTCTGCGGCCGTACCTTGTTGTGTAGAGCCTTTTCAAAGTACAGAGTATCGTGCACAGTTAATGGTATTATTTGAATGCTCTCACCGTTTTTTTCTTCTTATTTTCCTGCTCGATGATCACGACTCATGATCGTCGTCTGTGTGCCTGAGCCCAACTCGGGATACCCAGGAGAGCCCAACCGGAGCAGAGACGCAGTATGACAGTAACTGGAGCACTGTGCTGGTCGCAGCCACGCCCCTTTCAGCCACAGGGCTCACAGTGCGGGCGGTCAACCTTATCATGCAGGAGCCATGGTGAAAGCTCATGCATGCATCACAAGCTGCGTCTGTCTCCTCGTCTCTCCTCAGACCTCGAGCCTCCCTTCTCGCTGTTGATTCTCATCATCCATTCTTCAGTCATCGCTGCAAATTGACACTGTTCCCATCAATTGATTTTCCCTCACTCTTACGTCACCGCCTCCAGGGAGATAAAGACGCATCATGTCCTCCATCCACGACCTCGCAGCCGCAGCAGTCGCCGGCACCTCGTCTCCGCAGCCGGCTGCGGCTGCGGCTGCGGCTGCGGCTGCGGACGACGGCGCCGAGACCAAGATGAGGGGCGCCTTCATCGTGCTCGAGGGCCTGGACCGGAGCGGCAAGACGACGCAGGTGAAGCTGCTGGAGCAGCGGTTTGTGGAGGAGGGGAGGCCGGTCAAGGTGATGCGCTTTCCTGGTGGGTTCTCCTTACTCTCTCTTTGAGTTTCTTTGTCACCAGTGGCTCATGAGTGAACGTTTGGGCGGGATACTCAATGAACGCTTTAATTTTTTTTTATTTTTTTTAATGGCATGGTAATGGGGGTAATGTTGACGAGACTTGTTTACAGACAGAACTACGCCGATTGGGCAGATGATTGATGGCTACCTCAAGAGCCACGTCGACTTGAACGACCATGCCATTCACCTCCTCTTCAGTGCCAACCGCTGGGAAGCCGCGTAAGTCTGCTCACTCTCACCATTCTCCCCTAGCCTATACACACCGAGAGAGAGAGAAAGGGAGAGAGAGACATTCACTCACCGAGGCACACATCCATCCAGCAACCAAATCAGAGCCTACCTCGACGCCGGCATCACCGTCGTGTCGGACCGCTTCTACCACTCGGGCATCGTCTACTCCGCCGCCAAGAAGAACCCGCACCTGCCGCTGACGTGGGCGCGCGCCCCGGACACGGGCCTGCCGCGGCCGGACGTGGTCCTGTTCCTGGACCTGGACGAGGAGGCGGCGCGCGCGCGGGGCGGCTGGGGCAGCGAGAAGTACGAGAAGGAGGAGCTGCAGCGGACGGTGCGGGAGCTGTTCTGGGCGCTGAGCATGGGCGGCAAGGACATCAAGGGGCAGGACCTGCTGCAGCAGCTGGGCGGGATCGAGGGCGCGGCCTGGAGGCAGGACGAGGAGGATATTGTGGTTGTGGATGCCGGGAGGACGGTGGAGGAGGTGTCGGAGGCGATTTGGCGCAAGGTCAGAGCGAGGGTCGATCGGGTTGAGGCTGGTGATATGGGCAAGGTGGTGAGGACTGCGCTGTGACGGGCTGGTGAGAGATGATGAAGATCTGAGCTGCTCCTTTGTTAGCATCTCTTTTTGACCAGTCTTTGTTTGTTTGCCTTTTTTACTTGTCATCCATCGTCAGGCCAAATTATGGGAACACAGATATATTCGCATTCGTTCTATCTCAGCATCAGCATCATTGTCGGCATCGAGCTCGACGTCAGCAGGCAATTCAGGCTCAACCAACCTCTGCCATCGACTCAATCGTCACCGTTGTTTGATACGTTGATAGGGAGATAGAAGATAATTCCTTTCAACCAATCAGCTTACAACACTCTGGGTGGTCTAGTTGGTTCATGGCGTCTGACTGTAATGGATAACATCTCATCAGAATGTCGGCGGTTCGACTCCGTCCCCGGAGAAGCTTGTTTTTTTCTTTTTTGATCTTTTTTGCTTTCGGTCAGCCTGATTCCATCTTGGTCCTGAAATCCAGCTCAATTCGCCTTTTGCTTACTTTATCTTTGCTTCCTCTTTATTACACACAGCAGCAGCAGCTTCTTCTTTCATTCTCTTTCTTCTTTCTTCATGCACTTGTAGAGAGAATCCTTCTGTATCCCTGGCTTGTCGTGTCATGCCATTCTCCACGTAAGCTAGAGCAAAACCCACTTCAACAGCCATTTCACTCCGATGGCTCGGACCGGAAGATGACCCAAGATAACGACAGATCCTCCCGCTGCCGTCAAAAGATGTGTGAACGTCCCCCTGATTTCAAGTGCATTCAGATCATTCAGTTCGATTGTCTAATTGTCCAATCAATCAATCGAAAAAGACACCATCTCAGTATAATATCACGAATAGATTCGAGACCGGCGCCTTGTATCGGATATCCTCAGCTGCCTTTGTCTGCAGATCACCCATGCCGTGACTAAGCACCCACAACTGCTAAATTTGCCCACGGCTTTTCTTCCCCAGCTTATTGGCCTGGAGGAAAGCGCCGGTTTACGCTCTAGCGCCCTTATTCTGGTTCCCATTCTTCCAGTTCCGTTCCGATAAGGCGGGCGGGCGTCATACAAGTTTTTCCCTTTTCCCTCCTCTCTCTCTCTCCTTCTCCCTCTTTGTCACTCCCTCCGCTTCTTCTGTTCTACAGCCCCTCCTTGCGCTATTCCGACTCGTTGAAGGAACAGATTCTATTCCAGTCGCAAAATGGCCTCAATTGCTTGCTCGCTGCGCGCTGTCCGGCCTGTGGCTATGCGCTTTGCGCCGAGGGCTGCTCCGGTGGTGCGGATGGCCTCTTGGAGGAGCTTCTCTAGCTCTCGCATGAGTATGTTGACTCTCTGATGCTGCTGCCCTCTGTCTATCTACCTCTCTCTTACTGCTCGCTTCAAACAAATCATGTCACAGTCGCAGCTGCATATGTAGCATGAACATCTGGAGAAGTAAAGCTAACGAATGCTCCCCCCCTCACAGGCCTCGCCCGCAAGTACACCAAGGACCACGAATGGATCGACCTCTCGGCGGACCGCAAGACGGGCGTCATTGGCATCTCCGAGTACGCGGCCGAGCAGCTGGGCGACGTCGTCTACGTGGAGCTGCCCCCCGCGAGCGGCGAGTGGACGGAGCAGGGCGACTCCATCGGCGCCGTCGAGTCGGTCAAGAGCGCGAGCGACATCAACGCGCCCGTGCGGTGCAAGGTGACGCACACCAACGCGCTGCTGGAGGAGAAGCCGGCGACGATCAACCAGGTGCCCGAGGACGACAGCGCGGGCGGCGGCTGGATCGTCAAGGTCGAGGTTGATGAGGAGGGCGCGAAGCAGTTTGATGACTTGATGGATGCGGCTGCGTACAAGGAGTTTATTGCTGAGTAAATCTCCATGGCAATTTTGGCAAATGGTCAAAGTATGCGACGGGCGGCGGACGACCTGGGAGGTGATGACGGGGGAGAGAAGAAGAGAGGATTCGCGGTGAGCGGGTAAAAGATTAGACGAAGTCTTATGGTTTCAACGATGGATTTGATATGTGGGGAGGAGGTTGGAATTGATCATGAAAACCGACAAGACAGGACATTTTCCTTCTTCGTTGAGGGGCGCCTTGCATGGCGTGGAAGCAGTTCAACCTGACACAGAGGACGAGTGCGAAATGGATCTCTTATGGCCGCCGGACACATCTCGTCATGGCGTACCATACCACATCACGCAGTGGACGGTCTCATATTTCGTTTTAACATCAGATCAGATGAGGGTATACATTTCGGGTTGCTAGGCCGGTCTATCAGCGGCGTTTAAATATCAAAAGAGCTATGATGATGCAGCTGCTCCTTTTTTTTTTTTTCCCCTTCTTCCCAGGCTCTCCCCCCCCCCCCCCTTAACTTTCCCAGAGATCGTTGCGTGTTGTACAGCGTAGCGTCATGTCAGGTCATGTCATTCCGTTTGTCATTGTCGTTTCACGTTGATTTCGCCGGCGGCGGTGGTGCAGGCTTGTTCTTGTTGATGTCGTCCAGGATCTTGTTTGCGCCCCGGCTGACCAGATCGGCCGCCATGCGCTTCCCAAACTGCTCGGCCTGCTCCAGCGTGCCAATGGGCTCGACCGCCTCGCCGTCGACGCCCTCTGTGCCCTGCACCGACACGACCGTCGCCCGCAGCCTCAGGTGGCCCGGCTCAACCCACTTGGTCTCGACGCCAATGGGGACGCTGCACCCGCCCTCGAGCGCCCGCATCAGGCTCCTCTCCGCCGCGGTCGCCAGCCCGGCCTCCTTGTCCTCGATCATGCGCAGCGCGGCCAGCACCTTGTCGTCGCCGGCGCGGCACTCGATGCCCAGCGCGCCCTGCCCCACGGCGTGCAGGATGCCGCCATTGTCCGACTCGAGGAACTGCGAGATGTGGGCGTCGAGCCCCATGCGCTGCAGGCCGGCCGCGGCGAGGATGATGCCCGTCAGCTCCGGGTCGTCTTCGAGCTTCTTGAGGCGCGTCTGGATGTTTCCGCGGTGGTCCTTGAACCTGAGCGTCGGGTACCGCCTCGCCAGCTGGGCGATGCGGCGCACGCTGCTGGTGCCGATGACGCTGCCCGCGGGCAGGTCGGCGAGCGTCTTCCACCCGTGCTGCTCGACGAGGGAGCGCTTTAGCACGAGCGTGTCGCGCGGGTCCTCTCGCTTGGTGACGCAGCCGAGGACCAGGCCGTCCGGCAGCGTCGTGGGCATGTCCTTTAGCGAGTGGACGATGATGTCGAGCTCGTCCGCCGCCAGCCGGTCCTCGAGCTGCGTCGTCCACAGGCCCTTGCCGCCAAAGTTGTACAGCGCCGTGCTCTGGTCGCGGTCGCCCGTCGTCGTCATGCCGTGGATGGGGAACGAGTGCGTCGGCAGGACGGCCTGCAGCGCGGCGACGACAATGTCCGCCTGGGCCAGGGCCAGAGGCGAGTTGCGCGTGCCGACCCTGATGGTGGGAGGGGAGCCCTGTGCGCGGGCTGGTGTTTGCTCTACTTCGGCCATGGCTGTGTGTGTCTTTGTGTCTGTGTGTCTGTATGTCTGTGTGTCTGTATGTCTGTGTGTCTGTTTGTGCGTGTGTGTGAGGCGGATGGGGGTATTGGAGCGAGAGGCAAATAATAGTGGTTGAAGATGGATCGGGATTTTCTTGGTGTTGGTGGTTCGAGATTTGAGGCGGGAAAAGTTCCGAATTCCGATGGAGGGGTAGTTTGGGCTGCTTGGCGGGGCATTAGCACTGTGCAGTCGCGCGTGAGATGGTGAAGTACGGTTTGAATTGGGAGGGGATACTGTGGGTTGCAGGGTAAGTTGTCGTATGAACACCTTGATGGCTGGCGATGATGAGCATGAAGCAACTACCCTCTTCTGTGCTGGTTGATGGATTAGCGAGACTGTGGACTGTAGGATTCCAGGTCGCTATTTATAATCTATGTCACAACCCACCTTTTGCCTTGTTCACATTGCAAGATCTGTGCAATGTCTCTCAATTCAGATCGCAGCCTATGATCCGTCGGACTGAAGGACATTTAGGCATCAAATGGATATCAAACGACACACCAATCTCCAGTTACAGCCGACCACCCGTAAAATGGTACTTATAGGTATAGTCAAACAAAAGTCTGTTATGTGATGACTGATGTTTGCGTCTGATTCATGACCTGTTGTGGTAAGTGATGAGACGAAAGGAGAAAGGGGAAGAGAGGCGAGCCGAGCTGGCGTTACAGTCATGACTTTGCCTCGAGGAGCAACTCAATCTTCCCCCGATCTCCAGGCCTTGGTATTACCCGTAGAGATCTCCGTCTCATCTTATAGATGAAGACGGCTTGACATATACATAAATCTGGTATAATTGGGCTATAAAAAGCTGAATCGCAAACCGACTTCATCATCTACCACGCGGTCATCAGCCCTCGACTCACCCATCACCGGATCATACCATTTACCGTCACTTTCGAAGCTCCCCCCTGAAACATACACAATGAAACCGACTCTCACCATCCTCGCTCTGATTGGGCTGGCCGCTGCCAATCCGAGACCCCAGCTCCCTACTCCCGACATGCCGCCTCCGCCTCTTTCCTCCCAAGTTCCTCCCCACGATGAGCCTACGACTACTTCGACTTCGACTTCGACTTCCAGAGACAATCCGCCCTCGGATCCTACCAGAGCACCGCCCGTGCCGGATGGAGCCATTTGCGAATGCGGCTACACCTATTGCGCATCCGTGCTGATGGGCATGAGTATGTCATGCCATCTATACCGCTAATCCACCCCTCCTGAAGCACCGAATGAAAGAAACTGATGCCTCTCTTCTCCTACAGAAAAGCCGTGGTCGCAGAAGGAACTTTCCGAGGCGTATTGCAGCACGCCCAATGCTAGCTGTGACAAGAACGTGCCGGCCACCAACATCTCGTCGGCGCTGTACATCTGCCTCTGCGACGACCCGGACCAAAAGGTCGGCACGAACCTGGACCTTGTCTGCGGGTGCGACAAGTGTCTCAACATCGGGCCCGACTTCCGGGGCCGCTGCGAGACTCCGTGCCACGCCGGCAACTGCCAGATGCGGCTGTGGTGAAGGGAGCGATCCAGCCTAATGCTTGTAATGTTTGGATTTGGTTAAATGCTGTTTGTGAGCTGAAGTGTTTGTTTGGACGGTTACAGACCGATTCCATACGACTCGTATGTGAGATCTGGGCTGACTTGGTGAATGTGGGCGAGATTGCGTGGATTCCGTGTGCTTGAGGCAAGCGTTACATGTTACACACTTATCAACTTCAACTACCTACCTAATAATCTACATCAATCGACATCGGTTAATAAACTGCAGACTCTATTGACATATAGGTCTTTTGATGCCTCTATCGACACAAGTAATAGTACGCATCTTCACTTGGATACTCTTATATTCCACCTTCTTGTCCCAGCTTCCACCTGGAAGGAATTCCGCTCGTATGTACGCTCGGCCGTCCGGAGCCCCCAACCTTCTCAACCACTCAAAATACCCCTTCACAACACCCTCAGCCTCCTCGTCTGCATCATGCATCCCATCCGCTCGCGCAAATGTTCGCATTCACCCCCCAAACTGGTTCCCCAGCTTTTAGCGCCGATGGTCCCCCGCAGTGGGGGATTTAGTGGCCGTGACAGGCGGACAGCCCACCCCAACTCCCCTAAGCCCCCCCCAATCGTTCCCCCTCAGGCCCCTGTAACCCCCCTGCAAGGCTCGGGGATTCTCCTCTGCCCCCCTGGAACCCCGCACATGATGGCATGCTTGTTAGTGGTAACGTCAGAAAAGAGAAGGTCCGTCGACCTCGAGATCGAACGAGGTACATCCCCGGCCGGGCAGACGCTGCCTGCGACGCCCGTATCTCGCGAGTACATCGAGGCTGAGATGATCCGTGCATGTTGTTTATGCTCAGTATCGATGGTGATGTTTATCCGCTGCTACCGTACCGGTCGTGCGACTTGGAGTCGGCCTGCGCGGGGTTTCTGCACTCTGGCACCTTTTTTTCCCGGTCTGCCAGCCAAGAGGCCACTTCTCCTCATGCGCGCAGGCCTTTTATTTCCTGCCGGATGCTCTGGTTTCTTGCGTTCTTTTCTTTCTTCTTCTCTATAACGCTCTCTCGACTGTTTCGTGACAGCTGCGGATTCTGCGCAATCGCTTCGCATTGTTCTGTGTTGCTGTTGGTCGCGGCGCGCATGGGCTCCGTCAGCTGCCGTTCGCATTGTCACGGCGTGTGAACCGCATCGTCATCAATCTGGTCAGATTTTGGCTCTCCCAGGGAGTGATATTGCCATGGCTTGCTAATCCTTCGCTCTTGCAGCAGCTTCTCAAGACAAACAACTCGCGTATGACGGCTGGAAATCGCCTCAGATGAGGGTCGATTCGTGATGGCGTCCTCTGTGCTTCGCCCCCTGGCCACCGAGCTGTACTTGTCGCCATCTGCCACCTCGTCGCAGTTCCTGCGATCCCGCCTTCGAATTCATGGTAAGAAGCGTGCGTTGTCTTCTATGCGCGAATTACAGCTGCTCTTTGGGCGTGGATGTCGCGCTGACTCGTCCTAGATGTCAGGCCGTTGTTAAACTGCCGCCGTCAATGGCATGCCTCTGCCGGCGTTCCACGGCAGACTGCACTCGTCGCTGCGGCTGCCAACTCTCTGGCGCTGGTTCGCTATGACTCTCGGGTCACACGGGCTTCCGTCCTACTGCCCAAGCCGTATTCGACGGAAGCAACTGCTGTTGTGCCACCCACGACGCCATACAGCCAGCTCACCGTGGGCGTACCCAAAGAGACGTACCCCGGAGAGCGCCGAGTCGCATTGACCCCGGCTAATGTGGCCCTTCTATTGAAGAAGGGTTTCTCCAAGGTTCTGGTTGAGCGTGGAGCTGGGGCTTCGGCTGATTTCCTGGATGATGCGTATGAGAAAGCTGGCGCCACTCTTGTCGACTCCCCAAATGGCATCTGGTCTGCTGCCGATATTGTTCTCAAGGTTCGCGGCCCCTCAGACTCGGAGGTTGGCTCCATCAAGGAGAATCAGACAATCATTTCCTTCCTCCAAGCCGGCCAAAACAAAGATCTCATCAACAAGATTGCTGCCAGGAAGGCAACATACTTTGCTATGGAAATGGTCCCCCGTATCTCTCGTGCTCAGGTTTTCGATGCCCTCAGCAGCATGGCCAATATTGCTGGTTACAAGGCTGTTTTGGAAGCATCCAACGTCTTTGGCAGATTCCTCACTGGTCAAGTCACGGCTGCCGGCAAGATCCCCCCGTGCAAAGTCCTCGTTATTGGAGCCGGTGTAGCTGGTCTTAGCGCAATTGCAACTGCTCGTCGCATGGGAGCTATTGTCCGTGGCTTCGATACTCGTCCGGCCGTCAGAGAGCAAATCGAGTCGCTGGGTGCCGAGTTCATCGAGGTCGACATGCAAGAGGACGGCTCTGGCGCTGGAGGCTATGCAAAGGAGATGAGCAAGGAGTTCATCGAAGCCGAAATGAAACTCTTCAAGGAACAAGCCAAGGACGTCGATATCATCATCACCACGGCCCTGATTCCTGGACGACCCGCCCCCAAGCTGATCACACTGGACATGCTCAACGTCATGAAGCCCGGAAGCGTCATTGTAGATCTTGCTGCCGAGGCTGGTGGTAACTGTGAGGCTACCAAAGCCGGCCAGATGGTTACCTACAACGATGTTAAAGTTATTGGTGAGCTGCAACATTCCTTTAGATAGCCCCTGTCCACATGTACTTCTATGCTAACACATCCGTAGGATATACCGACCTCCCGTCCCGTCTCCCAACCCAGTCGTCTACTCTCTATTCGAACAACATCACCAAGCTCCTGCTGTCAATGGCCCCCAAAGAGAAGGAATTCGGAATTGACCTGTCTGACGAGGTTGTCAGAGGTGCCATTGTGATGCAGAATGGAGAGATCTTGCCGCCCGCTCCCCGTCCAGCGCCACCTCCAGCACCGGCCAAGCCCGCAGCCGCAGTCGTAGTTGAAGCTAAAGAGCTCACCCCTTGGCAGAAGAAGACCCGAGAAGTGGCCACTGTTACTGCCGGCATGACGGGAGTGTTGGCCCTTGGAAAGTTTACCGGACCCCTCTTCATGTCTAATGCCTTTACGTTCACTCTGGCAAGTCTAATCGGTTACCGTGTTGTTTGGGGCGTGGCACCCGCGCTGCATTCCCCCTTAATGAGCGTCACGAATGCGATTTCTGGCATGGTCGGCGTTGGCGGTCTCTTCATCCTGGGTGGAGGCTATCTGCCCGAGACGATTCCCCAGACTCTGGGAGCCTTGAGCGTGTTGCTGGCCTTTGTCAATGTCGGCGGTGGTTTCGTCATTACCAAACGAATGCTCGACATGTTCAAGCGTGAGCTACCCTTCCCCCTTGTTCTATGTCGAGATCTAACGTGGGATTAGGAAGCACGGATCCTCCCGAGTACCCCTGGCTGTACGCTATTCCGGCTACATTGTTCGGCGGGGGCTTCATTGCCGCCGCGTCGACCGGTGCGGCCGGCCTCGTCCAGGCTGGTTACCTCATCAGCTCTGTTCTCTGCATCGGATCTCTCTCGGGTTTGGCTACTCAAGCAACTGCTCGGATGGGCAACATGCTCGGCATTCTTGGTGTCGGTTCCGGTGTGTTGGCCAGTCTGGCTGCCGTGGGATTTTCTCCTGAAGTGTTGACGCAGTTTACTGGACTTGCTGCTTTCGGAGCCATTGCAGGTGAATCATATCAAGCTCTGGAACTATCGTGACAAAGTGACTAACTTTGTTCTAGGCATGCTCATCGGAAGAAGGATCACGCCTACTGATCTGCCCCAGACTGTCGCCGCCTTGCACTCCGTCGTTGGCTTGGCTGCTGTGTTGACCAGCATCGGCAGTGTCATGGCTGACGTTTCCGATCTGTCTACGCTGCACATGGTAACTGCTTACCTTGGCGTTCTGATCGGTGGTGTTACCTTTACCGGATCCATTGTTGCATTCCTCAAGCTGGCCGGCCGCATGGGCTCTCGCCCAAAGATTCTGCCTGGACGACACCTCATCAACTCGGGATTGCTGGCGACCAATGCTGCCACCTTTGGGGCTTTTCTCACCATGGCTCCCGGTGCTCCCGCAATTGCTGCTGGAGCATTGGCAGCCAACACGGCGCTGAGCTTCATCAAGGGATACACAACGACCGCCGCAATTGGAGGCGCTGACATGCCCGTCGTCATCACCGTGCTCAATGCCTACAGCGGCTTTGCCTTGGTGGCAGAAGGATTCATGCTGGACAACCCTCTCTTGACCTCTGTGGGGGCTTTGATAGGGGTGTCCGGTTCCATTCTTTCGTACATCATGTGCGTCGCCATGAATCGGTCCCTGACGAATGTCTTGTTCGGAGGCCTGTCGGCACCGACAAAGGCATTGGAGTACAAGCCGGAAGGCCAGGTGACTGAAACGTCTGTAGAGGACGTTGCAGACCAACTGGTCAATGCCGAGTCCGTCATCATAGTTGTTGGATACGGTATGGCGGTTGCAAAGGCGCAGTACGCACTGTCGAGCATTGTCCAATCGCTTCGTTCCAAGGGTATCACCGTCCGCTTTGCTATCCACCCCGTTGCCGGGCGCATGCCAGGACAGTGTAATGTGCTACTCGCGGAAGCGAGTGTTCCGTATGATATCGTCCTGGAAATGGACGAGATCAACGACGACTTTCCCGAGACTGATTTGGTCCTGGTCATTGGCGCCAATGACACGGTCAACCCAATTGCCATGGAAAAGGGCAGCTCGATTGAGGGAATGCCCGTTTTGCACGCCTGGAAAGCTAAGCAGGTCGTTGTGATGAAGAGGAGCTTGGCGAGTGGTTATGGTGAGTCAATTGCCTCCAATGATGAGCGTTCCATGAGCTGGTACTGACAATAGGAACAGCTGATGTGCCGAACCCAATGTTTTACATGCCAAATACCAAGATGTTGTTTGGCGATGCAAAGGTTTCTTGTGACGGTATGCCTTCCCTTGAGAGACCTCCACTCGAGATCTCAATGTCCTAACAACGTCAATAGCAATCAAGTCAGCAGTAGAAGGAAAGTTGCAGTCGTAGGGGGTAATGTGAGGTTCTTTGTCGGGCACTATTATGGCAAGGCGTAGGATTTCTGCTTGCTTGATCATTTGTTGCACCGCAATAGATGGGATTAGATGGTTTGAGCCTGCGCGATAGTCTTGTCTTGATATATGAAAGAGTCAACCGTCGCTTGTCGTTGAATGATGCATGGTCCTGCTTCTCACGATGGAACTGCAGGTGTCTGTGTGTCTATTGCTTGATTTGGTTGCGTTCGTTGCGCGATCTCGATATGTACACCATTTGTTCCCGCAGAAATTTCGAAAGAAAAACCACTCATACCCGCTCCTTGGCCACTGGCTCCCAGGCATTGAGCTTGGGCTTCGTTCTATCACCTCGCGTGTCAGCACCACCGAGTCACTTCAGATATCATACCAAAAAGGCACCCCTTTTGTTCATCAAGCGCAGGGGACCAGATCTTGTAACAGCAGACTCACGTGTTGTACGTCTTGAAAGCGCCCCTCGTCATGGTATAGTTTGGCTTGGGCAGGGCGGGCTCAAAGAACCTGGTGCCGGTGGCGATGAGGGGGTCCTCGGTGGGCGGCTTGTCGACGGCGTAGCTGATCCAGGCGTGCCAGCCGGGCTCGATCTGGGCGGCGTCGTAGTCGTGCTTTGCGTAGTCGACCCAGCGGGTGCGGAGGGGCAGCTCCTCGGTGTTTTCGTAGAACTTGTTGCCGGCGCGGTCCTGGCCGACGAGGGTGCCGTGCTTGGTGTCGCCTGCGTTGCTCTCGGGTTAGGAGAAGGTTTTGGGGGAGCAGATGGGAGAGAGGGAGGATGGAGGGGGCGTACCGATATACTGGTGAGGAGGAGCGCGAGAGAGCGCTGCGTGTTAGATGGGAGCCGTCGTAAGGGGGGAGCTTGGAGGACGAACCAGCATCTGGCGGAAGTATTCCTGTTTGAGGGAAAATGAAGGGTTAGCAATGCTGTTTGGCAGCGATTGAGGAAGACGTTGACGGTGGGGAGGAGGAGGCGGACCTTGACGCCAATCTTGCGCAGATTGCCCAGGGTCCTCGTGAGGGTCGACATGGTTGCGGCGGGCGGGCGGGCGCTTTCTGCTGCCTTTGGATCGTAGGATGGGCGGTCGTTTGGGATGAAGCTGGTGATGATGGTTGAGGTTGGCTGAAGATTCGCGGGCGGCAAAAGGTCGGCTGAATTGTCAGGCTACCGGCAAGCCACTTGCGATGCTATCGGCAAGCTACAATTTTCGTTTCTTTCACCTTCCGACATCAATTGCGGACATTTGACTCCGATTTCTCTTGGGTTTTAATTCTTCTGTTCCAGGGCGCAGGATGATTGTGCGCAGCTGCGCCCGTTGCGCCGCCAGGACCCGAGTTCTGCGGACGAAACCCAGCATCTCGCCCCCGCGATACCAGCTCCGAAGCTATGCGACGCCTCACGGCGCGGCGGCTCAGGCTCACGGCGCGGGAGCCGGAGCGGCACCGGGGCTGCTTGCGCCGATGGTGAGCGAGCTGGACCGCATGGCGCCGAGCTTCGATGTCCGGGGCGACCAGATTCGCATCCTGAGGACGCCGGCCGAGTTTTACGAGACGCTCAAGGTGCGAAGACGAACGATGTGCGATATTGTGGGAGAGTGAATGGTTGGGCTGATGGTATGAAACCTTTGCAGGATCGGATACGGCATGCCAAGAAGAGGATATTCCTGTCGACGCTGTACATTGGCAAGTCGGAAAAGGAGCTCATCCAGACGCTGCGGGAGGCGCTGGCGCAGAACCCGGAGCTCAAGGTGAGCATCTTGACGGATGCGCTGCGGGGGACGAGAGAATCGCCGGAGGCTTCGTGCGCCTCGCTGCTTGCGCCGCTGGTGGATGAGTTTGGAGCCGATCGGGTCGAGATTCGCATGTATCATACGCCGAACCTGACGGGGCTGCGGAAGCAGTATGTGCCCAAGAGGATCAACGAGGGTTGGGGGCTGCAGCATATGAAGCTGTATGGGGTGGATGACGAGATTATCATGTCTGGGTATGTTGCTATTGATGAAGAGGACGATGGGGGGAAGTTGTATGCTGACTGTCCTGTGTAAAAGGGCCAACTTGTCGTCGGACTACTTTACGAATCGACAGGATCGCTATCACCTCTTCTCGTCCAAGGAGGTGACGGACTACTTCCGGAGCATCTACGATGGTGTCGCCTCGTTTAGCTTCCTTGTGGAGCCTTCAAAGGAGGATGCGGCTGGGTACACACTCTCTTGGCCGGCGACAAACTCTGCGCCATCGCCTCTCGAGAAGCCGCAGGCTTTTGTCAAGAGAACGACATCTGCGCTCCAGGGCCTCATCGCCGCGCCGGAGAAGCAGCCGGGGAGCGAGCTCAAGGACACTCGCGTATACATGCTCACCCAGATGTCTCAGGTCCTGCGCCCGGACACGTCGACGGAGCTTCCCGTGCTGACGCGCATTCTCGAGAGGCTGTCCCGGCCGGAATATGCCGGGTCGTCGTGGACGTTTACCGCAGGGTATTTTAACCCCGCGCCGTCATTGACGAAGCTGCTCCTCGAGACGGCTTCGAGCAACAACGTTGTCATTACGGCGGCGCCGGAAGCGAATGGGTTTTACAAGTCAAAGGGGGTTTCGGGGCTTTTGCCCGATGCCTATGTGCTTCTCGCGCGCCGTTTTCTTTATGCCGTGCAGCAGCGTGGTCGTGAGGGAGATATTACATTGAAAGAGTGGCGGTTTGGAACGGCTGGTCAGCCTGGTGGGTGGACGTACCACGCAAAAGGGCTATGGATCACGATGCCCGGCGACGCGAATCCCTGCATGAGCATCATTGGCAGCTCCAACTATACGAAGAGAAGCTATTCGCTTGATCTCGAGGCCGGAGCTCTGATTGTGACTCGGAACGAAGCGTTGAAGGCGAGGTTGGGAGAGGAGCAAAACTGGCTGCAGGACCATGCGGCAAAGGTTACGATGGATGACTTTACGAGAAATGAGAGGAGGGTGAGCCTCAAGGTGCGGATCGCCATGTGGATTGTAAAGATGGTGGGAGGTGCTCTGTGAGATTAAAGGGATTATTGGTCTTGTGGAATTATAGAAAAATGATACCCGGACGGGATGATATAGATGGATATACATAGACTGGATGGTATGACGTGAGTCATACTGGGCAATGAGAGAGGTCACACAATACGCTTACGGTGCTCACTGCTATACGCATGATACGCATCCGGTCGCCGAGGCGCCTCCGAACTAGATGAATCCCATGGGATTTAAGTCCGAGAGAGGGCTGAATCCTTCAGCCACGGATATAAGAAGACTGGCAGCTCATTCATGAGACCCGTTGACTCTGTCTTGCACGACGGTCAATCCACCTGTTTGTCATTGCTTTCAACATGGCTTTGAACGAGAAACCCATTGTTCTGTATCACTATGAGAACTCGCCGTATTCCCGAAGAGTGTCGTGGTATCTTGCTTTAAAGGGAATCAAGTACCAGCAATGCGTGAGCAACATACCCCTTAACTCCTATAGATGTAGTAGTATTATAGCTAATTTCCCGTATAGATCCAGCCTCGCATCATGCCCCGTCCAGACATTCACCGTCTGGGCGTGAAATACAGACGCATCCCCATTCTCACCATAGGCAGAGACGTGTACCTCGATACGCGACACATCCTCACAAAGCTCAGTAACCTACCCCCAGGACGAGACAACGTTCGTCTATCAACCGCTACTACTCCTGAACAGAGGGCGTTGCAGCATCTGCTCAACGTGTACGTCATGGACACCGGCTTCTCGAGAACAGTGGTGCAGCTCGTGCTATACAGCCACAAGGGTCTGAACGACCCGGCCTTTGTCAAAGACCGCGCCGAATTGATCGGCAGCAGCACGTTTTGGCCGCGGGAGAATTTGGAGGCGATGAGGCCGGAGGCGATTCGCAGGGTACAGGACGGATTCGACTTTTTGGAGAAGACGCTGTTGAGTGATGGGAGGAAGTGGCTTCTTGGTACGGAGGGGCCGAGTTTGGGGGACATTGAGATTGCGTGGGCGTTTCTGTGGTTGGAGAGGGTGCCGGGGGCGATGCCGGAGGCGTGGTTCTCCAAGGAGATTTTTCCGAGGGTGTTTTCTTGGATGGAGAGGTTTAGGGGGTTTGTTGAGGAGGCGGAGAGGGAGTTGGGGGAGATTGAGACGTTGACTGGGGATGAGGCTGCCGAGGCGATTCTTGGTTCGGAGTATCATGAGGCTGAGGGGAGGGTGGATGAGAGTGATGCGTTGGTGAAGCAGTTGGGGTTGAGCAAGGGGTGCTTGGTGACGGTCTGGCCGACGGATACGGGGGTGAATCATAAGGAGGTGGGAAGGTTGGTGAGTGTTGGTGGGAAGGAGGCTGTTGTTGATGTTGAGGCGGAGGGGGGAGGGACGGTGAGGGTACATGTGCAGAGGCATGGGTTTGCGGTTGCGCCGGTTGAGGAGTAGGTGATCAAGGGATATATCTCTGGAAGAGGAGTGGAATGATCTCCTATCTCATGATCTGTACTGTAAGCCACATCTTCACTCATGTGTCTACATCATGTGAAGTCCTGACTGGGGCTTTCATATGTGACCCCTTCAAATTGATCTACGAACATGTCTCTTCTCATATTCTGCTCTTACAGACTATGGTATCCTAGTCCATGAGGTGTTCTGGCAGAGATTGATCAATGTGGGGAAATGGCACGTCTTATAGCACGCAACTTTTCCATGACTCACACTGCACCGAAGGATTTGCATAAACGTCTGATGTAATTCTATGCCAGGGGCATTTTCGTCTCCATCCATCTCCTTGACTGCTTCCTCGCTTGATCATATCATTGCCGCACACACTGTAATCACACCTCAACTACAATCATACAATAAATTCTTACGAATCTGAACACCCGAATAGCATGGCACCACTCACTGAGGACGAGGAGCACGAGTTGGCTCAGCAAATCCTCAACCAGCTGGCGCAGACGCCCTATGCTTGTTCAGCCCTGACCAAGCTGAGCGGCGGAACAGCAAACTTCCTCTACCGTGGAGTCCTTCTTCGACCGCTCAAAGTAGAGGCTGATACGAAAGCGGCGCAGACTGTCATCATCAAACGCTCGACTGGCTTTGCTGCCGTGAACCGGGACTTTCCTCTGGATGTCTCGCGCTGCGTCTTCGAAGAGACTATGCTCCATGCTCTGGATGGCCATTCTTATACTATCATCACTTCCAGTGGTCCTACCATGGTTATGGCTCCGCGATGCTACATGTTTGACCGAGATACACACACTCAAGTGCACCAAGACTTTCCTGATACTATAGATCTCATTAGCCTCTTGCAGTCTACCAATATTGAACAGATCCTACCTGGATCTAGTAGCCGATCAGTCGGCTATGCTTTGGGTTCTTGGCTGCGCTTCTTTCACAACTGGACGTCTGAGCCGGCCCAAGCTGAGCTTAGGAAAAGCATAGGGCCAAACGAGGGCATGCGTCGGTTGAAGTGTCTTATTACGTACGGCAGCTTCATTGAGATTCTGGAGCGCCACCCCGAGACTGTAGAGGGCCATAGGGAGACGTTGGAAGCTGTGAGGAGTGCTATGAAGTATGAGTTTGAGAGAGAACCCACCGAATGCGATGACATCCGTGGAATAATACATGGAGATTTCTGGGCTGGCAAGTAAGTTAAAAGTGCCCCCTACACAATTCCATGTTATCCTCAACAACAGGTTCTGACAGAAATAACAGCGTTCTACTTCCAAATAGTCCATGTCATGAGACAACAGCACCTCAAGAACCAAATAAGCTCGCCATAATTGACTGGGAAAACGTCCAATTTGGCCACCGCGCCGTGGATATCGGTGGCATGCTCGCCGACCTTTACGAGCGCAAACACTTTAAGGACGTTGCTGCGAGTATACCCATCATGCAGGGCTTCATCGAGGGCTACGGTCCCCTGAGCGAAGAGCTGGCATTTAGCACCGCCATTCACGTCGGTGTGCATCTTATCTGCTGGTATTACCGGCGGGATCGGAATGCTCCCTTGCCGTATCCTTTACCAAAGGTGCTGGATGTCTTGACTTTGGGAAGAGATTTTATTGTTAGGGGATGGACAAAAGATAAGACGTGGTTTGGGAGCTCTGTATTGGCGCCATTGTTCGCGTGTAAGTAAGAAACAACCGGATTAAGATATATATATGGATAACCTTTTGAATGCCCACTACCTTGAATATGTCACTGTGCGCCCCTTCCATTGTCTGCAGTTGTCTGACAGAGGCTTAATGACCTCCTTACAAATCTCACCCCAAAGTTCGGTTGTATTCCAATGAGTCCAGCGTTTAGTAGACGCCCCATAGACGCAGTATCTCACGGCTTGTTCGTACAGCGGCAGCGGCGTGTTGTAGTCATCGTCCAACCACTGCGCTGCAAGAGATAGTCTTGCGAAGTAATCAGACGCAGATTGATGTGCCTTATTCGCAGCAAAGCGGTTCTCCAGTGTGGTCTGGTGCCATATCTCAAGCAGCAAGATGCCAAGCTCCAGAAGAGTAGACTTGGGGTCAGCCGCATTCGCTCCATTGGCCTCCGCGTCCTCGATCTTCGCGCATACAAAAGGTCGGTTAAAGTCAGCGAGAGATCGTTCTGATCCATTCTCGGGGTTTAATAGGAAGAAAATCGAGTCTTTGGACCACGCTGGGCCAAACCACCGGGTTTGAGCATATTGAAGTAAGCTTGATCCGAGTGTCGAAGCTAGAAGCATGGCTGATTGTAGGGGAAGCCTTGCGCCATATGCTCCGGAAGTTTCCGAGAGGATGTCCCTGAGGGAGATGGTCTGGTGATTGCTCTTAAGAATCACTGTCTTCTGCTTTGAGGTGATGAAGCCCATTCTATTGCTCGCATGTAGAATAAAGGCAACGTGTTGTGCCTCATCGTGAGCCGTTACAATGGCGGAGCAGAGGTTGTCTATTGGGACAAAGTTTGATTGTAGCGAGCTGGAGTCCTTGGCTTTTGCGCATTCGCGTTCCAGGATCCTCACCCGTGAAGCTTTCGACTCGACCTGTCCAGGGTTCAAGTCGCTTGGGTCTTCCTGCATGCATTTGACGGAAAGCTCGTGGCATCTGATCTGAATGGGAGCAAGGAATTTTGCGGCAAAAATGAGCTGAAAGGCCAAGATTGTCTTTTCATCGTCACTCATCTGTTTCGCAGAGCGAAGAAGCTCCGATGCCACGTCGACTCGATCTTCAAGCAAGACGTGAACGTTGTGTTCGTTGTGACACGAACCCGTGCAGCAGCGGCAAAGAGCTGTGTATAGGTTCTTTGAAGCACTCTGAATCCTGCGGAAGGCCTTGGCAAGCCTCATGTTGCTGGATGATACCAGTGAGCTGACGGGTCCATGGCGGTTCATCAGCACGGTTTGTGAAAAGGTATGGAGCGTGCTGGTGGCTGTGTCCAGCTCGCTGATGCTTTCCTTTATCGCGTCGCTCTTCAGGGCAACTTTGAGTCGAGGGATGATATCTGCCTTGTGTTTCTTTGCCGTTTGGTTTGCTTCTATGATTCCAACAAGATCGGACGGATCATCCTACGGAAGCAATCGAGAAGAATGTCATTCATTGTTTCCTAGACTATGCGTCACGAGGATAAGTACCATCACGTACCTTGTGAGAGGGTATCAGGCCATCCAAGTGCTTGGCCACTTCTTCCAGGATACCCTGGATGTCTAGAACTCTTCCGGTCAAAGCTCTGTAGTTGTCGTCTCCAAGAAAGGCTTCCACCTGGGTCTGGATCTTGTCATCCTTGAAATACGCAAGAGAGTCTCCGCTGAGGAAGGTTGTCTCGTCGTAGCTGTGGCCACTCCGCGTGATGATAAGGCGAACTGTTTCCAGCAGAGTTTGCTGGTGTAGCAGCAAAGACCTCGCCAGCTTCTCGACGTACTTTCGCTTGCGGAATGCGAGCTTGCCCTTGCCGTACGCATCACGGCATAGCTCTGCGCCTGAGATGAGAATGGGGATTGCGTGAAGGACGATGCCGAAAGCTTCGAGGTTTGACATTTAGAGTTGCCGTGCCTGCAAATTTGATGACTGAGCTCCGGAAAGGTAGGTGATGAATGAGAACATGCAAACATGGCGGTATCAGAGGTTGAGGCTCTGCTGCTGCGGGGATATTCTGGTTAGGCTGTAATACGAGTACGCTCCTGATTTTGGCCCCCCTCCCTGGAGTGGTAACACCCTTGCTGCCCGATAAGGCGCAAAGCCGGTGCTTAAGAGCCATGTTAACATGATACCTTAGGTGACACCAGCTCCCTTGTAAATGATGTTTAGTTGTCAGAATAGTAGTCTTATGTAGACGCCTGTAGTAGCTAAAGTAGAGTAGAAGTGAGAGCACCATGATGACCTGATCTGATGGCTCGTCTACGAGGCTCGCAAAGTAATCTATATAAAGAAGCCATGTAACTCGTCTTGACAATCATATCTTCGAGCAGCTTCCGAGAATATCTGTGTAAAACACATCCCATACCCCTCATCTGGTAGCTTTGAATAACTCGCCCCCACGGTGATCCGGTGAGCCAAATAGCTTGACTGAATCCACCGGTGATGCACATACCAGCTTTGTACCATCGGCAGGAGTCCGATCAAACATTCTGCCCGGATAGCTGCGTACTGCCACCCACCTCCCGTCTCATCTTCGAGGTGTATCGAGTCTGTATGGAGTCTGAAAACCGATGTCGAGGAATATGATGTGCCTGTTCTCGATTCCCTTCCTCGACATATACTCCTTGACGCTGACTTCGGGATCGCCTCCAGTAACGGTCTTGCCCGGAAACTGGGTTGTTGTTTGCAAGACGCCAGTATGATTGAGAAGCGCAATACGAGATTGATGAGCGATGGCAAGACTGTGTGATTGAAGACAGGAAATGGCTGTATATCTCTGCAACCCTTGTTCTGCATGGCATCAACTAGAGACCACGGAAGGCAAAGAAAAGGTGCAGGAAATCATCGACCAATGCAACCAGCGGCTGGTGAAGGGAGCGCAGTCGGTAGGGGTTCATGTCGAGGCGGGAGCCCAGAAGGACTCACTTTCTACATAGATTCCGCTAGCAACGTTACCGGCCTGCTCACGAAGCTGGAAAATGATCAAGGACAAGACTGGGGGTGCATTATTATCTACGATCTGGCGATACCATCTGTACGTAGGCAATCACGATGGCATCAACAGCACCTACGACAAATAGACGATATTGATAACATGTAAGAGTTGAAAATAGAGCACGTGAAAGTGAAGCGTAACTGAATGAATACATAAGGTACATACTATTGGGGCACCTGCGTTTAGTTGGGCAGCACTGACTGTCTTCAAAAGCTGAGTTGTAGCCCATGTAACAGGATAATTCTCGGCATCCCCTTCTCTGTACTGTAGTGCGGCATGCAATATGGCTATTGATTGTTTGCTCTCCCCGCATGCGGCTCTCGAGGAGCCCTCATACATTCTTTGTCACGGAGCCTGATGTCCATCCTTTCACCTTCCTTTGTTCTCACAAGCTCTGACCCCCAAACTAGATAACACCTGGATCCGGCTATTTGAACTATAGGTACGACAGCGGGTGTTGATCTGAAAATCAAATCTCAGTCAACAGATGCCACTCCTCACAACATCTCGCCATGGAGCCCCTTACAGAAGCAGGTCTCGCAGCGATGCAGCGGTTTAAACTTCTCCAACACTTTGAGATCCAAAAAGCAGCTCCGAACGAGTTAAAAATCCTGGCCAAAAGGCCTTTTTCTTGCCCAGTTTGATCGATTCGAGCTCTGGGCAGTGAACCTTGGCCTTTTCGTAATGGGTCACCGTTCCTTGGATTACAGGATTCGTGATTCAGAAAGCATGAGAGAGGCCATCCTCAAGATGGTGATGGATCTAACCAGATCTCTTGACGAAGGTAAGGGCTTGGTCAAATTACCACTGAGATGCCCTTCTGACGGTTGTTCTGCAGTCCTTGACTATCTCAACGGAAAAGAAGAACAAGAAGATGAAGAGTTTGACACGGATTCCGATACGGAGTCCGACATGGATCTTCTCCTTGACAGCGTCAAAGATCCTATCGATCGCCTATATAAGATGGCTGTTTGGATCCGCGATCCAGCGACTAGGATACCCTCCTCAAAGGCCCGAAACTTCCAGCGGATCGACGAAGAGACCAAAGTAGACCTGTTCAAAGCCTTTGAGCCTCTTGACTACGATTATATTAGCTCCCTTTTCCTGCAGTATGAGAAGGATAAAGCTTTGCAGGAAACACAAGCAGCCAAAGGTGAAGCGGAAGTCGGAGATCTTGATACCCAGGATCAGGTGTGGGAACCAGTCAGAACGACGTTAAAGTTGAGTAAGCTGAGGATAGAAACCGGCACTGAGTCGTATCTTGTTCGCCGCATAGCTCAAGCAAATGGACGCAGGCGGCAGCAATTTGCTTACTGGAGAAGCCACAAGGGCAAGCTCCGCGCACACTCATCTGTTGTCGTCGACGCTCCAACGCATGAGCTTCCAAGCGGCGGTCACCAGATGGAAGCTGGCAACCAGAATACTTCGATCAAGGCACCTTTAACGGTCGCCACGGCTACTCAGTTGACGTCTCTGAGCGGCGAGGCGAAAGAAGTCTTTGAAAAGGCCAACTTTCTGGATTATGCCGTCTCTGAGTATGCTCCGTCGGCCTGGGAACCCAGCAAAGACATTGTCAGCTTTCCATTGCCGCCTCGAGTAGCCGCGACGGAGCAGTTTTTCGAATGCCCCTATTGCTTTACCATATGCCCTGTTTCCATTCTCTCAGAAAAAGCCTGGAGGTATGAACCTTGGTCAGAATCTTATGACAACTGCCTTTGTTTACTGCTGACTGACCATGTTTTTTCTTAGAGCCCATCTGATACGCGACCTAAGGCCTTATGTCTGCACCTTCGAACATTGTCCAATTTCCGACCAGCTGTACGACAGTCGCGACGACTGGATCCAACACGAGGTGTCGGCCCACCAGACCATGTTTCAATGTCCAGTGCACCCAGATGACACATTGAACTCCCCAGAGGCGTATGAAAGACATATACAGAGCCACTGTCAGGGCGAGATGCTCCCGCTCTCATTAGCGAAGTCGACCATGACCGACATCCAGCGAAGCTGCCCTGTGTGCTCAATAGACTTACAGAATACACAGGAGTCACAAAGCCATATAGCTCTTCATCTAGAGCGCTTTGCTATGTTTACGTTGCCTCGCTCCACCGACGACCCCGATGGTGGAGATCTCAGAAGCCAGTCTACCGGAGCTCATCTGGCTTCTGACAGATCCCTTAATGGGTTCTCAGAGACAGGATCAGTGGTTTCCTTCACTGCTGAGAATTCAGACATTATCACGAAACGATCACCAGGAGATTTTGATGTCACTAGAGAGCAAATGTTGGAGAGACTGATGAGTGTGAGCCAAGAACTGGAGAATATATTCACGAGGCCAGTAAGCATGCTTCACTTGTTCCCCGCAGATATGGCCCTCGTACAATCTCAAATCAAAGCGCTGAATGGCGACATGGTTCGTTTCTTTGAGATGGGTGATGCACTGGGACACAGCTTTCTCTCAATTGTCTCAAAAACCTTCGTCGTCGAAGTCGGAGAGATTTGCGTCAAGGCTGGGCTCTTAGAGGAGGCTATCAACACTTTTGAGAGTCTGAAGTCTGTCCAAGCCAGTCAGCTCCCCCGTTCCGACCCAGCCTTACTACGAGCGCAGCAACAACTAGAGCTCGTTTACGAGGTAAAAAAAACGCTGCAAGATGTGCAGGAGGCGCTGGGACCGGAGGCAGATCTTCAGACGGAGCCAGGCAAGAGTCTGGCTCTGGAAAAACTCGCTCGAACTGCGCTGGGAATGCATCATGCTGAAACGATATGGGGCCCAAGCATTCGGGAAGAGATGACTAAAGTCATGGCTGATGATGGCACGGCAGCCCACAAAACAGTCTTGGAGGGAAAAAAGCGCGGTGCAGATTCAGGGGAACACAACTCTGGAGGGAGTCAAGAACGGACTGGAAGCGAAGCCGAGATTTTGGAGAGCGAGAAACCTAGGAGACGCTCGGCACTCGACAGATCCAGCGGGCTGCGCCGAACACTGAGGTCTAGAGCCCTGTCGGCACAAGACCAACAGGGACGCAATTCATTAGCCGAACAGGACCGAAGGCCTACGATGCCCCAAGAAAGTAATGAGGATGAAGAAAGGCTGGCGACTGTTACTCCGAGGCAGAAGTTCAAGCAGCTGCATACAAACGATGGGAGCACCGCTTCTGATACCATGTCCTCAGGGACCGCACGACTTGAAGCGACTCGAGAAGGAGAGGTAGAAGCAAGCCAGCCTCAAACAGCTCAAGAACACGACGAAGACGACACTCAGATGGCTGATCCTGAGAACGACCTCGCCAGGGAGCCCAGGCAGATCCGCATGGTCGAAAGAGAGAATGAACGGAAGCGGGCGTTGTCGGCCTCGCCCCCACGTCGTCCACGTCGTCCGCGGCGTGTTGCCAACCGCCGCCGGGAAGCATTTGGTGGAAGTAGCTCAAGAGATTTGGGGTTACAGCGGCCAAATCGTTGGCGATGTGTAAGTTTCTTTGTCCTTCTGCCATTACAGGTGACTCACAGACCTCAGTGTAAGTGCGCCGGTGGCTGGTTCAGTTTCCAAATACACGATAGCTGCCCCTTGTGTCAGTCATGGCGTTGCCCCAACTGCGAATGTAGCATGTCATAGGCGATGAAGAGCATCAATTCGCGTTTGAATCCTGTCGCCAACGCACACGAATCCAGGTTTATATCAAGCTACCTTGCATTTGAAAACGCTTAGAAAACAGCACTTAGGTCTCGCATACGGGGGATTACATTCAGCTTGACTTGGGTATGTATACTCCGGCTCTAACTGTTGCTTTATTTTATGGCAGACTGTTGTTCCTGAAACCAAATTTGACCATATTACTGAGAAGATGGCGTCGTGTACATGCCCTGCATACTCTGACCGAATTGGTGCACATTTGGCTGCTGCTGCTGCCCTGCCAAAGGGTAAGCCCCTGAAGCCTGTTGCGGCGGCATTGAACGGGGGACCTGCAAGGGACTCTGTCCTGTTGTAGATGCTTGCAACGAAACACTACCCGGACTATCGCCTTGGTTATGCCAAGTTTGAGTGCCAGGATTCTGGGGTGTCTGCATCTGGTTGGAACCAGGATAGACAGGCTGCGGAGCAGCGATATTCTGCTGTTGATATTGCTGCTGTTGCTGCTGAATGCTCATCTGTTGAAACAATTGCTGCTGTTGCACATCCTGCTGTCCCTGAGGGTGAAAACCCTGACCATACTGAGCTTGCTGGAGGACATACTGCTGCGGCTGTGGAGGGGAATGTGGCATGAATACTTGCTGTTGTGGTAGCTGCTGCCCTTGTGTTGCTTTGAGAAAAGCGGCCTTCTTGTCTTGCCCTTTGTGGCTCATTCCAGCGCTGTCGACAACGCAGTTGTTCTCGTCGATCCAGACAGCTCGCAGCCTGCCCTCCTTGGCCCGTTGAGCGGCCCCGGTGCCGTAGAGCGTGTTCATGTAATGTGTAAACTCAAGATAGGCATTCTTGACGATTTGGAAGTGTGTCTCGTTCAGATTGATCACAGCATCCGGCTTCAGAATAGCCTCGTGACTGTTGCCCTGAGCTTCGTATTCGGCGAGGGCCAAGGCCGTTTGACAGGCATTGCGGATTTGACGGCCATTCCAGCGTGCTTGTGGGTGTTCGTAGTAGTGCTTGGTTGCAAAGCTGCGGATACTAGATCCGTCAATGTTGATGACTCTGTTCTTTTTTGCGAAGCGGTCTTCGATCATGGCCAGGTTGTTGTCGAAGACTTCGAGAGTGTTTCCGGCGTCTAGCTCTGGGTAGTAGAGACTGACGTGGATTCTGGACGTAAAGGCTTCGTCAAAGTCTCCAACGCGGTTCGTTGTGAGGAAGAGGATGCCGGCGTAATACTCCATGACACGCAGGAACACTGTAGATATGCGTTTAGTCAATGTAAATGGCGAAGATGCTTTTCAAGTGAGGATGACACACCTGCTACCAGTCCATTCCGCTTAAAGTCCTCTTTGGTTCTCTCGGCCAGAAATACATCGGCTTCGTCAAGAAGAAGGACGCAATCCCATCGATTTGCCAATGCAAAGTTCACTTCCAACGCCTTTTCGACTTCTGCTGCCGTGGTTCCAAGGTCTCCTAAATAGCGGGAATAGTCCCAGCCAGTGTTAGCCATCGACCCAGTTGTAATAGCAAAATCGTCTACGTACCGCAGGTGATCTGAAAAAGCGGCTTCTTGAAGAGTTCTGCTATTCCTTCTATTTGGAGAGAACATCAAGCGTTAGTAGGCAAATCTCAAGTCAAAGAAAGGTGTCTCCGATAGCACGAACCGGCGGTAGATGTTTTGCCCTGGAAAACATTGTATCAGCGAAATGAACCACAAGTGAAGAGAAAGTCCTGTGCTACTCACCACCCCAGGTGCGCCGTGAAGCAGCATAATGAGTCCCTTGCCTATTGGATACAATCGTCAGCACAAAATACATGAGCCTAGAGGTGATGACGAAGATATATACCTTTACCCTTGACAATGTCAAACTGTTGCTGGTGTCCACTTGTCGACTTCTTGTCTCGGAAGTGCTGGGCGACAAGGGACACAATCATGGACCTGTGTTCCTTTTTGATGACCAGGCTATCAAAAGCCGTCTTCTGCTTCTTATTGGCGGTGGTGTTGCGCGTTTGTTCATCAGCCAGCACGTTTTCGACATCAGGTGCGTGTATGGCCGTCATGTAGGTGAGATCCAGTTTGGCTTCGAATTGTGTTAGCAAAAGAAAGCATAAGTTGACATGAAGCCTCGCTACTCACCCCATTTCCGGTTGCGCAGGACGAAGCCAAACACGCGGTAAGACATGATGACCAATTCGTCGTCCGAAGCCACAGCAGCGTTCGTATTGCCAGCTCGCAGGTCACTCAATGGCCGTGGCAATATGGCGATCGAAGGCTGCTCGTTCAAAGAAGTCACGCTTGGCAGCAGACTGTTGATGTACTCGGTCTTCTGCTGCTCGTCCACGTTGAAGTCATTATATATATAGTCGCTGGCACAGCATAGCCCACGGCAAGTTCTCATTTCGTCGTCGTCATCTTGATCTTGGCCGGAAGTATTTCCGATGAGCGTCTGCAACACTGGCTTCCATTCCTTCTGCGTCTCGTCTTCGACAGAAAAGGCTGTTTCAAAGTCGACGACGACTTGGCCTTCCACATCCTCTCGTGCTTCCAAAGTCGGCCCGACATAGTACATGTGCTTGACGGCGGCGACTTGGAGGAACATGGCTCCTCGGCGGATCAGCTTCTGTCGATACTGTTGGTCTGGTGGGAGAGCCTTGACTTCATCCCACACCGAGTCTTCAAAGTCAGACTGCTTGACAGGATGAAGGCGGAGCGGATAGACTTCCAGTAAAGTCACCTCTTTCTCGCCCTCGAACCGTTTGAAGTCAAACACCTTGGTGACTGGCCCAATATTCTTCCCGTCAAAATCGATATAGATGCAGGTGATGTTGAAGACTGACGATTTGCGGGTGGGATTGCTGTACCACCTCTCCCATGCCGACGCGACACGGTGGTTTGCGCTGCTGACGCTGATGACTCTGTAAGCCTGCTTGCCATCTCTTCCGATAACCTCCATTCCCGGGCGGAATAGGTACCAGAGGTCCGAGAAGACGATCTTGCGGCATTGAGGCCCGTGAAGATATTCCAGCCTCTTGGAGATGTCAGAGTCTATAAAGTCTAGGAGGCATCGTAGATGAAGCAGTGCAGTCGGAGACTTTGTGGTGTCGGTACTCCCCTTCTCCTTATCTTCTTCCTCCTCTCCTTCACTTTCTTCGGCGTCCTCTTCTTCCCTCTCACCGTCGGCTTTGACACCATCGTTGACGTTGTCTTGAGCGGCCTCCACAGGCTGAACGTCTGTAGACTGCTCCTCGGATAGGCCCTCAACTGCTGGGCCTTTTTCGGCCAGTGCCGCCGGTTCTGGATCATCACCCGGTGCATGGGTGTCAGGGTTCGCTTCAGTTTGTGGCCCCTGTGTGACAGCCAGAGTATTCTTCTCTGCCTCGGACTCAGACTTCAACTTCTTCTCGAGTGCAGTGTACCAATCGTGCAACGCCCCCCTACAGTAGAAGATGGCCTTGAACGGCCGGATGAAGACGACAGAGGAGATATTCATGTCGGCCAAGGAACCGTCCGCCAGAGATCCCAGGATCTCCGCGAGTATGTAGCGAAGAATTGATGAATGAATGCGAATCCTCTCTGGAAGCGGTGCCAGTCCTGCCTCATTTGTCTCTTGCGCCTTGCGATCCCGAAGATTCTCGACCTTGCGGCGCCGCTGGCCAGAGTGCCCATACCACCGATACTGCCTGATATCTTCATCAATAGTAGGCTCGCCTATGAGAATATCGAGGACGTGTGCTTTCTCCTCGTCCACAGAGTGCAGAGCCTTGAACGCGGGCCACCTTACCCGGTTCTGCTTGGGTATGGTCAAGCTCGACGGTGAGGTTTTGACGGGATCAAGCACTTCCTCAGTATTCTCCTCCTGCTCGGGCTTTTCGTCTTCCGCTTCCCTTTCTTTCTCTCTTCTCCTTTTTTCGGCCTCTTCAGCCAGGTAGAGACGGTCCATGTCCCACTCAAAGTTCTTCCGAAGCCGCTCACGGCGGTGGCCATAGTCAATCTCGCGGTCAAATTCCACATGCGCGCCAGATTTGGCATCAGCTGTAGTGTTGCAATTGTGTTCGGGGTCAAAGGGATCTGGTCGTGCATACTCATTCGAGTAGGTCAAGTTCCAATAGCGGTAGTTTCTGCCGTCCTGGAAATAATCGTTGTTGGACCACATGTTCCACCACTCGGATCTGTCGTTGAGCTCCCAGTCTTTCCGGTGCTGATAGAGGCAGTCTTCCATGCGTTTGTAGTTCTCTCGATATGCTCTTCTCTTTGCTGCTTCTGCTTCCTGCTCAGCATCAACTGGTGCGGCGCCTTTTTGTTTCCGTTCCAGTTGCTGGATCATCTTCTTGAGGTTCTCGATTTCGTCGGCAAATCTGTCATTATCTTGTGTAGTTGACTCGATGTTGCCGCCATTGCCACCGGCACTTTCTCCATCTCGACTCGAGCTCAATGGAGTTGGAGCCATAGTGGTCGATGCAGTATCGACAGTTTGGGGCCCCAGTTGGGTTTCGACTGAAGCCATTCTGGTTGTCCTTCAAGTTTGAATAATCATAGAGCAATGCTCTGGAAATTATAGTTGTCTTGTGCCGTCTCCCTTGAGGAGTTCAGCTCGTGTAACCGCTATGAAATAGAAGTAGGATGTGCACGGCAGAAGAGTTACAACAGATAGACTATGGCTTCAACCAGTTTCAAACAAGGCCAGCTAGAGCCGCATGGAGTGAATCACCCCAATAATAGAAACGGAAAACCCAAATCCTACTCCTCAAGGGTCCGTCATCGCGTGCAGTTGGTGCCTAATGATATCCGCGGCGTTTCCGCGCCAATCGATACCTTGTTGTGCGCGGTTTGTTTGCGCTCTACACCCTCTTGGAGTCTGCAGAGTGGAATCCTGTAAGCCAAGAGCCTCACCACTACTGGGTTCAGCTGGAAGAGAAACTGTCAGATGAGGGGTAATGTGATGATAACGTGCTTTGCAAGGACTCCGTAGGGGACAACTCCCATGTCACGGCTTTGGACTTGCGCCGACTACCGCGGCATCCTTGCAGCATTTCCGCATCCTCAAACCAATACTAACGAGATAGGTGGAGAGCAGCTATAGTATGCAGACGCAGGAAGCAGTTGCATGATCCTGCCTAGCCATGCACTAGACTGACAGGGTAGATAAATCAGCGCAAGGCTTACCCTATCCACACGCAGGATAGGGAGTTGAATGTTGTCAACGTTGTATCAACTCGAAGAGAGGACAACTATCTTGCTTACGACAACTCTCTTCAGAAGTCCCGGTCCGGCCAATGAGTGACTCAAGTCCCGTCAGCAACTACCTCGGCCATCGCCCTCCCAGCGTGGCCTTTATTGACAATCGACTTCCAGAGCACCATCAACTGTTCGCGGATCCTTCAGTGCGCTATGATCCGGTTTCCGAAATCTACGTTCCTTCTAGGATCCAGGAGGATGACCAAGTTGCGATGGCATCAAGACCAGTGTTTACAGATATTAAGGCGATGAGATTCTGGGAGAGTATCCTCCCTAGAGCTATGTCGGAGCTGCATTCAACACCAGAGCCCAAAGGGCGATCCGAATCACCTTATAGTATCCGAAACAAGACGAACTGGCATGCAATCTTTAGCAGCCTCGAGGAAGCAAAATACAGATATGAAAACAGAGAGGGGCCCATGAACAAACTACGTGACATGCGGCGAAAAGCTGCGAACAAGGCCGGGCCCGTGGGGAGTGTGGTTGGCATCGTTTCGAAGGTTATCCCTGAAGGCACTTTGGCTACGCCTGTGCTGGGCGCTTTGCAGATTCTTCTAGGTGTAAGATGGACCAAACGACAAGCGTCTTCGGGAGATGCTGGGCTTGATATAATTACTGACGAGACTCGCATCAGGCAGTCAAGATTGCTGCAAACCTACGTGAAAAGGTTCTTGGAAGTTTCGATGATAATATGGCCATCTTTTCGGATGTCGAGCTATTCCTGGGAACTTTTCCCGACGATGAGAACATTGTAAACGCGTCGGTGGACCTCATTGTTGCTGCGCTCAAAGGAATTGAGTTGGCCATCGGGTTCTTCACCAGCAATTCATGTGAGTTTCTTGACAGGATGATGGATAATGGTAAAAGCTAATCAAGCAACCCATATTATAGTGAAAAGAGGGACCAAGGCTCTTCTCACAAGTGACGAATACGAAAAGGGCCTGCTTGAAAGCCTGGACACAATCAAGACGAAAAGCAAAAGTCTTATGGAAGAAGCTTTGAAGTCACATATCTATGAAGTCCATATCTGTAAGTCCTCATCAATGGTACACCCGGCTCCATGGAAAGCTTGGAGCTGATACATGCTTCTACAAGACTCTCAAGAGACGCAGAAGCTATGCAGAAACATTCAGACACTCAGTGAAGCAATGGACAGGAAATTGCAGAATCTGGGAGAGGGTTTCAACTCTATGAACCTCCTTTTAACTGAACACGTCAAAGAGAAAGAGAGTGAGTCGTTCAATCCTGGGTTCAAGGAAGCCGGTCCTAGAAGATGACTACCTATGTAGTGCAGCTACTGATGGCTTGTGTACAGAATTGTTGGAAGCTGCTCGCCAACAGCTCGAAGTCGCCTACCGCGAGAATCACTTTCTCAGGGCCGAGAACAACACACTACGTGCCTATTCGCCTCTCAGAGCCATATCACCATTCCAGCCGCCACAGACGCAGATATTAGCTGCACATTGGTACATCAGTCAACAGGATCTACGACAGCTATTGAACCAGTTCGACGTTGATCTTGTTGATCTCGCCTTTGTTGCGGACAGAAAGGGCCAGCTTCCTCCCAAGCAGCGACTGCAAGCCGAGCAAATCGTCAACACACAGCTGTTCCGTAACTGGGTCATTTCGCCCACTTCTTCGAGACTCCTCATCCATTGGGATAATCGTCTTCCAAAGACCATTGCTGGCCTCTCGCCTCTATCTGTCTTCTGTATGACCATAACACAGGCATTGAGAGCCAAGGATCAGTTTGTGTCTCTTGTATGGTTCTGTGGACGACATGCCGAAGCAGCAGAGTCCAGAGGCTGCATTGGTGCACGTGCCATGCTTTCAAGCCTGGTTGATCAGTTGTTGAAGCAACACCCATTTGACGCTCAGTTTCTCTCTTCCAACAGCATCAACATTGCCGGGCTACAAGAAGGCAGTCTCGATGCATTGATACAGCTGCTATGCTATCTCATCCGGCTACTGCCTCCAACGGTGTCAGTCTTTATCATTATAGACAATGCCGTCCTTTATGAACGGGACGGATTCGAGGAGGAGTTGCTGCAAGTCTTTCCGACGCTGATTCATCTTTCCCAAGACACAACCATGCCCGCGGCCATCAAACTGCTTTTCACAAGTACGCCGGGCACCACGACTGTGCGAAGTGCCTTCGAGGATCTATTATTGAACGTCGATAACTTGCCGCAAATGACCTGGGCACCAAGCGAAGAGCGGATGATGCGGGAACTCGAGGGGGGGCTTTCTTGATAATGGAGATGAGGGAGAAAGTGGCATAATTCATTATTCAAGCAGGCTATGGAGAATGACCACAAATTACTTGGATAGTCTTGCAATCGATACAAAACTGTGAGTCAGTCAAGGTGCAATACGAATATCCTATTGACGAGGTAAACGGCATCTTCATCGCTGTACTTGTAAAAGTGAGAAAAGACATTGCCCAATTCTCTGCCACACTAGCTGAATTGCCTCCAGTAACTTCGTTCTCTTTCTTACCCGGTAAAGAGAGTAAGGTATACAGAAACAACTTGGTAGCTTTTGGGCCAGTATAAATGGCCTCGGGACGCTGAGGCCTGTTTCTCCTCGAAAGCAGCCGGCACTGAATTGCTTAATAGTACTTTGTTTTCACCACTTCACGTCAATTGAGTCCATTGAATGTCAACCTACCTAGATAATAAACAATGGGACAAATCGCGAAAACATCACCGACAAACGTGAAACGCTACTATCGCCCTATTTACAAATTTTACCCGGCAAATTTTTTTCGCCACTAACTCACATATATAAACTCCGTCCTCCCAGAATCCGTCTTTTCCTAACCTAAGGGGAAAACAGCCCTAGGTCAAATCGCAACGACAAATTTCCAGCAGAGACGGCGGAATAAATTGCACTTGCTTTCTGGACGATGGCTCTATAAACTCTCATTCGACAGTTTCACCCTCGAAGCCCCCGTGGTGGAGTGGTTACCACTTAACTCTTATAGATCCAACCCGTTGGTCTTGGAGATATGTTAAGGTCGCCAGTTCGATCCTGGCCGGGGGCACCAACTTTTTTGCGTTTCCGCCTTTCGTCTCTACGTAAAGAATTCCTTTTTGCAGTGCAAAGAGAGATGCTATAAAGCAGATTGTTAGAATGGTTATGTAGACCAATTGGAAATGGTTGCGCTGGTCTTTTTCGTTTGTAGATTGGACTGAAGTGTTGTTGATTCGTTGGGAACACTCAAGAATACATCAATTACACTGATGAAGCACATGTGATGTCAACCATAAGGAATACTACCTACCCAAATGCACTCACTGCTTTGATACGAAAGATCAGCTCCATGACCATCTGAGACGCTGAGAAGACGCATTAATTGTATTGTCAATCAGGTATGGTTGATTGCACAGTCAGTTGCTATCTCCACGCGGAAGCCGGAGGACTCGGTATCAGCTGCGGGGTCAAATCGGCATACGTACGATGAACAAGGTCTCTCTGTCCAGAGCTCCCCAGGAGTCGAATTCCCAAGGTGCGAGGTCGGTTCCAGATCCAATGAGAATCATTATGAGCAAGTCTTGTGACAACGACTGGATACGATGCAGCCCAATCTCTCTAGAGGATGCTCGTATATGGTCGCATTGGCCTCGGTGTAAGCCAGATCGGCCCTCAGATCGGACGCACCAGAGCAGCTCCACATCCATAAACTCCGGAGCTTTGGGTATGATTTGTCTTGGGGTCGGAGTCGAGAACTCCGATGTTGAAAGACGATGGCTGGTTCCAGCTCCCTTCGATCCAACCGTAATCGCTAGCTCTCGGTGTGACTCTTCGCGCTGTGAAGAAGACCCAGATGCTGGCTTGTTGCCCAGGGCATATAAGCTATTGAAGACGTATTCAGACAATCAGCTTTGCCAGATAGTTACAGCATTCTCGTATCAAGACTGGCAAGCATATCCGAAAAAATGAAGTGGCTACAAGCACCGCCATTTTACATCTGGGCCAGTCTGGCAGCATCCAGTGTGCCGATTCTCTTTGGGTGCGTCACGGAGTCTCCAGCTCTATGTCGCAGCGTAGCTGACAATGCTCTTCTATCTCCAGTCTGGATACAGGCAACATTGGCCCAGTGACAACGATGCCGGCATTTCGCAAGACATTTGGAGACTTCTCGCCCACCGTCCACGGAGTCATTGTATCGACGGTGCTCATATCTGGTGCTTTTACGGCGCTCATCGCCGGGATCCTTGCTCACCGGTTTGGCCAAGTCCGCATCTTCTCAATAGGATCCTTTGTCTTTGGTGTCGGCGCGGCCATCCAAGCGTCTTCTTCCGCTCTCCCCGCGTTCATCGTCGGACGGCTTATCCAGGGCATAGGCGAGGGCCTGTTTGTGAGCAATGTATGGGTGCAGGTCTCGGAAATGTCGCCGACTAGAGTCCGGGGCACGATGACGGCATTGCCGCAGTTCAGCATCGTGGTGGGTGTTGTGGCCGGCTTCTTCATCTGCTACGGCACTTCACGTCTCGGCCCATCAGCGTCACTCAGCTGGCGCATCCCACTGGCCATCTCAGCTGTGCTCGGCTTCCTGCTATCAGGAACGTACTGGCTCGTGCCGGCCTCTCCTCGCTGGCTATTGGCCAAAGGTCGAGTGGACGAAGCGCGTGACGTTCTCATTCGACTTGGATTCGACGACGTCGAGCGTGAAAAGCTGTTGGAGGAATCAGTGGTCCAGGGCCAGGCTCAGAACGCTGCTGATGAAACCCTTTGGCAAGGCTTCAAGCAGACGTTTGTAGGATTCAAGGAGGCCTTTTCAGCCCCGTTCCGTGCCCGCACCATCTTTGGCTGCTTCATCATGGGCATGCAGCAGCTGGCCGGGATCGACGGCGTCTTCTACTACGCGCCAATCCTCTTCCAAAAGGCAGGGCTGAGCGGCGAGCAGGCGTCTTTCCTGGCCTCTGGCGTCTCTGCACTGGCAATATTGGGCGTCACCATCCCGGCCACCTTTCTGGCAGACAAATGGGGGAGACGAACATCGAGCCTGCTGGGCGGCGTCCTAATCACAGCACTCATGCTGTTGATGGGATCCCTGTATGCGGCTGACAAGGTGCATGCCGATAGAGGAGCTGGCAAGTGGGTGGTGATTGTGTCTATTTACCTGTTTGCCATTGTGTTCAACGGGACGTGGGCCATTGGGTTCCGCACCTTTTTGATGGAGAGCCTGCCGAGGAAGACGAGGAGCAGCGCGTCGAGCCTCGCTCAGAGCGCCAATTGGGTATGTATCGTGGTGCCTTGACCATCTTCCACTCACGCGAAGCTGACTGATGTAGTTCTCGAATTACCTGGTAGCCCTCATCACGCCGGTGCTCATCTCCAAGTCGACGTTCGGTGCCTACTATCTGTTCGCCTTTTCGTCCCTCTTCACCACGATTATTGTTGCCTTGCGCATGGTTGAGACAAGGGGCCACAGCTTGGAAGAGATTGAGCAGCGGTATATCCAGAGCAGAGGCATTTCAACAGGCATGTCGTTGCCGATGATGAGGATGAGACGAGTTCAAGCAGCTCAATAGGCCAGCTTCATGAGGTTGCAGATGGTTAGAAGAATGATCGATCGTTGCCATTGAAGAACCCACATCCTACATACTGAGTCAACAATATACTCGATAGATGATTAAGCTCAGTAGGTATTGACGGAATGACAATAGCTAGCCTCAATTGAAAAGAAGGAGAGCCGAGTTGATGCATCTCAAGAATCTAAATACAGGGAGAAGGACAAGCAACGAGAACGGTCATGTGATGCAGCACGTGCGAGGTAGCTTCTACTTTGGGTCTCGCTGTTCCCACTGGACAAGCGCCAGTACCGCGAAACCTGCAACACCAGGCTCCACTCCAATTGCAGGCTGGCTTCGAGATTCCAAAATCAGTCTGGAGCTTCTTTTTTCCCAGCGCCTCACCATCATCATCACTCGCAGACTCTCACGCTCCCCCCCACGAGGCACCAGAGCAGCGACGACGAGGCTGAGGAACTCCAGCTCTTGTCAACCCAGAACCCAATTTTTTGAGCAAACAAGGAGGAGCTGCTCTCGTAGCATCCCGTTGCCAAGATGTCGTCCAACAAGCTCGGCAAGATGGTCAGTTCTTCCTGTCCTCCCCGCCAATCTCCCCATCTCGTGAGAAGCCTTTCGTTGACATGGTTAGACTAACGAGACGTGATTTATCTTCTAGGCCGGTTACGTACGCATACGCCCTCTCGACTCCCCATGGCAGTGACTGCCCTTGCCTCAGAAGACACTGACGGACCCTTCGCAGATCAACTACCGGATGCGCGTGACGCTGCAGGACTCGCGCCAGCTCGTCGGTCAGATGCTCGCCTACGACCGCCACATGAACCTCGTCCTGGCCGACACCGAGGAGTTCCGCCGCGTCAAGCGCAAGAACAAGTCGGCCGCTCCCGGCGGCTCGGCCGGCCAGACAGTCGTGCAGGAGGAGAAGAGAACCCTGGGTCTGGTGATTGCTCGCGGAGCTCACATCATTTCCCTGACTGTCGAGTCGCCTCCTCCCGCCGACCCTAGCGCTCGCCTCGGCAAGACCACCACGGGCGGCATCGCTTCGACTCTGCAGGCTGGCCCTGGCGTTGCCCGACCGGCTGGTCGTGGCGCCGCGGCTCCCATTTCTCTGGCTGGCCCGGCTGCTGGTGTTGGTGGAGGCGTCCCCCCTCCGGGATTCCCTTCTTTCCCCGGCGCTCCTGGTGCCCCCGGTATGCCTGGACCTCCTGGCTTTGGCGGAAGAGGTGCTCGTAAGTCATCAATCTCCCGAGCCATGGCAAGAAGCATGAAAACTAACTACCGTCCCGCAGCTCCTCCTGGCTTCCCTGGCCAGTTCCCTCCTCCTGCAGGCTTCCCGGGTGCTCCAGGCTTTCCTGGCGCCCCTGGATTCCCTCCTGGCGGCCCTCCTCCTCCGGGGTTCAACCCCCCTCCTCGACGATGAGATGTTGTATAAAAGCTCTACTTTCTGCGATACCCACGCGCGCAATCTAGGCCAGAATATGACGTCCCCGAGCAGGGAATAAAAGGAGATGAATATTTGTGGCTTTTTTAGAGAATGGGAGTATTGGACTACTTCACTAGGAACCGCTGTTAACTGATCAAGGGTGGCGTTTGGTGATGCTGAAAATGCACTTGGCTTGTAATCTAGCATCAACCGGGTACATGAAGCAATGAATCGGATTTGATTTCTGCATGAGAGGCCCCTTTTCTAATGTTTACAAGTGAGCTCTGGGGCTTGTCTCACCGACACAGATTCAGCTAAGACGCTGGCTCGGGGTGATGAGACGTAATGTCAACAACGGATTGGCAGAAACTGCAGCAAGGCAGCTCACATGCTCATACGGATCCTTTTTTTACCCGGCATTGTGGGATATATAGAGTCCCTCTTGCTAATATACATCTAATCGCACACATCATCCCATCATCGCTCACAACTCCTTCTCCCCCAGCGGAGGCCCTCCCTTGGGAAGCCCGTTGACGACAATCCGGCTCACCAGATCGCTCTGGTGCTGCTCAATCATCTCCCGCAGCACGCTCCTCTCCATGACCACCTTACCCGTCTCCAGCAGGTCCTTGACATCCACATCCTCCAGATCGAGCGCCCGGCCCTCCCACGGCACCTGCTCCATGGCTTCGTACAGCCTATCCCTCCTGTCCCCGGTGACAAACAGCGTGCGGCCGTATTCCTTGCCAAGACCCAGCGTGCTCAGGACGCCAGACATGTACTTCTTCAGATACGCCTCCCGCAGGCCGTCCTTGAGGAACTTGTCCGCCACGAGGTCAAAGTCCTGCGGCATGGCCAGCTCCATGCCGTCTTCGCAGATGATGAGCTCGCCCCGCCTGTACCGGTAGCTCAGCGCCGTGCGCCAGGCCTTGTCGTACACCTTGCGGTTGAGCCGGGTGCCAAAGTCGCGCGGGTGAGGGCCAAATGTCTTGCCACCGCCGCGCAGGAGGGGGCTCTGCCTGCTGCCGAGACGGGCCCTGCCGGTGCCCTTTTGCGGGCGCATCTTGCGGTGGGAGCCATGGACGTCGTAGCGGGTCTTGGAAGAGGCGGTGCCCTGGCGGGTGTTGTCGCCCTCGTAGACGACGGCGAGGTGGAGGAGGTCGCGGCGGAGGGGGAGGTAGAGGTGCTGGACGGACCACTGCTCGAGGGACTGGGGCTCGAGGGAGGGGAAGCTGTGGATGGTGACGGGGACAGTTGAGACTATGGAGAGAGAGAGAGAGAGTTAGACAGCGTGTCTTGGGCAAGGGGAAGAGCGAGTTGGGAGGGTTTGCTGACTTGGGTTCCATGACTGCATGAGGGATTGTGCGGTTACGGGTGAGTTGGCGGCCTGCTTTAGCGGCGCTTCGGTGGCCATTGATCGTGTGAATTGCCTGCTGAAGGATGTCGTCGCCGGCTATTTGAAGAATCAGCATCCCATCGCAGCATGCGAACAAACGACAGAGTCGAATTAGGGCTGTTTTCTCGAGCGTTCAACACACCTTTGCCGCAGATATCCTCAGCGCAGCCATCGCCTCGCCGAGGCACCCAATTCCTTTTGACGCCATCTTGACAGCCGATTCTCCCAACTCGCAGCAATTCTCTCCCTCTTTTTCTCTCTCAAACTCTGTCCCAATCGCTCGTATCGTACGACTGAGAGCGACAAGAAAACAGAGAGTAGTGCCCTCGTCGATAGTGCAAAAGATGGAAATCGCAAAAGCCCAAAGAGCGGCGTTTTCCGCCTCCGGCCGCCGAAAAAAAATTAGCGGGGCTTAGTTTTGCAGCAACTCCAAAGAAGCATTTTGTGCAATCCACCACCACAACTCTCGAATTCGATATCACGAGACAACCACACATAACAAGACCCGCGCACATTTGCGAGAGAAACAGCACAATGTCGCGGTGTCAGGCTGTTGCCAGGCCATTGGCCCGGCAATTGCGCCAGCAATGCTCCATCCGGCCCTTCACCTCGGGCGCCGCCCGCGCCGCCGAAGTCCAGCAGCAGCAGACAACAACATCATCATCATCCTCGTCAGCACCGCAGCAGCCGAGCCCGCTCGACCTCGACCCCAACAGCGTCCTCCCCGAGTTTGAAGCCCCCCTGATCAAGGCGGGCAAGATGCCCGTCGGCTCGCGCAGGCGGCGCGTCGCCCTGCGCACCACGGCCTCCATCCCCTTTGAGCAGCTGCCCTACCAGGCGTTCCAGGAGGCCCGGGCCATCCTCGCGGCGGACCGGCAGGAGAAGGTGGCCAAGATCCGGGAGCAGCTGGACAAGATTGCGGCGCTCGAGGCCAAGGACGCGGCGCAGGTCAAGGGCGGCGAGAAGATGAAGGAGACGAAGCTGGCGAGCTTGCGGCGGTCGGTGGAGGAGCTCAAGATCTTGGCCGACATTAACGATCCGCTGGTCAAGAAGCGCTTCGAGGACGGGCTGGGTATGAAAATCTTCACCCATATCTTCTCTCCCAAATTCCACTCAATTGCAGTTATGCTGACGGGACTTATAATAATATTCAGGCGACATGAACAAGCCCATCTACCGGCACTACGCAGAGCGCAAATGGCGCTCCTACGACTACCGCCTCATCGCCCAGCGCATCAAGCAGTTCAGCATTGTCCCCGACGTCCTGCCCAAGCTGGACCCCCTCGCCGACGTCCAGCTCTTCTTCCGCCAGCAAAAGATCGCCCCCGGCGCCGTCGTCAACTCCCTCGTCAGCGAGAACCCGCCCCGGCTGCGCGTCCAGGTCTTCGACGCCGGCTCGCGCCTCGTCTCCCTCGTCGTCCTCGACGCCGACGTCCCCGACGCCGAAAACGACGCCTTCTCCAAGCGCTGCCACTTCCTCGCCGCCAACATCCCGCTCAGCCCAAACGACACCTCCCTCCCGCTTAGCCGCATCAAGGCCGACGACCAGCTCGCCGTCCCCTGGCTTCCTCCGACGTCCCAAAAGGGCGCCCCTTACCACCGCCTCGGCATCTTCCTCCTGCAGCAGAAGCCCGGCGTCGAGCTCGACGTCGCCGCCCTCAAGCAGCTCTACGCCGCCCGCGACGGCTTCTCCCTCAAGTCCTTCCGCGACAAGTTCCAGCTCACCCCCGTGGGCTTCAACATGTTCCGCTCCGTCTGGGACGAAAACACCGCCGCCGTCATGGCCCGCCACGGCATCCCCGGCGCCGACGTCGAGTTCCGCCCTGCTCGCGTGCACAGCCTCAAGCCGCCCGTCAAGCCAAAGGGCTGGGAGGCCAAGAGGCAGGGTCCTGCGTACAGGCATCTGTGGAAGTACACCAAGCGCATCAAGGGCTTGTCGAATGCTCGCGGGTGGACCAAGAGGAGGTAAAGGGGAGACGAGAGGGGAGACGGGAGGGGAGACACGAGGGGTGGTGGAGTGTCATGATTATTATGTACGATATTTTCTCGTCATGTGTACAAAAGGAAACAAAAATGGGTGTTTTCAAGTCGGTTACTGCTATATAAGACTGCCGGGTAGACAATCTGGATAGTCAAAGTAAATGCGGGAGCAACGACAATGCACAAAGGTTGGCTCGCAACAAACCGGCAACATTCGCGTCTTGACATGCAATCAACCGGTCATGTTCGTCGATTGGTCCTTATTGTGATAGATATTCCGGATTCAGCAGACAGCAGAGCATTTCTGTGGCTGCTCGAAATATGTACGATACGATGTACAGAGGTATAAACTGGCTAGATAAGAGGTATGTATGTTCAGGATTAAGGTAGCTAAGGTTAGGTGGGTAAGGTATGTAACAATCCTCGGAGCAATTTTCGACTGCTCCGAATTCCCTTTGTACAGCGTGGATAAAAGACCTCGTTAATAAGAATAGTGTCCATCCCTATGGAGTTTCCCTTTTTTTGTCCCGCCACTCCGTTAAGCAAAGACTGACTTGAACTCAAATCGCCAAGTCGTATATCAGGGCTGGGTAATGTCTAGAGCTCAATCATAAAGGCTGCTTGACAGCGCCTTGCTCCAACTCCAATTGTTGTAGCGTTACCATCGCCACGTCCCTCACCGGCACGTCCAACGCGACGGTTCGTTTGGAGTTGCCCAGCGCAAGTGAGTAATGCGTGCACTGCAAGGCGCACAATGGCACCCACATCCCATCACTCTCCTCTTGGTATAGAATCCCGTGGATCTCGTTGCACTACCGCCATTGAGCTTCTCAAACTGAGAAGCATCTCCTGGAGGCTCACTGCTAGACAGCGTCGCCCGATAGCAGCTCTTCGGGCATGTAGTCGAGATTGATGCCCTCGTGCTTGGGCACAGGCGACTCCAGATTGGAAGGCTGCGATTCTGACGGCGAAGGCAGAGTGCACGACTCGGCAGTTGCTGGTTCTGAGGCCATGGTAAGTATACAGGGCGTGTACACAATTACAACAAGCTGCCAGCGAGAAACTCACCCGTAAGCGCCGTCGAGGGACGCCTGTCGAGAAGAGAGGCGGAGGTAGACGCAGCAGCGGCAGACGTAGAAGCAGAGGCGGCGGCAGCGGGGGGGTCCATGCAGCGCTCAACATAGCGGAGAGCTTCCTTTTCTATCCAGAAATTGATGTTGGGGTCGTTGCAGGCGGCGTGCGCCATGAGCTGGTTCTTGATGCGCGTCACCTCGTCGAGCAGCGCCAGGTACTCGAGGCGCAGGTTGGTGTGGCGCATCTCCATGCCCGACTTGGTCTCCTCGAGCTCCATGACCCATTCCTTCTTCTTCTGCCGACACTTAGACGCGGCGATGCGGTTGCGCTCCAGGTTCTTGGTGCGCTGCGCCGTGTCCTCCCTCTTGGCCGCGGGCCCTCGGCGTGCCAGCTTTCGCTTGGGCGGCGGCGGCAGCGGCGGCTGCTGCTGCTGGGGCTCCTGCTTGATCTTGGTCGTCTGGGCTGAAGCCGCCGTCTTCTGCCGCTTGGCCCGGGGCGGAGGCTCGGCGGAGGCTGCTGCATCGGCCGTCTGGGCTGCTGCCCTTCTTGTCCTAGTCATCATCGTGGTGGTGTTGGTGGTGGTGTCTGTACCTGGTTTGACACTGTTGGCGATTGTGGCGGCAGCGTCTGTGGTCTCGCCGGTGCCGGTGGCTGTTGTTGTTGTTATTGCCGTTGTTGTTGATGCTGTATCCGGCTTGGTCTTGGTGGGCTGAGTGGCCGGCCTCTTGGTGTTGTGGCTGCTGCTCCCGACGACGGTCCTGGCGCTGACCTCATGGGGGACAACGGTGCTGTCAATGCTGCCGATGCTGCTCCTGTGGTCGCCGAAATACTCAATGGAGCTCCCGGGCGACAGCAGCGGCACCGTCTGGGGCGTTGTAAAGTGCGAGTCTGGCGGGGTGGTTCCGTACGGCGACAGCGTCAGGCCGGGATCGACAGCGATCGGGTCGAGGCCCGCATCGACGGAGAAGTCAAAGGGAAAGCCCGTGATGTTATCGTGGATGCCCAGCCCGTATTCGCCAAACAAATCGTCGCTCATGGCCGCTTCCTTCTTGTCGATGGCGAGCGGGAAGAACACGGGCGACTGGACAACGGGGAAAGGCATCAAGTCGCCGAAGTGCGTCTGGCCGTCTGGGCAGCTTGGGGGAGGGGATCGTGGAGATTTGGAGCTCTCCCAGCCGCTGCGGGGCCGTTGCACGGAAGTCGAGGGTCAAGGATCAGGGATCAGGGGAGGGATCAGGAGGGGCTGATCCGGGTCTGGGGAGGGGAAGCGCTGAAGCTGGTGGCTTCTCGGGGTGAAGCGGGTGGAGCTGGAACAGGGTCGATCGCCTTGGTTTGCCAGGCACAAGGAACAAAAGAGGAAGAGGAATAAGCGAGCAGAAGGAGAGGAAGAAGAGCGTCGATCCGGATAAGGAAGGGCGAGGGAGACGATCAATTCAGGAGCTGCCGGACCTGAACGGAAATGCCGCTGCTCAAGCTGGTGTAGAGGAGAAAGAGAGGTATCGGTAGTCGATTTGACGGTCCCGGGAATTGCTGCAAGCCGAGGAGGAGGAGCAGCAGTTGGAGAGGCTGAGAGATGGGCAGGTCCAAGAGGTGCGAGGACGGCAGAGAGGCGAGGGGCAGGCGGACGGTGATAAGAGGCGAGGCAAGGCAAGGCGGGAGCCGGTTGCTGCTTGATTCACGGCCAGCGCCTGCAGCTGCACCAGAAGCACAAAAAAGCTTGGGCTCCTGCTGCTTCGATCGTGAAGGGTATAAGGTAAAGGCGAGGTACCTACTGCCTACATGCACATGCGGGTGGCGGCACTGCAGGTAGAGGTACTGGATGATATTGTACTGATTGCTACTAGCTATGTACAGCAGCAGTAGCAAGCAGGAGAGGACGGGTAAAACAGAAGCAAAGCTGAGAGGCACGATCCAATCAAGCCGTCGAGTTCAGTTCAGGTTCGCGGAAGGGTATAGCACCAGCTGTCGAGGCTGTAGTAGAGCGGCTCGGAAGCGGGAGAACGCATTGGACTATTGAAGAGATGCAGAGGAAGAAGAAGAAGAAGGAGAAGGAAACGAAGAAGAAGAAAAGAAAAAGGAAGAGGAGAAGAAGAAATAAGAAATAGAACAAGGGGGAGGACTCGGAAGCTAAATGGATCGAAGATCTGCTGTTTTGCTTCGGCTTCAGTCGCACATCCGGCGATGCAGCATAACGCACAATGCACACGGGCAACAGCAGGCGGGCCAATCCAGGTCGGCAGCGACAAGGGCGCTACTATATAAGCAGCAAGGCAACAGGGAAATGGAACCGTAAAAAGCTGGAGCCCGTTCGGCAAGGCAAGGGACCTTGGATCTGGCGACTCTCCTCTCATGATGGCTACTACTAGTACCTACTTACCTCTACCTACCTCACTCACTAGCAGGTATAGGTATAGGTAGGCAGGCAGTAGCACTAACCAGAGTCGAGGCAGATGCCCGCAACCGATTGTGCCGGTGCGCCTCCAAAGCATGTTTTGTGCCTACCTATAGCAGCTCGATATTGGCCCATGATCGGGGGACTTGTCCGAGTACGACGACCACCGCTAACACTCCACTGCTCCGTGCCATGCCATACCATATGGGAGGTATGGCGAACAGGTTAGCGGTCATCTTACGGCTTTGTTGTCGAGCAATTAGCCTTTGGCACGGAACGGAGGTGCGGGCAAACGCTTGCGTGACTGAAGGTAGCCGGACGCCACAATGAGCGAGCGAGCCAGCGAGCAGGTTTTGGCATTGCGTGGTTGTGCTTGTTGTTTGGCATGCCGTTGGTTTGTTGGGGTGGGAAGTCTAAGCCGGTGGTAGAGGAATAGTCGGGCCTGCTGAGTTGAGCTACGAGTGGTGGTGCTCGCTGCGTGTACGATACGGTATCGTGCTTGGTGGCTTTGGAGCTGAGGCTATCAGCATCACATGTGCTCGTTTTGCTTGGTGATGATCAGTGCATACCTACTACTACCTAGTGCTACCTACTTGGTTGATCCACCACGGATCATGATAAACCAAGGTACTACTGATGAATCTGCATCCACAGGTGAGAACCATCAGATAGTAAGGTACCTAGGTAAGAAGAGCCACAGTCAGCTTCTGTGACAAACAATCAGTTGGACAGGGCTACCAAAGGGCCGCATGATGAAGCTCCCCGTTTCATGTTGCTGTTGCCTCACCCCTTTGTGCTCCCAGCGTCTCTCTTCTCTCTCTCTCTTTCATCGTCCATCTTTGCGCAACACTGCCCCCAGATCCAGGTTTGACTGCATGTTTGTTGTCTTGGAGCACCCAAGGTAGGTACCTAGGCAGTCCAATGGTTTGTGCAAGGTACTCACTCACTCGTACATACCTGCCTTTCTACGAGGTACTGCCGTCCTCACAAAGAACACATGCCGGAAATGCTCTGCCGCGGCCTTGTGGCGATCCCCGACAGCAGCAAGCACGGAACATTTGAACCTTGGAACATGAGTGTCGAGGTGTGGGAAGCGGGTTCCCTCTTAGGGCGATCGCGATGCCGGCCTGCGATCCACGGCCAGGTCCTCGATGTCCGGTGAGTACCTGCGGCAGGGGTACCGCGCAGGTCGCCGTGGGAGCTTCTGGAGTATTCTCCATGTAGCTGCGCGACCAGCAGTTCGGAGCTGTGCCGAACGGGAGTCTTTGGGAACCTGACTGTGAGCAATTTGGTGGCGTGAAGCTCGAATTTCCGATCAGATGCAGTCATTGATGTCGGTGCAACTCGGCACGAGTCGGCCCAGGCCACGCACGCAAAAGGCGACCTGTGCTGCACTCGACGTCTACCGTTGCTGTACCTGCAACCGACGAACCGCTCCGACAGCTCCAGCTCCAAGTGGAGTCTCGCCGGTGAGCCTACAGCGCAGATGGGCTCCCTCCGCAGCCCCCAAGAACCCCCCCAAGAATCCCCCCAGGCGGCCCCCCATGGAGCCCTACGGGGCACGCAGTCCACTACAAGCCCGCTGCCAATGGCTGCCCTGCAGCTGGAGGTCCAGTGCCGTTTGCAGGCGCGATACCAGACTCCCGCTACTGCTGGACCAAAGGGGCTGTGCTGAGCCTCTCTCTCTCAAGCCTCAAGCCACACAACCACAGAAGCATATCCGCCACCCAAGCGACCCGGATCTCGAACTTGCTGAGCTGGTTCTTCTCGGACCGTCTCTCGACCTCCAGCAGCTTGCACCAGGTCTCACAGGCCTGAATCCATTCCAGTCGCCGTCCCGCAGACGCCCATCCCGCTTCCCGTTAGATTGCGGCCCAACTGGCTGCTCGTATGGACGCCAGAGCCATTACTGACTTGAGTGCTAGCGAAGCATCGGACACGAAGCCCGAGGCCGACGAGCCCAGCTAGACACAAAGGACGAGAGACTGCAGCTTCAACACCGCACAAGAGAGGTCCATGCCAGGCGGATATAATAAGACAGCGAACAACGAGCAAATGGAAGTCCCCTGTCGCCCGTCCGCATGAGATCCAGTTCCCCGCTCGTCCGTCAGGCAACAACATGGCGCCAAATCACAGCGACAACCACAGTCGCACCGCTGTGCTGCTTTGTGCTGTTTCTGCAACAGCGCTGCTGCATCCGCGCACACGCTTGACACGCACGCTCCATGCCTGTGCCTTGGTTTGATGCATCCCGTCAGCCCTCATTGGCCGCCGTTGGCCGTGTCCACGTACCACAAAGGCTGGGTCCGGCTGGCCGCACAAGGCATGGCTCCCCTGGCCATCCGAGCGGATGCTTGGGATAGAAGAGGTGCTTTTGGGTGCTTGTGGCAGCAGGCAAACTCTAACCATGACCAGTCGAGTAATAGCATGGGATGTCTTGTCATCTGGCGCCGTCCACTTGGCTGGAGAGAGAGAGCTGCCTACCTACCTACGGTATGTATGTACAGTACTATACAGAGGCTTTGGCTTTTACGAGCAGTAACCGGGCAGCGTTGTCCGCCATACATACATGTAAGCTGCTAGCTAACAAACATACATAGTCGCCTTCGCCTCTCTGGGCCGCTAGACAGCTCCGGCAAAGTCTAACCTGGCGGGCGTTCCTGGAGCTGGAGCTGAGCTGAAAACGAAAACGGAGAAGATGCAACATGCTTCCTCGCGCCGATGGACCAGTCCAGTGCCGTCGGTGTTAGTGCACGCACACTGCACACCTGCAGCGTTGCAGCATGGCGCCAGCTAGCATCGTCGTGTCTCGGCCACGCAGCTGCGGAGGGACGCTGGCGCATCCCTCGGTCTCTCGGTAGGCCAAGCCGTCCAAGCCCAGCGTCGCCAACCCACGGGGGAGGCGAATTTCCCACAAGCACGGCCAGGCGACCGACGGCCGGAGACAAGGTTTCTGGCCGTTTGGTCCCCAGGACCAGGTAACCAGTCAAAGACCGGTCGAAGCCGACCAGATGGCAGAGGTGCAGATCATGGCAAAAGGGCGTAACGACGTCTGGTTAGCTGACCAGGCCGGCGGGAGCTGGTGATTTGCACGCAGCAGAACAACGCGATGGAGGGCCGGTCAGTCCATCATACCACTTTGGCTCCCTTTCCCCCTCCGATGGATAAAGTCGACTTTCCCATCAGCCAATTCCGGACTACCGCATTGCAGCTCTAGCCCGCACGGCAAGAAGCCGCCATGACAAGTCGATCGATAGAAGCGAGCTTGCAAGGCATGCAGGCGTTTCTGCCCCTCCACCACCATGCAGCTTTGGATCGTATTGATTACCTAGTAGCCCTACTTTCACATGAAATCCGATGGCGAAGCAAGAGCTGATAAAATAAACGAGCTTCAATCTCACGTTCTAGACAATCAGCCATCTGCAGAGCTTCAATCATATATAGCCAGAGACGCCTTGGCAATTCGCCAAACTTTGCCATTTCTGAAAAAACCACAACAATCTGCATTAAAACTCAATGATTCACCCGACCATAGAGCCGATGACAGGAGATGGAGCGCAACGAACATCCCGTAAGGCATGTTTGCCATGTAAGCCAAGACCCAAGGCTTTCCTCTGCTCTTCCATAGTGCAAGCACAAGCCGCAGCAACAGCCACGCCGACTTCGCTCCGTCCGTTTGGAGGTTGTTCTACACCATCCTATTGCCGTCCGTGGGCATGCCACATTCCCGTGCTCTCTCTCGGATTGCTGGGGGCAAGCAAGCCGGTTCTTTCTCTCTTTTTTTTTCCTGCGAGAAAACAAGCTACGTGCTCGCCAAGCTGTTCCGGATGGCGAAGCAGACAAAGGGCGAGACATGAGAAAACAAAAAACAGGTAAAATGCGAGTTGATGAGAGAAAGCCAATGCCGTCCCTCCGGCTCAGTGCCTGGCGCACAGTCGGCGCCAATGCTACCTAAACGTTATCAAAGGAGGGCACCAATCATGTGGCTGCGACGAGAACGCAGGGTGTGCGGGAGTTTGATGCCGTCGGGCAACGAAGATGGAGGGAGGTGTGGCCCGTCGTGAAGCATGGGAGCTTTGGAGCTTGCGGGCAAGGTGTCCATCCCAGCAAGGATGCATGAATGTAAGTTGGGGGGCCATGGGCTGAGGTAGCCAGCAGCTGATGATTTTTGACAAGCCAGTGGTTTGCAGACAGGTGTCAGTCAAGGGTTTGAGATTTACGTGGGTGCATGCCATCTAATGATCCATACTACTACTACTACTACCTATCTGAGTGGAAATGATTTGAACTGGCATTGTGTAAGTGAGAGAAAGAAGAATACGGGCCCTCGATGGCCACCCAGATCATCATCAGCATCGTCGTCCCGCATCAGCGCCTGTCACAAGCCCATGGCCGGCCTTGTCTCATCCCCTGTCTGGGCCATGATCTGCAGCACCATGTTGAAAGAACCAAGCCGTCGGTGACGAACCCTTGGCCGTGGGATAAGCCAGGCCACTGAAGGAAAAAAGGAGGCTGGCGGATGACCATTGGCCGCGATGGCCGTGGTGGCAGTCAACTTGCCACACGTATTACATGTCTGATTGGAATTGCTAGAGAGCTTACAATTAGAGCTTAAGGTCGCGGGACAGGGACTGCTAGAGGCATGGAGGGGTGCGATTGGGGATCATCACTTGCTCTATGGAACTACTACCAAGATGAACCAGATGCTGTGCCAGACAGTAACACAACAGCTTACACACATAGAACTGGTTTGACTGCCCAAGACAAGTTGCAGAGATGGATCAGCGCAAGAAGCCGTAGCACGTGACGGAGCATGTCGTGTCACCTGATCTCGCGATACCACTCCACGTTGAACCGCGACTTGACACAACCCTCGTGTAACGCGCACTGAGGGGCATCCCAGCACAGATACCCTTCCATTTTTTTCTTCCCTTCCGAAGAATCAAGGCGATTTCGACAATCTGCATACTATTCACGGCAACTGTGTGTACACACCTTGCGCATTTCTTCATCTCGGGCGATACGAATCCAGACGACGCTCGCATTGGAAACTGCCTACAGCACATACATACAAAGAAGCAACAAGAAGAAGAAGCAAGAAGCAGAAGAAGAAGAAGAGAAGAAAAGCAGCCATGTCTGAGCAAATGTCTGCCCCCCGCATCACGGCGTCGTACCTCGACAGCTTCGTCGGGCGCGTCGTCACCATTGTCGGCACCGTGACGCAGCTGCGCGGCGATCAGGCGACGATTGACGCTGACGGCATTGTCACCATCTTGTTGAACCGGGTACTAACTATGTCCCCCTCCCAAGCCCATCCCCTTCACGAGATGATAAAATCCCTGGGGATTTCATACTGACTTGTTCTGGGGGGTTGATGTAGGATGCTCACCTTGTGAATGGCAATGCGGCGCAGATTATTGGCAAGGTCAATCCTGACTTGTCCATCAAGGCGCTGAGTACCCGCGATGTCGGCTCCGGCGTTGGTACGTCTACCCAGCTATTCCTCTAAATCAGCCCTTTTTTTATAACAAGATTCCCTCTGCGAGCTTAAAACGAGAAGACAAGAGACAAAGAGACCGGAGAAAGGAAGCTAATCAAACACAGACATGACCCTCTGCTCCGCCGTCGCAGAACTCACCCACCGCCACAAGGAAATCTTCGTCTCCGACAACTGACGGGTTCCGCCAGCCCATGGCAACAGCAGCTACAACAGCAACCACAACGAGCCTCAGCACCAACCGCACATTGCCATGGTCTGGCCCGCAGCTGAACCCGTCCGGAAATCGCCATCTCCCATTGTTGAATCTTCGTCTTCGCCTTCGCCTTTGCCTTCTGCGTCTTTCTCAGAGTCTTCTCTGCCTTTGCATACTCAACAACTACAACAACTACAGCAGTACCACCGCCCTCAAATCACCAACCGCCCTCCTCAGCCTCAAAAACACAACATCCCGCCGACCAGTCCCAGCCCGAGTCCAAGCCAAACCACACAAGACTGGCACCACGACCGCCAACAGCAATGGCTCGACCGCATCCCCTACGACCTCTCCCCCCAGCACCCCCTCCTCCTCCTCGATCCATTATCCTCCCAATCCACATCCTCCTCGATGCCGTCCACGGCCCCCATGCCCCGCGGCTTCGTCGTCAACATGCCTGGCTCATACTATTCCTCCCGCTCAAACTCCCCTTCTGCCGAAGAACAAGCCATGTTCCGCCTCGCTCACAACTCGTCTCCTCCACCATCCCAGCAACCGACCAATTCCTCTTCCGGCCACAACAACAACAGACTTCTCTCCCCGCCCCCATCATCCTTCTCCCCAATCCAAGACCCCTTCCCAACCATCCCCTCAGCCCAACCCTCCCGCTTCATCCCCCCTCATCACAACACATCATCTCCATATGAGTCATCCCCCCTTCCCTTCACAAACATATCCTCCTCCTCCACCCAACCAGCAACCCCCCTCCCCTCCCCACCACCCTCCCAACAACAACAAGACCAACAACAACCTCGTGGCCACCGTCCTGCATCCCCCATCTCATCAGTGGCAGACTCCCAGCCCACTCTCCGTCAGGGCGCCGCCTCCTCAAGACGAGAATCCGAGTATTCAGCGCCCATGAGTCCCATTCCACGACCTCAAGTATTAAGCCATATCCACGATCATGCTTATCGCTACGATCGTGGTGGCAGTGGCAGTATCAGTGGCAGCGTCAATGGAAGTCGAAGTGAAGGTGGGAGTCGAAGTGGACACAGAACCGGAATTGGCAACAGGTTATACCCCCGAACCGCAGAAGAAACCGAGGCGCAGGCACTCAGCGCCGTCGTGGAGGGCATAGGCAGGATGCAAGTCAACATGAACCTGGACCAGGCGGGCAGATGGAGGATTGCCCGGCGGGCCGACGCTCCCTGGTAGAATCAGTGGACAGCGACGGTGCCGCGGCGAGGCCGGAGTTGGCAAAGGGAGATTACGAGCGTCCACGACTGGCTTAGGGACCTTGACAAGTTCACGGCATCGGTCAAGGCTGTGTGCAAAGGCCGTGGTGAACAAGATGGTCTAGTTCCTTTGAAACGAAAATCATAATCTTCTTGACCTAGGTATCCTAAAACTACTGCTACCAGAAACACAGTGTTCCTTGCCTCTGTTCTGCTACAACTTGATGATCTTCTCTGATAAAACTCATTGCTGAACAGAAAACCTAGTCAATCCACCAAGCCGTCATATCCTGTCGCCATCAATCCTCCGCCACAAAAGAATCGGAAAAGCTACCCTCTGTCGAAACCGTAGAAATACCCGGCGTCGGGCTCGACGTCTCCTCGTCCTCCTCCATCATGAGCAGCTCCTGCGTGGCAACCCACATGGCCATGGCCGCAGAGCTAAAGTCCATCGCGCCTTGTCCTGCCTCTGCCGCGGGACTCACCACTCCGTCCAAGCTTTGCAAAGCAGGCAAGCCGGGCGCAACGGGGTAAAGAGCTCCTGGCTCGCTTGAGAATGGCGATGTCGTCGATGGAGATGTCAACTCTCTCCCGTCGTCATCCGCCTCCTCAGCGACAATCTCTCCTTCAGTCTCGGTGCTTCCACCAGCAACGGGACCGGCTTCGTTGCTCGTGATGCTCGACGACCCAGCGCCATCTCCCAGGCCAGAGAACCGCACTCGGTGAGCGCGAAACGCCCCCTCCGCATCCTTGCCCTCCAAAGAGACCATCCCATTGGCCTCGCCACTGACCAGCGATCCTTCGCCCACGGCGAGCGAGCTGTGGATGCTCCTGATGCGGCTTGTAAACTTTTGAAAGATGCGCGCCTTGCTCTCGGCGGCTTCGGCCTTTTCCCTCCACCGCTGAGCCTCCCTGACAGCCACACTCAACTGCTGGCGCAGAGCGGCCGTATCTGTGTCTGTCTCCTCTAGCAGCATGACCCTCAACTTGAGCTGCGCGACCTCTGCCGACTTGGCGTCCACCAGCTGTTCCAGCTCCTGCACTGTCTGCTCAATCTCCAGAATGGGTTTGATAAAGATTGATGCGTCTTCAGTCATGTTCAGACCGTCTTGACCTATAGCGGAAAGGCTCGAGGCTGGCTCTACTTCACCAGTCTCTGTCTGTGTGCCCTTCTCATGTGTATCGGCGCGGAACACGCCGTCTCTGCTCCCACACAACTCTTGTGCGGTATCCTATTTGCCGGCCGGAGACCATGGGATGGCAGACGGTCTGCGTTTGTCAATTGCCATGTCCTGCAGCTCCACGTCCTCGGCAGCCTCGAAACGATGGACGTGCTTCTGCGAATCGCTTTGACGTCGCGATAGCGGCGGTTTATCGTCATCCGCCCCTTCAGCCAGGTTATCGTCATCCGCCCAAAGCTTTCGAGCCACCCCCGGAGAGTCATGCCCTTCAAACATGGCAGCCAAGGCCTTGACGGATCTCCGTTTTGTCGGAGTTCTGCCGTCCAGAGACTGCTTGCTGTTGTCTGCCTCTTGGCTATTGTTTGATTCAATCGAGATCAAATCCGGCACTCGTGCTTCAGTGTCGCCCTTTTCAGGTCCGGAGGGATTGGCAGCTTCCGTCGATGAAGTAATCTCAAACGCCCTTCTTTTCTCCTGCACCTTGTCCGATAAGGGGGATCTAATGGTACGGTGAGCCTGTCCCATTCTCACGCCCAAGCTCCCTGGAGGGGGTGTCTGATTGATATAGTCCTTTGTTCCATCATCCTCAGTCTCAGGGGCTGGTACCTTTGTGAGCGACGCACCGCCGCGACTACCATGGCGAGAAGATAGTCGTGGCGGGATGCTCTTCATCGTTCCGCTCTGACTGAGGCCAGCGGCGCCATTCCCAGCAGGCAGATCCAGACAGCTACAGGAACGCATCACAGGCACGCTGCTGCTCCGTCGAGCTCCAGGGGTTCCGCCACTAACATCCTAGTTCAATGGCTTGGAGACCGGCGGGTGATTGCCCATGACTGCACGTGGCTGTTGAGTCTCGATGGTAGCGGCAGCGGTGCGGAAGAAGCGACGTCCTCGATCAGCCTCTCCCTGATGGCCTTCCTCCAAGGTTGGGCTCAGTTGGGTGACGGATGGCTGTCGGCCGCTTCCCTGTCTTGACAAGCGCGTCTTGCCTCTCCTGAGCGACACTGGAGAAGCTCCTGGCCCCGGGCTGCCTTCATCCACTGCACCCGCATCTGAGTCGACGGGCAGGCTGGCCGTCAGCGATACAGCCATGGATGCAAGAGGAGCCTGCGTCGACGCAGTGTTTTGGTCAAGGTGGGCGCCCACGGCGAACATCTGGCGGACGATATCTCGCCAGTTGGCAATCAGCATCTCGGCAATCTCAACTGCGACCATGGCCTTGTTAATATCGTGGGGAGCAGCTTTGGGGTCCTTGGTGTCTTTGACGTCCTTGGGCTCCTTGGAGTCCTTTGCCTTCTGTCGGTCACGGCAGCGCTGCTTCTTGGGTGTTATCGGGACGAGAGACGGGCCAGAGTTGGGTGTAGTCTCCTGGACAGTATAGCCGTCGATCAAGTCTCCCACCAGGAGCGGCCCGAAAACAATACCAAGGGCGCTGTATCCCATGAGGTCGTGGGTGGGGAGCGGCCTGCCCTCGTCGTCTTCGCGCGGCGCCACTTCACCAATCCTGCCAATCATGCTCAGCAGGCCAAAGACGGTAATGATGAGTTCGCGGCGGAACTGTGACTGGACCGAGCCAATGGCCAGCGCGATGAGTCGTGCGCGAAGCCTCGTCTGCTTGGTCCTTGGATACTCCGGCTGGCCCTTGAGCTGCGAGTGGATGGCAAGAAAGGCATCAAACAAGGACAGCGATCCCAGAATTCCCCCTGGCAAGCACGAGAGGAAGCGCTTGAAGGTGGAGGCGACGTCCTGCACCTGGTACTGGATGTGCGTCGGAAGGGTGGCGAGGTGGACAGTTCCAGAGACCTCAGAGGCATTCTCACGGGCACCGCAGTAGTAGTCGTAGAGGGCGTTAACGACCTTGACTGCGCCCGGGATACGGAAAAGACCTCGAGTGTCGGCGTGCTGGGCGATGTAGTGGGCGGTTGCCCGCAGACACGTCGGCAGATTCAAGACACAGGGGGCGTATTCAGGGGGGAGATGCAGCAAGCTCTTCCCACTCAGCCGCACTATGTCTGCGAGGTCAAGAGCCTTGGACACCTCGGGCTTGGAGCGCATAAAGGCCCCCAGGTCAGACACACTCCGCTTGTGCGCTGCTCGGCCCGGAGGCGTGACCTTGCCTGGTGTCGGCTGGCCGGACGAGGGTCGAAAGATGCGGAAGAACCAGCCGCGTCTCTCGGGGCTCGTGCCATTCTGCATACAGTGTGTCAGCAATATTCAAGGTTATGATTGCAACAGCAATGTCTGGTGTCATGAGGAGACGCGTCACTCACCCGCTTGCCCGCCTTGGAGTTGGCATCTTCAACTACAAGCGGCCTCATCCCGTACTGTCCCCCTTGTTAGCTGACCAGGCTCTGATGTGAAGCATTGAACAGGTCTCCCCATACCTTTGCCGCCAGCCGGTTGTAGTAGCTGACGAACAGCTCTCGCTCCTCGACGTCGTCAGCATCGCCGGGGAACTTAAACCCGCCGCTGCTCGGGGTCCAGGTGCGGCTGCTGGGCGGGTGGGTGTTGCTGCTGAGCAGCGTCTGGACCGTGGCGCTGTGCGGACACGCGAGGGACACGCTGCTGGCCACGCTCCGGGCTCGGGGCACCGACTCCATCGTTGAGGCGGATGGCGGGCGATGATGGTGGTGCCTTGATAGCGGTCGAATTCGTCAGCTGGTGCTGCTGGGAAAGGGAAGGGGGAGGTGATATAAGGTAGATGCCCTCTGATCGGGAGAAGAAGCTGAAGAAAGGGGCTGAAGATGCTTCTGTAAATGTTGACAAAATGGCATATGAGACGTGTGGTGTGAGATGAAGAAAGCAAGAGAGCAGAACGCACCTTGACTCGCTTCTGTGTACCTATGCAGTCTTCGTCGTTCTTGAAACCTGGGCAGAGAGGCTCGCGAGTTCCAGAACAGGACGGTTTAGCTGTCTTGTACACAGAATTGATGGGGAAAAGAAGGAGAGAGGGCAGAAAAGGAGGAGGAAGGGCCCGGTATAAGTAGTCCTCGGACCTGCTGGCCCAAGTGGCATCTCTCCGGCGCATTGATATCGTGCTTGTCCTGATCCTGTTACAGAGTTCAGGGCAAGCCCAAGGACACGTGAAGTCAAAACAGTGGCGTCGCGGCCATGCAGTTTGAAGACATTTTTCCAGTGCTGTTCGCCTTTCCTATTGCTGCAGTAGTGGCAACAAAGATGAGGCGTTGGTTCTGAGGCTGGCGTTGAGAATCTGAGGCGGTTTGATACTGTTCTCATCAACCCCAGGAGAGAAGCACTCGTCACTTGGTCCAAGAAAAGCATTCCATGAACTGCTCTCGACCAACACAACTAATCTTCCCACCTCCTAATCTTGCCTATCTAACCCTTGTGTTCAGTAGCTCGTACCTGCAAAAGGGCCAGCAAGTTGCTCATGACAACATACCTAAAACACAGCATCCCAACAGGAAGCCGGGAGTCAAGGTCACAAACTCTGTGGCGCGAGGTGTTCAGCAAAGGCAGCCAAAGGCTATTATTCAACAAGAGAATACCTTGACCTACTTCTGCCCTGGGTACCTGGGTAGGTAGGTACCTAGGTAGGCAGAAATATGCCCAAGCCCAACAATAGAACAAGGTCGCTATATTGATAGCCTCATACTTTCCCCCAAGCCAGCCCCCTCAACAGAATCTTGACCAATTTGGCCTAAACAACAAAATCGGAGCGACCAAAAGAAAACCGACCGTATGCAAGCTCTATCAGTTGATTAAGAATGGAGAAGAAAACAAAATGGCACTAGAGTAAGTTTATACCAGAATCCTGGCAGCTCGTCGTCGCCATCCCAAAACCATGAGTACGCCGCACCAAATGCATTCCTTTGCCCCCCGTAACCGTTCCTCCGTGTGCAGCCACCCGTTATTCATATCGTATCACACGGCATCACGTAGCCGCTTGTCAGTTACGCGGCATCGTCCTCTTCGCCGTGGAGCAGCACGTACTTGAGGATGTCGGACAGCGAAATCACCCCCTTGAGCTTGTTCTCGTCATCGACGACAACCAGCCTGTGGACGCGGCTCTTGCGGATCGTGTCAAAGATGGAGTCGAGCCTGTCGTCTTCGCTGCACGTAAAGATGCCGGGGTTGTCCTCGGGTCGCTTGCACAGCGCCTCACCAACGCTGCCGTTGAGCTCGTCATATGCTCCCCCCTTAATGCACGGGATGATGTCGACGGCTTCAAAGGCATTGAGAACCCTGTTTTCCGAGTCCACAATGGGCACGCAGCTGATGTTCCGGCTGACCATGAGGTTGATAACCTCTAGAACGGTGGTGCCCATGCGTGCAACGGCCAAGTCCGTGTAGGTTCCCAGCTGAAGGTCGCGAACAGTCTTCTTGAGTAAGATTGTGTTGTGTTCATTGTTGACGGCAATGAACTTGAGAATCCTGTATTGGGTAATGACCGAGATGACAGTTTCTCTGCCAGTCTCTTCGTCGAGGTCGACCAAGGGGATTCTTCGCGCACGGGTCTTAAGCATACGTCGGAGGGCTTCGTACAGGGGTTTCGAAGGATGGACGGAGACGGTCTCGATGGGTGTTGCCCCAATGGCCTTTTCAATGTCTATGCCGCGTTAGCCCGGACTTGCTCGCGCTATGTTGGGAACTCGCGCTATGGTGGTTACACGAGAAGCAGGGGGGCTGAAGAACGGGAGGGGAAGGGTTACCTGGCAGACTAGCTAGACGGAATTGATCCAGCTTGCTCATCTCATCGGGGAACTGGCAGTGATACTGGATGACATTGATGTAATCGGTGGCCGTCAGGATGCCCGCAAAGCGCGAGATGTGCGAATCCCACAGGGGGGCAGACACAATGGCTACGGTAGAGTTGCTCGTCAGCATCGTGACACACTCCCAAATAAGCAGGGTCCTGACATGGGCGCCTCCCAAACGCGGGGGGAAGCGCGGGGCAGCAAATTATATCAGTCGTCTGCAGTTGATGCTCGCTTACAGTTTTGGATGAGGATGTTCAGACTCTTCTTAATGAGTAGATCCGTATCAAGCACGATGAGGCGGAATGACAGCGGTAGCACATCGTAGCTGGTGCGCTTGCGGAGGAATTCGCGAATCGCTTTCTGCGCACAGGCGAGGACAAGTCAGCAGGTGTTGAAATTGGCAGAGAAGAGAGGCTACAGGGAGCGAAGTGAGAGGAACGGATGGCTTGGGTAGAGGCATGGAAGCATAGGCAGACACGGCAGCAGGAAGAGCCGGAGACGGAGGGCGGTATGAAGCAGCAAGATCAAGACGTACCAGGCCTTGTCGCTGGTCCTTGTCCAGGGGACTCAGCGGCTTGGGGTCTGGCGGCGCATCGGCCATGACGCCAAAGTGGTGGTGGAAAAGATACGACGCGGGGGCCACGAAGGGAGGCAGCGGCGAGATCGGCGGCGGACGCGGCTTGAGGCCGGGCGTTGGAGTTGTGAACGGTTCGGACACAGCAGAGCCGGGGGTGGCCTCGGACTCGGACAGGACGTCGGGCGAGGATCCCGGCGACGGCGACGGCGATGCGGACGCGGGTGAGGATGCGGCTGATGCAAGGCCGAGGTCAGGCGACGCAGCAGATCTGGACTCCGGGCCGGGCTCGACGGGCGGTGATGGCGGTGCAATTGAGGTCGCCGGGTCGGGGGAGTCGCGGCGGGCGGTGGTGGTGGTGGCGAGGATGCTGCTGCTATTGCTGGCGGTGGCGATGTGGTGCGTCTCTGTCCAGGTGTCGGTATGTGTCGTGCTGCGGTCGCGGGCGATGCCGGTGTCGAGACTGAGGCTGTCGCTGTCGACGCTCGCCCTCGATGCGCTGCTGCTGGGGCGGTTGATGCCTGGTCCAGGTCCGGCTGCCCGTCTGCTATCGATATCGCTACCGCTACCGCTCCCGCTGTCTCTCTCGCTGGCTCTGCCGTTTCCAGGCGTCTCAGCGGCCAGTGCGGGGGCGCCGCCCTGTAGCTGAGCGCTAGCAGCCTGTCCAGCAGCGCCGTGGTCCATTGATTCCGGCGGCGATCCAGTTGGTGCAGGAGGTATGGATGTGATGTCAGCGGGCTCTCGACTGCAGCTGCTGAGCGACGTCAGTTACAGCTGGAGGCGCATTGGATCTGATGCAAGGTGATGTCTGGTGTCTGGTGTCTGGTGTCTGGTACCACGAGGTCGACACGAAGTTGCTCAGGGATCAAGATGGCGAGGCTTTTGGTGTTTTCTTCTTTTTGCGACGGCAAAAGAACGCAGCGGAAAAGCGATGCGACGAATCAGGCAGTTGCTGCGGCCGATCGCGACGGGCTTTGAAATTAAATCGCTGCGCTTGGAGTGCATTATCGCGCCTTTTTAGACGGCTCTGGTCCTCAGGACCAGTTGGACAGATACGGGCGGCTGCGGCTATTTTCTATCTATCCTGCTCCAGGACCGGACCTCACCCTCCTCCAGTCAACCGGGATGGGGGAGGGGGGCGGATGCGACATGGATTGGTTCATTGATTGATTGACTGATTGACTGACTGGTTGATTGATTGCCTGATGCTGCGAAAGAGCAGCTGGTGGCGGTGATCGTGATGCATGTACGCTACTGTCTGTCTGTCTGTCTGGTGCACGCACGCTTGGGGCTTAGACAGGCTGATCAAGGCCGTCTTCATGTCTTGGGTGTGGCATTCTGTCCATGCCAGTCCATGAAATGCGAGAAGACGAGTGTTTTTGATCTACTACCTACCTTATACATGCACACACCTGCTCTCGTGGTGTCGTCTCAACCTCCGGAGTTGCTGGGAGACAAGACACCGGCCATTTCGTACAACATTCAAGTGTCCTCACATGCAGGTCTTGATCAACTCGTATCATCAAACGAAGACAGCCTCAGGAGATTGCAGACCAGAATGCACATGTGGCAAACTCGCGTCTCTCTCGTCAGCCGCAACCCCGGAAACGGACCACCCTCTTTCTTATAGTCCATGTTATCTGTCACTTCTGCGCATTTGGTGCACTGCGAATGGCAATTGATATCCGACAGCCTCCAGGCAAGCAAGGCATAGAGTACTTTGAAAAGTATCTTCTACATACATCTCGATTGTCTGTGTGTGTCTTGCAGCCTGGGAGTCATTTCCCTCTTATTAGCCGCCATGTTGAGAGCTGACGTCACCGTGCCGAGCTGTATCAGAAACCCTCAAAGTCCTTTTTCCGCGCTTTCAATGGCGTCTGTTTCTGCAGGGTATCCCGTCGAACAGATCAACTAATACATGGACGGGGCAGGGTGAGGATAATCCCCGTTTCGTGCAGCTGCATATGTGCTGACTGATGCCGAGACGCACGCAACTCGTCAATTCCAGACGTGAACACCTAGACCTGGTGCTTAGTAGTATCATTACCCCGTGGGAACGATAAGATAGAAAGGGTGGTGGTGCATCCTTATCCATCCATGAGGCACATGTCGCATTATCAATGGCTATCAGTCGGTGGGATGGATGCTTTTCTGCTACTACTAGTATTCAATTCCCACTGTGGGCTCTGGCTAATAAAGTGCATGTATGTACGGAGTCGCATCCATGCCGGATTACGTCGGTGTGGGCTCTTTATATGCATCCATTGCTCGCTTGAGGCGAAGTTATGTGTGCGTGAGTGCGAGTCAAAGGTTGTACTCGTATGTAACACTTGTAGCGATTTCTCGCCCACCGCCCATTTTTTCCCCGTGTGTCCAGGGTAGCCGATCAATGAGTCAAACCAAAATAGAAACGCCGCTCTAACACCATGCGTTGCACATCTTCCTCTGAGATGTACCTCCTCTGTTCCAACGACAGACGATATAAGTCGACCAATCGATTAACTACTCTGTTATTCCAACGTCCAATGCTCCGTCCTTCCGCGGCGAAATTGGCGGCATCGCGACATTACTCGAGCCGTTGCCCGTGGTCACAAGATGCAGCGAACATTCGAGCGCCAAGCTGCATTCTGCGCATCTCCGCCTTTCGGCCCACGAACATGAACAAGCCTTTGACGCCTTAGCCGGGGCTGCTGCAGAATTTTCGAAGCGATTTGCGACTGGCCGCAGCTGCTCGACGCTCCTCATCAATTATCGTCGTAGCCGCCGGTATAACGAGAAAACCGTATGTCGAGTCGGGCAACCAATAGGCTCCCTGACAGCTGGTCTCGCAGGACTGGTTCCGCTACATCACATACGTGGTTGCGGATCCGATCCCCCTCACTCACTCAACTCAACTCACCCTCGCTCTCACGCACTCCAGCCCTCGCGAGCAGAAGCACGCACGCAAGCAAAGCACACAAGCTCATCAAGACGCTGCCTAAACCAGCATAGACCGCCGCTTTCGAGGCTCGCCAGTCCCGACCACTGCGAATGAGACGGCTGTTGGCGTCAGCCCCATGCACTCGTAGCCTCTGAAAATTCATGTAGCACCGGGCTGGCGTGAACACGTAGAGCCCCAAACACCTGTTCGTGGAAGATTGGGAGTGCAAACGGTCCAATAGACACTTGGAGAGGCGGCATGAAGCAAGACGGAGTGGCTGTCGTGCATGACTGGCCATGTAGCGTATCTTGTACATACATACATACCTACCTACATCCAACAATGGATGGGTGCATGTTTCATGCGACGAGAGAGAGGCGTTGCATGAGCCATGGATGGATGCCTGACGGCAGGGATCGTACCGTTCAAAACGAAGAGCCAGACAACCTGACACCACCTCGCCTCTCGGATCAGCTCGGTTCTGGTGAATCGCTGCTTTCTAGGTCTGAATCTTGACCGTGATATGCGCACCTCAAGCCAGTCAGGCGCATAATCGTACAGTACTGCGGTGGATCAACCGCTCAAAGGTCCTTCTGCCAGCATCTCTGGCCGCATACAGTAATATCTCATTCTTTCTGCTCAGAGCCCGTCTATCTGAGCCCTTGACCACGACTAGGCAATGCCTTAGTGTCTCCGTTTCACTATCCCCAATGTCGCCCAAGCAGAGGCCGACTTGCATGGGTTGATGGGGGGTCCCGTCGTCGAGGTACCTAGCGCCAGCGTGGGCTCTCCATAGCGGCCGCAAGTACCGTCTGGACAAGAGCCCCATGTGCTTGTGACGACTTCAGCCACCCCTGCGAGCAGCAAGGCCTAACGCTGCAGTTCAAGGTTCAACGTCGAGCGTTGCTGTCCAGTCAGTCAGCCAGACCCTTCTCCGGAGCCCAGCCCAGCCCAGCCCAGCCCTTGCCGTTGAATGTTCTTTCTCCTCTCTGCGGCGGTCGAAGCGATCCGATCTGGAACAAGGAAAGGCATCGTCACCGCATCGCCGGCCGCGAATCCCTTTCTTTGCTGGCCCCCTTCATGTTCCCACGCCCGCCCTTGCCTGTTGCTTAGTAGGTACTTGCACGTGTGTCTGCTTCTCTCTGCAGGCTCTCTAGGTAGGTAGATACTGTAATAACATCCATCCATTCATCCCGAGGCTCTGTCACCTCACATCCAATGTACAGCAGCAGAATAGCACAGCACATACTCGACAGAATAGTCTCCATCCATCTCAGCACAAACAGACAGACAGACCACTCTAACGCCCCATCTATTATCTACTGCATCAACGGGTCAAGCCGTCCTTTTGTTATCAATTCGCCTCTTTTTACGGGGATCTTCTCTTTTACGGGGTCTCCAGCACCGTCCAGACTCCCATTCAAGGTTGCATTGCCCAACCTCTCTCGACTCCGCGCTTCAGTGGCCACAGCAGCTTGCAGTTGCTTCGCTCTAGCGGCCTCGATCGCGCCAGCAGCCACTGGACTTGGACCTCCCAGTTGCTCCACGACCCGCCCTTTCGTCACGCTCCCGTTGCCGTGGCCCATCGCCGGGACCCAGCTGGTACTTGGCGCCACCACCAACGCCCAGCGGCAGCCGCGGTCTCTGCGCCGTACCCCCAACTGCCTGCGCCAGCGCTGCTGTACAAGGGCCAGGTACCCATCAGAGCCCATTAGAGGTGGCGCTAGCCGGACGGGCTTTAGCGGTCGCAGCTCCATCACCACCGCCTAAATAATAAGCACGGCAGCACGCAGCAAAAGCATCAACAAAGCACCGCCAGCCTCTGTCCAGCTTCATCCCTCTTCTGCCGCTGCATCTCCGCCCGCCCCCCAAAGTCGACCACACGCCCAGCTGTCGCCGCCATGGGTATCTGCCACTCGTCATGCTGCGGAGGTGAGCGAGCCCTGACATCCGCCGTCGTGTGTTTCTACGGGCCTCTTTGGCCCCCTTCCGAGGCTGGTTCTGACTCCTGTTTCTAGGGCGAGCCCGTGATGGCCTCTACGAGCCCGCTCTTGCCGACAGCGAGCGAGAGGCGGTGGCCGATCTGCTGCAGTATCTCGAAAACGTGCGTCTGCCCTGAGGCCGGAGACATGCGATGCTACTTGGCTGGCGTCCCTCCTGGTCCCTCGTCTCCCTCTGGCTCGTGGGCCCAAAGCTGACCTTTTTCTCTTGACGCCTGCAGCGCGGCGAGACCGACTTCTTCTCTGGCGAACCCCTCCGAGCTCTCAGCACGCTCGTCTTCTCGGACAACATCGACCTGCAACGCAGCGCCAGCTTGACGTTTGCCGAAATCACAGAACGAGGTACGCCTCTGTCGGGCACCTGGTCCCTGCGGCCGGGATCGTGGGCCTGCCACGCAAGGGCGGTGACGCTGTTGCTAATGCGAAGAAACGCGTGATAGATGTCCGCGAGGTCGACCGAGATACTTTGGAACCCATCCTCTTCCTGCTACAGAGCCCTGACATTGAGGTCCAGCGGGCCGCCAGTGCTGCACTTGGCAACCTTGCGGTCAACAGTAAGCAACCACTTCTGCCAGCTGGTGGTGCTACCCCATCAGAAATGACCAGCTGCTAACTGCTGCGTGCGCCCACTCTGCAGCCGAGAACAAGGTCCTCATCGTCCAGCTCGGCGGCTTGACGCCTCTGATCCGACAGATGCTCTCGCCCAACGTCGAGGTCCAGTGCAACGCCGTGGGATGCATCACCAACCTGGCTACGCATGAGGAGAACAAGGCCAAGATTGCCCGGTCAGGGGCTCTCGGTCCCTTGACCAGGCTGGCCAAGTCCAAGGACATGCGAGTCCAGAGAAATGCGACCGGCGCCCTTCTCAATATGACACATTCTGGTGCGTTGACCCAATCTTTGTCTTTGTGCTGTCATGTCATCATGTCCAAGTGGAGGTGAGATGGAAGGCAAATGCATCTGCTAACCCGCGACCTTGATAGACGAGAACCGGCAACAGCTGGTCAACGCTGGCGCCATCCCCGTCCTTGTCCAGCTCCTGTCCTCTCCAGATGTCGACGTCCAATACTATTGTACGACCGCCCTGAGTAACATTGCCGTCGATGCCAACAACAGGCGAAAACTGGCCTCCTCAGAACCCAAGCTTGTCCAGTCTCTCGTGAACCTGATGGACTCGTCCTCGCCCAAGGTGCAGTGCCAGGCCGCCTTGGCCCTCCGCAACCTGGCTTCCGACGAGAAATACCAGCTGGACATTGTCCGCGCCGGCGGCCTGCAACCTCTGCTTCGCCTCCTCCAGTCGTCATACCTGCCTCTCATCCTCTCCGCCGTCGCCTGCATTCGCAACATCTCCATCCATCCCATGAACGAGTCTCCCATTATCGAGGCAAACTTCCTCAAGCCCCTCGTGGACCTCCTGGGCTCTACCGACAACGAAGAAATCCAGTGCCACGCCATCTCGACGCTGCGAAACCTGGCCGCTAGTTCGGATCGCAACAAGGCCTTGGTGTTGGAGGCTGGAGCCGTGCAAAAGTGCAAGCAGCTGGTCCTGGATGTCCCCGTGACCGTCCAGTCGGAGATGACGGCTGCCATTGCCGTGCTCGCCCTGAGCGACGACCTCAAGTCCCACCTGTTGAACCTCGGAGTGTGCGACGTCTTGATTCCCCTGACCCACTCGGAGAGCATTGAGGTGCAGGGCAACAGCGCTGCCGCTCTGGGCAACCTGTCCTCTAAAGGTGAGTAATTCCTCAGTCATTATCTGAATGTTCGCGCTAACGCAACCATTGCTAGTCGGCGACTACTCCATCTTTGTCCAGAACTGGAACGAGCCCAACGGCGGTATCCACGGCTACCTCTGCCGCTTCCTTCAGTCTGGGGACGCCACCTTCCAGCACATTGCTGTGTGGACGCTTCTGCAGCTGTTTGAATCCGAAGACAAGACTCTGATTAGCCAGATTGGCAAGGCCGACGACATCATCGAGAACATTCGACGCATTGCGAACCGCCAGGTTGCCGATCCCGAGGCCGAGGAGGAGGACGAGGGCGAGGTCATCAACCTGGCTCAGCGATGTCTCGAGCTCCTGGGCCAGAGCAGCGTTTCCAAGGCACACATTGAGGGCTAAATGCCAGCCACTTTTCCCTTTCGGTCCTATTCCATCTGCGAGAAAGATTGGGTTTTTCAACTTGCAACTGTGTTTTGAAACCGTCAGACCAGGCTGCAAGGATGAGCAGCGTGGCATGACGAGGGCGACGGTGTTTTAGGCGTCTCAAGCTTTGTTCCAGATCAAGCCAGGAGGGCCGTTGCCTCCCCATGCGAGCGTCCAAGTTTGTTGGGAAAATGGGCAACTACCCTCGCCGACCTTTGTTCGATTCTATGGCCTTGGTCCTTGATTTTCGTTCGGATACTTTGTTTTACCTCCCCGCTCAGCGAAGATTTTCGGATGATATGCTATTCCAGGAGAGACCCCCTTATTGTTTGCGCGAGCCGAAGCGAGGTTGCTTTGCTACGGGACGAGTAGGACAAGCACCATGTTCGAAAGATGCATATGCCGGCTTTTGTTTCCTTTGCGATTATTGCTTTGTTTTTTCCTTTTCCTGTTTCCTTTTTTTTCTTCTTTTTCTTTTGTACAGATCATATTACGCAGCCAATGACTGCGACTCGTTCAGCATGCCTCTTGGAATGACAGTAGAGACAACGATGATGAAGGCGGACTCGAGAGATTGGGGTATGAGCAAAAGCAGATGTAATTAGACAAGGATATGTTACATGCTTGACACCCAGTTGTCCGCCCTTGAGGCCGCCTGTCTTATCTAGATGTTTTGGTGACTGAGTTTAATGATGCTATGCGTTTCTTGCCATGCTGATGTGCCGTGGATACGTGGTGGTACGAAAAGATGTGATGTGTAATGGGTGACTGCAATCCCCAGATTCAGGGGTCTACTTTTTCGAGACCATCTTTTGCCCATTGGCGGTCTTTCCAGGGCAGTATCTTGCCTATGATCTTGCCCTGGATCAAGGCGAGTGGCAAGGGGCCGAATTGCCTCGAGTCTCGCGAGGCGGGGAGGTTATCGCCAACAATCCAGCAATGGCCCTCGGGAACCTACAAGCCTTTGTCAGTCTCTTCATTTCCAGAACTGAAGCACGAATCACAGCCGAGACGGAATCAAAGGGCAATAGACAGAGAGCCTGAGAGACTGCAGCGCGTATGTGTGAGCATACCTGGATCATCTGCTCCTCGCCCGGCTCGCCTGGAGTGCCGAGGGAGACGTAGTCGCCGGGCATGCCGATGACGCGCTTGACGCCGTTTTGGGTGGCGAAGATGGGGATCTTGTAGAGGACGAGGTCGCCGACCTTGACGCCGCGGCCGAGGCGGTATGTCATGTCGGCGGCGATCCAGTCGCCGTCGACGGTGAAGGTGGGCAGCATGGAGGGGCCCTGGGCGGGGGAGACCTGGAGGGCGTGGGAGAGGGCGAGGTGGGCGAGGCAGGTTATTTTGAGGGTGGAGATTGTGAAGCGGAGGGGGTGGCCGAGGAGGTGGGATATCATGGCTGTTACAAGGAGAGGTGAGTGTGTGTGTGGTGTGTATGGGGATGAGATGAGCTGTGGTATTAGAGAGAGGGAAAGAGAAGAGAAGAGCAGAGATGAGATGAGATGAGAATATGGTATGGTGTTGTGTGAAGTGAGATTGTATGAGATTGTATAAGGGTTTACCCAGTGAAACGAGAGGGTATAAGTGAGACGGCAAATGAGAGGTGTGTCCGTGTCCTGTGTTGAAGGTTGTGTAGATGGAGTTGCGGCTGTATGTTGAGAGTCGATGAGGATGTCTGTGAAATTCATGGCACATGTAAGGTAAGGTAAGCTTCATCACTTACTAAGGTAGTAACAGTGCGCAGCTGTGATTGGCTGACAACTCCCCATATTCTGGGGGGGACCAGAGCTTGCGAACTTGACGCTAGTATACCTCAACTCTCAAGCCTCTAATTCTCGACCTTTCTTCCCCCACCGTCACAGTCAATTGGCACAGCTACTCCTCCGCATTCAGTCCTCTCTCTCATCCCTCCGCTTCTTTTGCCCTCTCTCTACTGGTATCGAGCTTCATTCACTCATCATCACTCGATACACATCAAACAATGGCGGCTCCTCGGTGCCTCTGCGACGCTACGAGATCCTTCCTCTCCAGACTCGGCTGTCAAGCCTCCAGACAGAGCTTGCCAACATGGTCCTCCCGCTCAGCTCTGCAGTACCGGCCTGCGACGCGGCAAGCGAGGCTCTACGCCAGCAATCTACGGCCCTACAAAGGCGGAAGCAAGGGGGGCAGCAAAGGAGCGCCCCCCGAAGACCCGGACGACAAGGACCGAGGCTACGACCGCCGCTTCACGACGCAGCGCGACATTGAAAAGTCCGGGCGCGACCGGCCGCCTTGGGACCACGAAATCACCGACCCGCAGATCATGGTGATTGACAACGGCAGCGCCGAGGGCCCGCTGTCGACGCGGTACGTGCTGACGAAGCTGGAGCCGGGGGAGTCGCTGCGCATGGTGTCGCCGTACGTGCCCGCCGACGAGGAGGAGGGCACGCCGGCGCGGTTCGCCGTGTGCAAGATTGTCAACAAGAAGGACGAGTACGAGCGGCAGAAGGCGCTCAAGGAGCGCAAGAAGGTGGGCGCGGCGGCGAAGCCCAAGACTAAGGAGATGGAGCTGACGTGGGCGATTGGGGGCCACGATCTGGCGACCAAGATGCGGCAGATGGGCGGCTTCCTCGAGAAGGGGATGAAGGTTGAGTTGTTGGTTGGGAAGAAGAAGGGGGGCAGGGCGGTGGATGCGGACGAGGCGAAGGACGTGCTGAAGAAGGTCAAGGAGGAGATTGAGCGGGTGGGGGCGAGAGAGGTCAAGAAGGCGGAGGGGCAGGTTGGGGGGACGATGAGGCTGTATTTGGAGGGGGTCAGGCGGTCATGAGAGTCTTTGGGGTGGGGATTCTTTGGATAATGCCGTGTAGTATAGAAGTATCCTGTGCTCTGATGGTGGGTATATACGGGCTGTATAGTAGTGTACTATGACACATAGAGAACCAAGATGCTTGTACATGAGCATGAACCTTGACCAAGGTGTTCATTTCGATTCTTTTGAAGCCATATGGCGTGCGCATACCATTCATTGTCCCTCTTCTCTTCTAGAAGCCAAAAGAAAGAAAAAACGCCAGTCCCATGAAACAGGTATCAAACAAAGCAAAATCATCCTCCAAATGCTCTAAACGGCCATCGTCCCAGTCATGATTCATTACAAAATCACATCATCATCTTCATCCAGCACCGGCGCAGCGGGTGCAGCAACCTCTGTAGCTGCAGCACCGACAGTCTCCCCATCCATCTCGTCCTCCGTCTCCCACTCCTCCATCTTCGTCTCTCCCTCCTTATCGTCATCGTCCTCCCCAGTGGCCATTCTCAGCACCTCAAACGCATTACTCCTGCTCTCCTCCGCAGCCTTGTTGATGTCGTCCCACTTCTTGGCCCGCGCCTGCACGACCTTGGCCTTGCCGATGCTCTTCTCGAGCTTCTTGCTCGTGCGCTCGACAAAGGCCTCGGCCATCTCGAGGCCCTTTTCCTGGCGCCGGCGGCCCCGCGCGGAGAGCTGGCGGCCGCGCTTGGACTTTTTTGTGACGCCTGCGGAGTGTCGTGCGGCGAGGACGGAGGGGAGGACGGCGGATGTGGATGATTTGGAGGTCGAGCCGGGGAGGGAGACTTCTTTGAGGGACTTGTCGGTGTTGATGGAGGGGGATGTTGCGCGGCGGGCGGCGCGGGAGCGTTTTGAGGGCGCTGGATGAGATTGTTAGCTGGAGTTTGTTGAGAAGAAGAGAGAAGGTTTGGAAAAAGCGGACTGACGTCTGTTTTGTGATTTGGCCATGGTGCGAATCTGGGGGGGTTGAGTATGGCTTTGCTGGGGAGATTGGAGAGGCGCGATATGCATCTTTTTTTGGTGGATGGAAATTTATTCGAGGGACGGGCAATCGATAAGAGATAAGCCCCGGGAAATCAATCAGAGCGGGATCGGCAAGTGGGGAAGCGACCCTGTTTCTATTTCGGGCGCACTGCAAATTTCAACGCAGGCATCTCTTGTCACTACTACTAGAGGATAGAAGTGATATCAAAGAGTCCATTGTGTCGTCATGTTCGAGTGTGGAATCTATTATTTAGTTAGAGACGAGGTTATAAATGTACCAGCTAATTTTGCATCATAGCCTCTATGTCATACATTATTATTGTACAAGTAGGAATGCCTTTGTAAGTCTCGTGGTGATTGTTTCGTGATACTGGTTATGCCATGCAGAAAAGAGCACAGCTTTTTCTCTTCTGTTTTGGTATTGTTTGTTGCTTTTGACATTGTCCACCTCAATGCTCAGACGTGGCTTTCGCCGCCTGACCACCATTGGAAAGACATGTCTGGTTGTATGGAGCTCATGTTCCAGTACGTCTGCAGGTTATCCAGCGGAAACGGGCTGAGAGAATCGCTGCTCGAGTCGGGCCCCGACAGAGACGGCGGCCCCGGGCTCGGCAGAATGTGCTCCAGTATTGGCGTCTTTACCTGCTGCTTACTGCTGTTGTTGCTGCTGCTGCTGGTACTGCCGCCAATGCCTCCAGTCGGTAGCCCCAGGACCTCTCGCGCAATGGCTTGGACCTCGTGCAGGTTGCTGCCGGCCTGGGGCCAGACGGCGGCCATGGCCTTGTGGCAGCCGATGCTCATGCGGATCTGGTCGCGCGCGACGGCGAGCTCCTGGCCGCGCAGGGTGTACCGGCAGGCGGCGAGCAGGGAGAGCGTGCCGGTGGTGAGCATGCAGACGACAAACGGCGTGTGGCTGCAGGGCTTGGTGGGCAGGGCGAGGAGGCCGATCTGGGCCTCGGCGGCGCGGATGCATTTCACCGTGTGGATGAGGCGGAACTCGGCGCCCGAGTCGGAGTGGGAGGAGAGCGTGGTGGTTGGCGGGGAGGAGCAGCTGGAGATGCATTCTAGGGGGTCAAAGGCGCAGTTGGAGAAGGGCCGGTGGAGGCCGACAATTGTGCTGTGGATGGTGGCGTTAGCCGGGAGTTGAGCAGGCATCAACGTAGCAAAGGGGGGGTTTTGCTTACGCATGAAGAGCCATCATGGCTTGGAATATCAGCTCGTCGACCTGGCCGTCGGCAGAGAAGATGTCGCGTTTGGACTCTGGCAGCAGCAGCAGCCAGCCCTCGGTGATGGAATCGACGGACTCGAGCACCTTGGGCGATGGCCCCCCTGAATCGGACGCATTGCTGGCCGGCAAGTCGAGAACTCTGGCCATGGCCGATGCCATGCCGCGCACGCCGCCTATCAGATAGGCAAAGGATGAGAAGACTGTGTCTTCGGAGCTGAACTCGCGCGATTCAAACTCTTCTAGTGTCTTGGGGCGAGGAATTTCCTATGGAGCACTGTTAACAATCGGACGGACGCATTTGACACTTCATAAGGGGGTGTAAGCCTTTACCCCTCGCTCGTACTCGTCTTCCTCACACGGAAGATCTGTCGTCGCGTCAACGTGAAACGTAGCAAAGCCGGCATCCCGCTTGATGGCAGCGTAGTACGCATCGATAATGTACACCTGCCACCACGTGCGCCGCCAGCATTCTTCCAGTACGGGATCCCCGTCCCCGTGGTCGACGGCAAACTCGCGCCGCTGCATGCCAAAGTCGAGTGCGAGCTGGATGGCCGTGTTCATGTGGTGCCGTGAGCTGGCTGTGTTCCCGCGCCAGTACAAGCAGGCCGAGTAGATGGCGTGGCAGGGCACCATGAAGAAGTTGATGGCTGTCGGGGGCACTCGGGCGATGACGGAGGCGGCGAGCTCCTCTAGCTCTTGACACCGTGGTCGTAGGGACGGCTGGTGGCTACTCAGGTAAATGCTGCCGACGAAGCGCATCACGTAGACGAACGGCCGCAGCTCGTCCTGCCGGATCTGGTCCTGCAGGTAGCGCTCCAGGAACCGGCGAGGCGGCGCGCAGGGGTGGTAGCGGTGGAAGCATCTGTAGTAGGCGTCGATGAAGATGTCGCCGGTGACGTCCACGGACTGCAGGTCCGCTGACGGCAGGATGGATGACCAGGCGTCGTCGGGGGGCGTGTACAGGCTTGGGTCGATGGCCGTCGCCGGCGGTGGCTCCGGGTGATGCGCCGGGAAGAGGCCGGAGGTCAGCCGGGTCCCGTCGTTGCTCCCGGCGGGCGAGGGCTGGCCATTGCTGCTGCTGCTGCCGCTGCTGCTGTGGGCGTTACTGTTGCTGTTGCTGTTGCTGTTGCTGCTCTTCTTTGCAGCCGCCTGAGCAGCAGCTTGACTCCTGCGGGCGGCCAGCGCGGCTCGATCCAGGCCGCCGCGCCGCGACTTTGCGTAGCTGCACTCCTTGTCCTCCTCGCAGCAGCGGTTGCAGCGCGGCTTGGTTGCGTCGCAGCGGACATGGCGGGTTCGACAGGGCAGACAGGCCAGCGACACGCGGGTGCCTGAGGCGGGCTTGGGGGAGCCAGACTTGGCGGTGCCGAGGTCTGGTTCCGGATCCATGGGGATGGAAAGGGGGGTCCTTGTTGAGAGTGGCCTTTGAGATTAGATGATGTGAAGGGTTTCCCGCGTATATTGGGGACTGGAACTATTGATGCGCTTGTGTTTGCTGCGGGTTTCAATGTATGTTCTCTGTGAGGCAAAGGCTGCGTCTCCCCCCCTTGGATCCTTGATGATCGATGCTCTCTCGGCGGGGATATCCTATAATCCACGACCTTGCTGCGGGCAACTGTTTGCGAGACTGAAACAGCACAGCGGGAAAACAATAGTCGAGCTGGATTGCCAGAAAGCTCCCAGGGGGGCATCACAGGAAGAGGGTCAATTGGGCGAGCTGGTCAACTGCAAGGCTCTGGGGCCAAGCCCGTTGTATACCGGCTTGGACCCCGCGGGTATCCGATCCGGCTATCCGCCACAGATCGGTTACCCGGGCTCACTTGTACGGCTCTCGGCGACCATGCCGGAGATGTAAAAATCTGGGCGGCATTTATTTTGCCTCGTAAAGGGCATTGCTGGCTAATTTGCCTTGATTATCTGCAGTGAGAGAAGGGAATTTACAAATAATCGACAGCGTTAATTATAAAAGATTCTGATCATTTCTTTCCATTTCCGGTCTACTGGCTCTTGTTCCTTGGGTTATGGGGTATATCATCTTTCATGGCTTGGATTAATAGCCGTAGGGCAGTCCCTTGGGGGCTCTCTTAACACTGTATAACCACCATTACAAGACGTGTATGCAAAATAACCGAAGTGAATGAACGGGAAACTTGGACAGAGTAAAAAAAATATCGATTCCATGCTTGTCTGAAAGCCTCCATTCTTCCCTCTACCAGAGCCTAGTGCTTATAGACTCTCCTGGCGTTGTGACCTCTGTCGGTGGCCGCAAAGCACATGATAGGATGGCTTCGCCTCCTCGGGGATCGGGCGAGGACCGACAGGCGTGGAATCCGGTTGCTAAATAAGAAACAGGCTCGCAGTCCCCTTGCAAGCCATTGACTCGATCTCGTATCTGCATCTATAAGCAACCTCAGAGACCTAATTTCCCGTGACCCCCCTGCTCAGGATACCTGCCTTTTTGTTCTGTTGTCTTACATCTCACCCACTACAGACAGAGTCTACTCTATTCCTCCTCTGCTCCCTCCATATCTCCCCTCTTCCAACCACGGCACTCCCACCCGCGGCAACGTCCGTCTTACCGAATTCACTCCCCTGGCTAACACTGTTTCTGTGTTCATGTCAAACCCCCAATTGGACGCAGACCTGGACTTTTCCCTTGGTGGCAATCCCTAGCCTTGGGACTGGTGGAGTCTGTATTTCCACGAACCAACGAGTTTCATGGACAGTTGTGATCATACCGAGAGAGTTGCACAAACCCCCTTCCCTGTTTTCCCCATATGCTGTAAAAGTCCATGTGTCTTTTCTCTGCTTTAGCAAACCATTCGTCATGGAGACGCTTGACTAATAAGCTTCCAGACCAACTGAAATCAAACCATCGACGTGCTCCATCACGAAATGGCCACCCGGGTATCCGTTTTTGAGAACTCCGGAAGAGCTTCAACATGGCAAAGGCTTTTCGATGCGCAGCGCCAGAATGGAGATTGTAGTTGTATGATGCGTTTGATATTGATGGATCTGCGTAGATTGTTTGTTTTGTTGAGCGGGTTTGGAAGCGACGACTTCGTCTATAAAAGGGGCCAGATCGAATGTTGAAATCGTTTCCTTTTTCTCGGCATTACCAGCTGCATCGACAGGAACAAGCAAGCAAGCGATACTGGCGCCTCTTATCAGCATACAAAACCTCAAGCAAAACCGCTAGCAAACGTTATTACATATCTTTGTTTCAGCAGCCTAATCACCATCGATCACAAGGAATTTCTCGCCATGGCCCAGCGCATAGTCATCGTTGGCTCTGGCTTCTCTGGCCTCTACAGCGCCCTCGCCGCCAGAAGACTCATTGAGCAGCACAAGGATCGGGTTGGAAGTGGCATCGACGTCGTCATGGTTGCTCCTGAGCCCAAGTTGGTCACTAGGCCTCGCCTCTACGAGGCCAACGCTGCTGGCATGTCTGTCCCGTTGGGCGAACTTTTGACCGCCACGGGAGTCAAGTTTGTGCGAGGCATCGTGGATGCGATTCGTACCGCCGACAAGCAGGTGGAGGTGGTCGATCCCACTGGCGAGAGAATGACTCTTTCGTATGACCGCCTGGTGCTGGCGGCGGGCAGCCGAGTTGTGAAGCCCAAGATTCCAGGTCTGCGTGAGCACGCTTTCAGTATTGATACTATTGCTGAAGCGGCGGAGCTTGAGGCCCATCTGAAGCGTCTGGCGTCACTGCCCTCGAGTTCCGCGAGAAACACCGTCGTTGTCTGTGGTGGAGGCTTCACGGGCATTGAGTTGGCCGCGGAACTCCCTCGACGCTTACGGGCCATACTAGGAATGGGCGAGAAGGTGAGGGTCGTTGTCGTCGAGAAGACGGACGTCATTGGCCCTGATTTGGGACCTAATCCTCGCCCAGTCATTGCAAAGGCCCTGGCCGATCTTGAGGTCGAGACCAAGCTGGGAAACGCCGTGGCCTCCATCGACAAGGGAGGCGTGACGACGGCATCTGGGGAGCGAATCGACGCCATGACCGTCGTCTGGACGGCTGGAGTCGAGGCCACGCCCCTGACGAGGCAGATCCCGGGAGACAAGGACAGGCAGGGAAGACTGCTTGTCGACTCTGACCTTCGCGTGCCGTCAACCCCCGACGTCTTCGCCACCGGAGATGCGGCGTGTGCCGAGACTGACGATCAGGGCAACCATACGCTCATGTCGTGCCAGCACGCGATGCCTTTGGGCCGATCTGCTGGACACAACGCGGCGGCCGATCTACTCGGCGTCCAGGGGCAGCCGTATAGGCAGCCGTACTATGGGACGTGTCTGGACCTGGGAAGCTGGGGCGCCGTTGTATGTGACGGATGGGATCGAAAAGTGCTCAAGTCCGGGGGGCCTGCAAAAGAGATCAAGGGGTGGATCAACGGCTGGGTGATCTATCCTCCCAAGGCGAGCGCCGAGGAAGCATTCGCGGCGGCTGATCCTGCGCTGAACACGATGTCGGTTCTTTGAAGGGCTGTTAATGAGGCCAAAGGGGCTTTATTGTGAGATTCGAGGCTATGATGGCGTGGGATACTAATATGATGCTGTGGGTTGAGAGAGCATGGCTAGACGGTTAGTGAGTCTGTTTTTTCTGTATTGACCCAGTGTAGTGAGGAGGATGAACGATAGAAATGGTGATAGACTATATAATAACTCAACTCACTTAATGTTTGATAGCCTGCATTGTTTCGTCAAAGTGAAGTGCAGAGAATACCAGATGCAGGTATCACGTGGGCGAAGCGATGCGCCCTTCACTGATTGTTATATCCTTGACATTCATTCAGTAGTGAGTCAGAACCATCCATGCGTGGCATACACGTGTGATAAGCGCTTGTGAAGCTGTATGGCCAGTGAGTAACATCGTTAGCCACCCCTTCTGTGGTGTTGAATAGCCTTGAGAGAAACAGAACATGACATGGTTCAATCTTCTTGGCCCGCAAGACGCAAGAGTTCTCAGAATTTATATCAGAGATACATATCGGTATCTTTGTGCTCGACATGTCGAAGAAGCCCGTGAGGCTCGATGGTTGCATTCGTGAAAAGTCGAGTGAAAGCCCGAGATATGAGATCGGCATGTTCTGGGCGAGCTGCAGTAAATGCCCCGTGGAATTTGGTGCTGCTGGTCGACTATATCCGGGAATTCGAGATGCCAATCATAAGTAACCAGCGAGATTGATCAGAGTGTGACCAGAATAGAAGCTTCAAGAATAGAAGCTGTTGCGGCTTTATGCGGACATTGCGGGCTCTTGCGGTGAGATTTCAAGTCCTGGGCATGCCCACATTGTCTGTATGCAACTGCAACGTCAGATTTTGGAAGGTTGTGATCCATATGCCGGAAGGACAAACGAGATGCAATATTATATCTGGTCAAGCGTAATTATTGTCTTGGATAATGTGATGTGTTTGGTGGAACGTCGGTCCTTGAGCCTCCGCGTGGTTGGCATGGTGGTTGTCTATATATTGGGGTCGTTTCTCGTTCTCCTTGCGTGATGGTATACCTGCAGGCCGTCGTGTTCTTCTCGATAACTGTTGCATTGTTTCTCAAAGCCATACAAGAGTTAGACACACTTTGAAGAATAATTAGTCAAGGTAGGAAACACTCAATGATCCGTCAAGACTCGGCCGTGTAGATATAACTAATCCTCAATGCTATAGAAGACGTAAACGGATAATACCACCCTCACTCACAATAATGGCTATTGGCTCAGACCCTCTTCAAGGCCTTCCAGATGACTACGTGATCAAGTCTCAGGCCTTCACCAAGGAACTCTACCGGGATGTCTATCCTGCCATCGATCCGTCTAACACCGCCCTGTCACAGGACGGCAAAGTTGTGATTGTCACGGGTGCTAGCAAAGGGATCGGGAAAAAGGTACGCAACTCAACTGTGGCTGCACATCTACTGAAGATTGGTGCTGATAGCTTTCGGTTTCTTGTCTTCAAGGGCTTCGTACGATCCTTTGCAACAGCGGGAGCAAAAGCAATTGTCCTCATTGCCCGTAGCTCCAAGCAGCTGCAGGAAACAGCCGAAGAACTGTCAAAAGAGTTTCCCAAGACACGATTTGTGCCAGCCGCGTGCGATGTCACAGATGAGGCGTCGGTCAAGGCGGTTTTTGAAAAGATCCGGAGTGACTTTGGAAGTGCAGATGTCCTGGTGAACAATGCTGGCGCTACGGACGAGGGCAAGCCCTTGCGGACTGCATCGATTGCCAATGTTTGGAATGGCATAGTAAGTCATTATCACCGTCTTGCATTTACGCACCGTCACGCGCTGAGACTTTTTCCCCCCAGGAGGTCAACCTCAAAGGCGCCCTCATCATGACTCAGGGATTCCTGAACCTGGTGGGCACAGCCAAGCAGGCCACCATTATCAACATAACGTCCGCCCTGGGCTTCAACGTGGTTCCCGGCAAGGCCAGCTATAGCCTGTCGAAGCTGGCACTGACGCATCTGTCGGGATACATTGCCGTCGAAAACCCCAATGTCCGGGCTGTCAGTCTTCATCCGGGGACGATCTTGACGGACATTACGACTGAGTGGCTTGTGCGCTTTTCCAAGGACACGCCGGAGCTGGCGGGTGGAACAGCGGTTTGGCTGACGACGAAGGAGGCGGCGTTTCTGAATGGGAGATATGTGAGTGCAAACTGGTCGGTGGAGGAGCTGGTGAGGAGGGAGAGGGAGATTGCGGAGGGGGGAAAGCTGGTGGTTAAGCACACGGGAGAGCTTGCTTATTGAAGGACCCCCGACAGGTAGGTGAAGGTTACAGTTGTTGCCAGTAGATGTCGAAAGTAACAGACACAAGATCAACTACAACCGATCGTCACAATTAGAATATGTCTACGATGCTTTTTCCGGAAATTACATCGTGAGTCTTACATATCCTGTCATTCAATGTCCATCTAAGCTGCTGCACAAACGGGGTTATTATAGCGCAGACAGCCAATCAAGACACCCACAGTAAGACACACATACCTCATAGACTCATAAGAGGCCTTGCTAGTAACGTGTCTCCGTGTCACATTGTTCATCTCGACGCGAATGTTTTCATCTCACAACCTCCATCATCGCGAATTTGACATCGTCTCTGGTAACTTTCTGAAGGGGGGAGGATGAGCAAATATCTGGGCTGGGCGCGGGATTTGCTGCAGAGGCAGCTCCCCGGTTATGCCCATTCTCACCTTTCGAGGCCCAACCCGCCATCGTCGACGCCGGGCATCAAGATGAAGAATCTCTTCACTGTCGTGATAGCAGGCACCCAGTATCTGCTGCATCCGCAGAAGCTGGTAAGATTCCCTGTACCAACGGCAAAGCTATCGATTGACTTCTTCAAGGGCACGATTGAAGAGACCATCAATCCAGACGCGCTTATTCCCGTCACTCTCCTCACCACCAGCGAAATCAACAGCGATCTCGAGGGCATCCTCGACCTCTTCAGCACTGTGGACGATGTCTTCCAGCCGGACTTTGGCGGCATCCTGGTAGAGAAGCCTGAAAAGGGCCAGCAAGCGATTGTCGTCAACCGTGATCTAGACACCCGCGGCAGATCGGTGCTTACCTTGCGGTCAACTGGCGCTGAAGATGAAGCTCAGGCTGCTGCTTTTGCAGATCTACCTTCGGGCCCGTACTTTCTGCATGGGCCGAACCTGTATCAGGCGTGGAGATTGTATGACGATGTGCTGGATGCCTTTACCTTTGGGGTGATTCCTAACAGCATCAACGGTTCTGACGATGGGTAAGTCATGATTCCCCCTCCCTCCTAGAATTGCGGGAAAGATGTCTGATGCAGAGTGCAGATTTGAAGCACTCTCTTCTCTCTCGGATGATGGCTCACGCAAATCCATTGCCGTGCCGTCGCGACTTTATCATCCTGCGCCATCCATTCGCAAGCCTCTATCTGGAGTCCGTCTTGCCATCACGGACGCCATATCGCTAAAAGGCGTCCAGACGACCATGTCAAGCCGAGCTTGGACGCAGCTGTACGGGGCTGAGGACCAGGAAACGGCAGAGTTTGCACAGAGACTCATCGACATGGGCGCCATCATTGTAGGAAAGACAAAGTCGTCGCAGCTCGACTCTGGCAGGGAATGGGTGGACGTAGAGGCTCCGTGGAATCCGAGAGGCGACGGATATCAAGGCTCTGGTGGAAGTGCAGCTGGCGCTGGAGCGAGTGTGAGCGGCTATGCATGGATGGAACATGCTGTAGCAGCAGACGGTGAGTGCCCTTGAAGGGTGGTGAATGGGATATTGGTGTGAAGAAGCTGATTCTGATATGTGTTTAGCCTTCGAGGGGGCTCGTGAGCAAGGGCGTCTGCATGGTGTTTACTCCATCAGAGTATCGGCCAGCGCAGCATCGCAGCTAGGGTGGGCAGTTGACTCGAGGTAGGTCATCGGAAACGAAGGATCTTATGTAGCCCGCATCGAGTGACTCGCATTGACTGAACCCATGGCTGCAGGGCTCTCTCTGCGGTTGGCTTGATGAGCCGCGACTTACACGACTTGCTCCGTTTCGCCCATGTAACGCTCAACACGTCCAGCATCGACGTGCCGTTTCCGAAGCGCATCATCTACCTACTGGACTATGCCCCTGCTTCTGAAGACGACCAGTCTCTCGACGACAGCTTCGTCGCTGTGCTGGAAAGGTTCCTCGGGATCAAGGCTGAGAGGGTGCGCATATCGGAGACTTGGGATGCCAACCCGCCCGACGATACAAAGCAAAGCCTCCAAGAGTATATGAAGGAGGTGTGTAAGACTTCTTTGCCAAGTGTTGACTGTGAGTCTGTGACGTGCTGATTTCATGATGCAGGCGCCCTTTAACTCATTTTGCTACGACTTCTATCACGAGTATGCAGATTTCCGAAGTGACTATAAAGAGAAGTATGGTCGGCAGCCGTACATTGAGGCAACGCCCCGGTTTCGATGGTAAGCTTATCACTTGGAATCCCCGATAGCATCTGCAGAGCCTCGAAACCCACAGAGGCATGGCTGCTGTGACTGCTGTATCCTTGAAGCTAGTTATGCAAGGATTCGGTCAGCGGTGAATTCCTAGGCCTGCAGATAAACACGATGCTAACGTCCGGCTGCTGCACGGGGTTATCAGGGGCATCGGCGAGAGTGAATCGGCGCAAGACTACGGACATCACCGCAGGCGGATCGAAGTCTTCAGACAATGGTTCAACGAGAGCATCATGCCGATAGTGGGAGACTCGGAAACCATCGTGGTCGTACCCTTTGGCCCTCCGACTACAGTGCAGTACCGCGATGACCTGCCACCGTGTGTTGATTACCTCTCTTCCCTCTCTCTGGCCCTTTTGTTGTTTATATTGCTTGCAGGATGCAGCGCATGCAGCTAACAATGAGCCAGACCACCCAGCGCCATCGAAGGCCTGGGTCCCGAAGCACTCGCTCCTCTTTTGGGCCTGCCGCATCTTGTCGTTCCCTGTGAGCTGTTTTGTCTCCCCCCCCTTTATCTCTCCTCATGTCGCTGATTGAACAATACCAGTCGCACAGACTCGCTACTATTCACGGGTCACCGACCAAAACGAGGACCGGCCGTTTAGCGGCTCCATCCTGGGGTCTCGCGGAAGCGACATGATGCTTCTCCAGCTGGTCAAGGCGGCGTTTGATCGGGCGGAATGGCGGTCGTCGGTTGATCCTGGGCGCTTGGCGATTCCGCAGGGTTACGAGCCAGAGGTTGACGAGGGCGTATTAGTCTAGCAGAGGGAGAGAGACATGCGAGGCGCCAGAGGCGAGAGACAGAATAACGTGCTCTGTGTCTTGGGTTACGTTACGGACATCGGGTCGTACAGCCGCTTCTTATTGGTAACAAAACAACTGATGTGATATCATATCTCTCGTGCAACCGGCCGACGGCCAGGACACGCACGGGTCTGCAGAGATGCTGTGCGATGCGAGACATGGGCGGCATGTGGGTTCATTTTTCTTTTGGCACGTTCGAGGCGCTCAGCTGGGCTCGGCCGCACGCTTCGGACATGCAACAGGGGCTTCGGATGTCTTGCCTCTGGCTTTTCTTTGGTTCCATGGGGGGACGGGATGCGGGGACGGGCAGCGATTTCCGTGGGTGAGACGGAGCCGAGGCACCGCCAGTGAGCGTGTAAGTGGTTCAGAGGGGGGCGCATAAGGAGCAGTGCTCGGGATCGTGTTTCCTTCACAGGGAGTCACGCTGTTGGGTTGGATGGTTGGTCTTGTCAGTACTATCTTTATGGCCAGTGATGTCTGTGCTTGCAGCCATCACAGCTGAATTTGGTCCTGTTGGAGATTGAGACTCGAGTGACGACGATCATCAATCCAGGTTGCGGAGAAGACAGATTCGCCCCTAGGACTGAGACATTCCGTGCAAATGGATCGCTGCCACGGTTGCACAACAACCCACACGCTGGTCAAATCGACAGCAATTCGCTAAACCCGAGCTGCGGGCGGCTTCCCAAGTCATCGAATCCCTGTCGACGAGTCAAGCGGCAACGAGCTTTAACACGCGAGATGCCTACTGGGATGTTGCATTGCATGTGCATTGGTGCAAGGATGAAGGGGGGAGGTGAAGCCGCAAAGCAAACAAACACCCCTTCGGTCGCTCTCCGTTGTCCGATGACCCTGCTTCTCCTTTGCTCTGCCTTTCGCTGTTCGGAGATTTTCTCAAATGGTCTCTTTTGTTCACGTTTGTCGCTGGTGTTTGGTGTTGGTGTGGGCGAATCGGGGCTGATAGGAGGGGAGATTATGTATGAAAAGAAGACCGGACGGAGTTTCTCGATTGCGATGCGGAGGAGATGTGTTGCATGATAAAAGTGAGGCACTGTCCGGCGCCTTGTATCATGTCACAGGCACACTCTTTCTTGCATCTGGTTGGCGATATCACCAAACCACCATCCCTCACTCACATACATCAACACGCAGCACATACAAATACCACCTCGCCTAGGTATATACACATACCTAGACCGACGTATCGACATACACGTCTGATATTGTACATACTTTACCAGCACCGTCCACCGCAATGGCAGTCGGCTCGACGCGGGAACGATTTCCCAACGACCTCCTCCTCGTCCAGTTCCTCCGCTCGGCAAAGCGGTGCGCCAACCAGCGGCCCTTTATCCACGACCACTTTGGCTTCGACAAGAGCCTGGAGGAGCTCATCGCCGACATACTGCGCATGCGCGACCTCGTGCGCCAGCAATTGCCCACATCTGCGTTTACCGAGCGAGGCATCCTGAAGGAGGAGGCGCCGTACGTCGCTGTGCTGACGAGGAGCGGCTATGAGTTTATTGTTGCCTTTTTTGCGGTGCGAGTACTAGGAGGAGCACCTATTCCTTTTGGTGCGTACCTGTTTTTTCCCTTCCAGAGCGTCATGGTTGTCAAACGTCCATATCAAGCTAATCGTGCACTCTAGGCTCTGGTATCCTCCCCGAAGAGGCCCGATACTTTGTCAACAGCTCCAACGCTTCATGCATCCTCGCCGGCCGAGATTGCTACGAGAAAGCCGAGCGGATAGCCGCTCTCACCAGCGGCTCGCCTGACTCCAAGACGATCGTATCAATACCCATCTCATGCGATGCCGAGCCCGTAAAGGAGATTGATGTCACCATTGACGAGACGCTTACGATGGATCCTCGAGGGCCCGGGCTGGTCATCTTCACATCTGGCACAACAGGACCTCCCAAGGGCGCCGTCTTGCCTCGGATCTGCATCGTCTTCCAGCCGGATGCCCCTGCAAACTGTCAGACTGTCTGCTTCCGTCCGCCGCACTGGCTGGGCGGCGCAATCAGCCTCATCGAACCCATGCTCACGGGCAAGCAGCTGCACATCCTGAGAGAGAGAGCCGGCGTGGAGAAGATATGGAAAGTGATTCGTGACAACCGCATCACAGGAACGGGATTCACGCCCGGAGTCTTGCGCGAGATGAAGGAGTGGCTGGAGGTTCAGAGCGAGGATGAGCAGGAAGAGTACATCAAGGCGTTCAAGAACATTGGCATCATCCACTGCGCTGGAGCCATGGTGTCGCCCTCGGTGCTGAGGTTTTGGAAGAGCAGGACTGGATTGGTGTTTAACAATGTGTATGGGTCAACGGAAGTTGGAGGACTGGCGACATTCAAGATCCTTGATGGCACACAACGTTCGGTATGTGCTCTGAAGCTGCTCTGCTGGGAGCATGTATGAGAGGGCTAACATGATGGAATGGACAGGATGCTATTGGTGTAGCATTTCCGGGCATCAAAGTCAAGCTGACGGCGGGCGATCACGGCGAGATTTGCGTCAAGAGCCCATTCATGCTGACACAGTGAGTATTTCTCAAGTCGAGTATGACGATTGAGGAAAGGATAAGGTGCTAACAAGGCTCTCTAAGCTATATTGGCGATGAAGAAATGACAAGGGCCGCCTTTGACGACGAGGGGTATTTCAAGACCGGGGATTTCGCCCAGCTCAGGGACGGGGAATACATCTTCTCAGGCCGCGCCAACACTGACTGTACGCTTCCTCCCCTTTCTCTACTTTTCTATACTATCTTCCGTCCGTTACCGTGCTGCTTGATTCCTAGTACTGATTAGCATCTCCAGATATCTTGTTCCGCCACTACCGCATACCCAGCGTCCAGGTCGAGGTCGCACTTACAGCTCTCCCCTACGTAACCGAAGCCTGCGTCCTCGGCGTCCCCGACCACGAAGCAAAACAAATCTGCGCCGCCGTCGTCCGCCTCACTCGCGACCAGGAGGAACTGCAGGGCCGAAACAGCGCGCACAGGATCGACCTCGCCCGCCTGCGGACCGACATGAACGAGACGCTGCCCAAGTGGATGCTCCCCGTGCTGGTCAAGGTCCTCGAGCCGGGTGAGGAGATGCCGCAGACGGTGTCGCAGAAGCCCATCAAGAAGCAGATTATCAAGGCATGCTTTGGCGTGGAGGAGTCGTGGTCCGCGGAGAATGAGGTGCCGGGGGTTGAGTACTGGGGGAGCATGCCTTCGCCGGAGGAGGCGGACACGAAGCCCTGGGACTGGCAGGGCTTGCAGCGGGCTGATTTCAAGGCGGAGGCGTGAATATGAAGGCCTCATTGAGAGGCAGAATGCCTGATCATGGTCCAGCCATGGATGGGGGTAAAAATGGGCATGATCTATTGCAGCGGAAAATGCTGCCAGATGGTGTACGTTATCGATGGCGTGTTGGGTAGTTTACATTCTGTGCTGGTCAGCTTCATCGTCAGATAGATGCCTTGTCTCTTGGATTGATGGACGACGATACGATGACATGATGATGAACATCTCATACCTGGACGTGCAACTCAAACGCGCTTGTTCGAGGGGTTTCCTTCATCCGTTCTTTGTTGTCTCTCTCTGGTTTATTCGTCAAACTCCGTTTGCTTATAGCTTGTTGTTCTTGTCAGTTCTCCTCTTCGCCTTCTGCTCCCAGTCCCACGTCTCGTGTCTCTCGCGGGTGGACAGCCACCGGTTCATGGAAAAACTGGACGAGCCATTTCCGGACCTGTGTCTTGTCATCAGCAACCTAGAACCATACTAAGTCTTTGGCTTGGAAGTCTACCTCGGTGCTCCTTGAGTCTGCCTGTTAGCAGAGTGACCGCCTGCTCCCTGCTTCGGGTCTCTATTCGAAGGAGGCTGTCCAGGCATCGTGGCTACAAAGTGCAAATGATGTTTTGTACGGGCTCTTTGGAAACAGTTGTTGTACAACGTCTGAAACAAAATGTCGAAAGTTCCTAGGCGCCGGGAGTGAATGTCAATTTTATACTCGAGCTTTTACAATTACTATTCCGACTGTTTCACAGGCAGTCAACGTCACCGATCTATCTGATATGATCTGGAACGGGCCTTGATTAGAGGTGGGTGAGGCCTCTCTCATTTGAGTCACAACATTGGGGTTCCTATGAGCATTTCATTTAAGCAAGGGCAGGTGATACGGTCCAGATTTCCTTTGATGGAGAAACATGGCTTTTTTGTCGTGCCAATGGAGTTGTAGATAGAGCTTAAAAGGAACGTCCAAGCGCGGCGCAGCGTGGCACAGCTGTTTGCTACTCCTGGCTTGTAATGTGAGAGAGTCGAGAAAAACAGGGCTTACAGTCTCAAAACCCAGCTGTTCCGTTTTCTATTCAGTCAAATTGGGGCTTATACCTGCTGTCCTAGACTATTGGAACAAATTCGGGGGGGCTCGGTGACGAGGTGAACGAGCGGTGAGAAAGCTCTATTTCGCAGGATCGAATCACCTGGTGTTTTTCTTATGCCAGAGAAGCCTGAAATCGACGAACCACGCGATGGTCATATATGACGGCTAGAAGGAGTGGATGCTGTGGCTTTTGACACAGCCCCCATAGTCTACCAATGTGCCTACCGGGAATAAGCCTGCCTTTACCGCAAGGCACGACGCCGGTTATCGATCACGAAACTGCGACATGGTATCGGAAAATGGAAGGACAAGATGATGGGATTATGTTTTATCTACTAGGGCACATATTCAGACATTCAACTCATCAGCCACACTTGGAGGCCTGGATTGATCGACCTCGAACGCGGTGAGAAACGGGGCTTGGCCAGGCTGACCGAGAGACTTACACCGGGGCATTCAGGCAGGCAGTTATAACAGTAGTTGAGACGCCGTTGTTGCCTCATTTCCAGAATGACGACTGGTGCCTTGGACGGCCTGTGGATGAGGAGAAAGTGACTCTCTTACATTATATCTGCTTAATCTGGGAATGCCGTCTGTTATATAGTGGACATCGCTGTGGTTGGCCTTACACTATCAAGTGAGGATGCTTGAAGATGGACGTGTAAAAGGCCAGATTATCGTCAGGTAGCTTGGCTAACAACTTGAGCATCGGAGGTAAGAAAGGCGAGCATTTCTCGAGGACCGCCCTACTCACTTTGTTTGCAGCAGTGACCTTGTATGTATTGTCGCCTTCATACACCCTATAAAGCCATTTAGCGCATAGCACCATACAGTGATGCTACCTTTGTTCGCACTATCCGAAGCGGTGGTCACAACAGCCTGTGAGAACAAGAGTGCCGCCTCTCGCCACACTTGACCATGTGTTTCTGATGTGGCGGAATAGCCCGCGAGGCTCTAGCACGAGACTTGGACCATGCACGTCTGTCTCCCAACTACATAATGCGAATCAGTCCGTCACAGTTGATGGCATGATCTGATGTTGGCGCTCTCAGCGGCCACTTTGGCATTCGATGACCTGAAGCTCCTCTATAATGCCAGCTGCAACCCATCGAGGTGAGCTTATCCGCGGCTGGCGGCCTGGTGGTGAGGGGTGTAGGCTCGAATCGCAGGGTGGGCACTTGTTGTTTTTTTCCTCCTTTTTTCTCCTTCTGAAATTTCGTGATCAAACCCGGCCACTAAGGACCTACGGGCAGGATGAGTGCAACCTAGATAGCAAAGACGGTCAATCGTCCTACGGGAGGGATCTCGGCCTTGAGGTCCGCCTCTCCCAGGATCCGGGCCGCATAAGTGTTCAGAAGAGAACCAAAACAGTAGGTTGGTACATTCCGAGGTAACGTCAAATCTAGAGTGGGATTGAAGTAAGTATTTCTTGAGAAATAGGAGTCAAATTGATATTCTGACCGCATATAGACATTGTGAATATCGTCGCGGTAGTATGCCATATCTCTCGTTAGGCGCAGTGGTATCATAATCATCCCGCTATGCACTGACATTGACACGCTGAACATCGACAGAGACCGCCCAAACGCATGAACAGAACAAGACTCGGGGCTCTTTAATCAAGGCTGGCTATATCGGCCATGTGTAGTCGGTTTGAAGCTCTGATGTTGTTATCCATCTGGCGCAGGGTGTCCAGCACTTGGTCGATAATCTGTCCTCGAGCTATTCCATTCTTCGCCTTTGATTCTGCTTGGTTCTGAGGGCCTATTGTCAGTTGTGGAATACCCTCCGCAGGTGGTATGGCGTCGGAAGGCAGTTGAAACTGCCCTATGCTCTGTTTCAGGGTCTCTAGACTTCCTGAAATCGGGGCCCCTTCAGGATACGGCACTGCACTGAAATTCTCCAAGTCGGGAGGCTCAAAAGCCACTTCTCCGGACGACCATAGCGGCTGAAAAACATCGAAAACTTGCTGCGTCGGTACAGGTTGGAATATTGAGGGCTCGGATTGGCAGTCTGGTACATTGAGCCAAGGATCTAACGAAGCGGCTTCGCCCCGGGACGTGACTGGGAACAGAAATTCCTCAGCAGTAGCAGCAATGTCCATCATCCGAGGCTCTATGCACGAACCGGGGTTGCTTTGCTGCAGCATGGGGAATTCGGCGGCTTGTAGAGGGAGAAATGCGTCCTGAATCGTGCTCGACTGCTCCTCGGCGTGGCTGGGCTCAGGGTCGTCGGCCGCGATCGAGGTCGGGACAGCCCAGCCGTGCGTCAACTTTTGCCATTAGAAGCGGATTGCGGACAAACATGAGGATCAGAACCTGCGGCCACCTACCTTTCTCGCCTTTAACGCTGGTTGCTGTGCTTCTGAGCTTCCGGCTGGTGTGAGGACGAAGCTGGGCAGTGACATGATGGCGAAGTCTGCGTGCTACTTTAATCTCTCACATGCCCCGACGGAAAAGTGTCCACTTATCAGCAATAAATATGCCCTTCGGCGAAATAGATATAAAGCTAGCAAGCAACTGCAGCCGTGGTTGTCAAGCCAATGGCACGAACCGGAGGGACCTCCGTGACAGGGGCAGAGCGTCCGAAGCTTTAATCCGCGATATCGTGGTCTCGGCGGGCATTAAAGTCGCCCAGCTTCGCCCAATGGCACCGTGATCCATTCATTCCCGTGTTCTAGCCTCTGATACATCCCGCGAATCCGCCTCCCTTGCCACAGACTAAGATATATGAGACCCTGACGCTACGGCGTGGCACACCAATGCCCCCTAACATCTTTGTAAGATTTCCACTACGTTTCTGTGCCACCATTCTCTTACTCTCTGTCATTTTATTCGAGAGGTTTGCTGTTGATGTTCGTCGGCAATAGTCTGGGACATTCACAGAACCACATCTTGACTTTCCCACTTCCCCTTTCCCTGCCGCGGCTGATGCTCTTGTCTCGAGTCATGGCGGGAGGAAACGGACAAATACATGCAGGACTTTAGGTTTGCGGGGAAAACGTCGTTAAACTTGTCCTACAGGCATGATCTACACCCGTTTGTCGATGTACGTACCAGGTGTGCGTGTGCGTGAGGGAACTCTATGGCATAGCGACGGCTCACGATGATACGGTTTTATGGCCACGGCGTCGACGCTGAGACGTAGTTTGTGGCCACGATGGCAAAGGAGCCACAGATATCTATGGAATAGCTAGATCTAACGGGCTTTCCCCTTGGGCCCAATCATGAGCGGCAGTTGAGAGCGTAATGGGTTCGACCGCTCATGGTGAATCTGCGATCGCCACCCTTAAGCACAGAACTCTACATACATACTTTCCCTTGCATGAGGAGGTGGAATCGCAAGCCTGTCTATCATGTTCCTTGCTGATCTGATTTAGGTTCTAAGTTGATTTTGATACCCATTTTGCTCAATTTTCTTCCTAGTCCCAGACCCGGTTGCTGTCAGTTCCTCGCCCTGGACTATTTCGGTGGCGCACACAAGCAACATCGCCACCAGGTTCGCACCATGAAAGCTTCCAGGTTGAGGCAACCAATTTCAAAATTTCTCCATGCGTGAAACAACAACGGCATGTCGATTGTTTACCCTTCTCACCTTAGTCTCTCTTCCAACCTGGGCGGCCAGCCAATGTAGCAAGACTAGGAGGCCGTACCGTAAGAATTTGCAGAAACTTCACGCCTTACTGCCGCTTGCTGCAGATGATCATCCACAGGCAAGTCCTTAAAGTCTAACTAAACCCTACATCACGTACCCGTGACATCACCGGATGTTGCTCCGGAAGCCACCTGATTGGCTGCTGGGAGACATGTCCGTCGCCGGCCCCTCCTTGTCCGGAACTATTGAAGGAGAGTATGGCGAAGTCGACGACCTTTGCACAGTATTTTTGGACCGCGGCAACGCGGACAGAAATCGCCACGCAACTGCTAGTATCAAGAAGCTCAAGGAAGAGGGGGAACTGACTTGGCACATGCCTGCGGAGCTCAGCTTTTAGGCGAGTGCTTGAGCTGGCGATATGAGTTGACAGAAAGATCCGGACATCCACCACCTCTGAGTATCTCCAACTAGATGCTGTCATCGCGTCGTATCCAAGCTGCCGTCCTGACACATGTCTGAGCAGAGATGAAGAAGCGATACCCACCGCTCCTCCCGTCTGTCCCTGGACAGCCATCAGGCCCGGCAGAGCCTTCGTCGAGCTCGCAGCAGCTCAAGCGACGTCGCACCGGCGTTTCGGTCGCCTGCAATGCTTGTCGTCGGAAGAAAATCCGGGTAACTTCCACCTGAAGGTTGCTTGGGAGCTCAGTCCCTGACGCATGGAGAGCTCTCATCCTAATGTTTAGACGTTAATGCTCAATGATAGTGCGATGGCCTGCGGCCAACGTGTTCCACATGTCGGGAGCTTGCCGTCCGGTGTACATACCGCGACGACTACAAGCTGACCCCGGAGGCGCAGGGTCTCCTTGTCGAGGTGATGCGTCTCCTCAACAGCCTGCCGGAGCGAGAGGCGATTCGCATGCTGCGGTATCTGAAGAGCGAGACCGACGCGGCAGTGATTCTGTCCACGCTACGAGGGGGGATATCTGCGATCCATCAGCCGTCGGAGCTCCGTATTGCCGTGGCGACAATGGACAATTCCTTTCATGCCCTCCAGCTTGGATCACAGAATCCAGTTGCATACCCATATCTGCCTCCGCTTCAACCGCAGGCTTTGCCGAGGGATGACTTTCGGCGGCTCACTACGATGGGAAGCAAGCCTTCGTCTCCCTATTCTCCTTCTCGACGGATGCTCTGGGACCGCGATCCCACCGAGTCCCAGGCACCGCTCTGCGATGAACGGCTGCATCAGCTGGATATCAGTCACTGGACCAATGCTCCGATCAACAACGAGTCGGCCGCCCGTGCCATCTCCCTGTATCTGGAGACGGATCATCCGCTGCTGGGCTTCTTCGAGCCCAACCTGTTCGTATCGGACCTGATCAACCACAAACATGACTACTGCTCCCCAATGCTGGTCAACTCGCTGCTGTATTGGGCCTGCGTGAATAATGCCCGTGCCGTCTGGTATCGAATCCACCGCAGCTGACTTGATTGAAAGCAAATGTATAGCGCCGTCGACCCAGGCATCGATGCTCTCGCAGCCTACTTCTGCGCCGAGGCCGAGACGATATGGAGGACGGAACGAGAGTCTGACTCGCTTCTCAACCTGGCCTCCGCCCTCTTCCTAGGCCTGGGCTACCTCGGCCAAGGAAGAGACCATGCTGTGCTGTCGTACACTTCGCAGGCTACCAAGATGGCCACCAGGCTGGGCCTCTTTGGCGTCGACGAACACAGTCGTGCGAAGCCCAGCATCGACAAGCTGTCCAAAGAGGCAGCCAGTGCGTATATGTACGCCGCATGGGGATCATTCAACTGGATCAGGTGGGTGCCTCTTTTCCCCTTGTTTCTTGCGTAGACATCGAGAAGGGTTCGTCGTGTGCTCACGGAACTCGTCCCTTTCCAACGTGTGCAGTCTCATGTCGCTCTTCTACCGCCAACCGGGAATATTGGGCCCTCGGAGCCCCCCGAGCTTGCCCATACCCGGCATGGAGGAGGACATCGAGGCCGCCTCGTCAGCCACAAGCCCTGGGTCTCCTCGCAGGGAAGGACCCGAGCCCGAGCCTCAGTCGCGGTACATGGGAGGCGTATTTCCCTACCTGTGCCAGTTCTGGAGCATCATGTATGAGGTCAGTCTAGCGTATGACGACAGCCAATCGTCTCTGGATAGCCAAGGGACCTTGTCCTTCGCGGAGCATAAGTTCCGCCAGCTGCTCGCTTGGAGCAACACTCTCCCGTCACGCCTCCTCCGAGCCAACCAGAACCCGCATTATGTCCAAGTTCTTCAGTAAGTTTCCTCTGCTCCGTCCCTGTCCCATCTTTGACTCGCAATGGTTCGTCTTCCCGCTCTGGGCCGGTGTTGCTTAACACGTGGGTCTCTCTAGCATATGGTTCCATACTGCCGTTCTCTGCCTCTTCAGGCCGTGCATCCAGGAGTTTGGTGTTGCTCGACTTCGAACGATGGTTAGGAGCATCAGCTCCCCGGATATTGTGTATGCCGCTTCGGTCGCGCAGCTGAAAGACCTCGTCCTCAATTTCAGACTCCATTTCGCCTCCTCTACGTACACCGTGCTGTGGCATACAGCCTTGATCTACATTACTAACGAGCTCCTCACCGGCCCCAAGGACAATGACTGGTTCTTCTACTTTTTGATATGCGTGTACGGCTATGAACGTCTGAGCCGGTCCTGGCGGGTGACCACGTCCATTTCCAGAGCCCTGTTGTCAATGGCTCTACGAAAGGGGGGCATAACCAGTACCACAGCCCGGACAATCCTGAAAGATCTTGGACCGGACGACTTTCGCAAAAAGTACGGCGAGATCCGGGCCACATTCATGGCAGACTTGGACATGGCCGAGGAGGATCCCAGCAATGCCACTGTTGAGAGGCAGGCTGAGGACTTTGAGCACAATGCCATGCTGCGAGACTATACAAATATACTAGACGCGGACGAGGCGGCATGATACGAGGAAGATGCACAAGCGGTATATATGGCGATATCTCGAGCGATTGCATCCTCTACTGCTCGAGTTTGGTATCTAGACAGTGTGGTACGCGTCTGCCGCTGGACCATAAAGCACATCAGTTGGTAGACATGTGTAATGACTAAAGAAGATATCCGCTTGATAGCGAGTTCGGAGTTGCTGCTTTTAGAGCTACTTCTAGGAGACATACAAGCAATGCCACAAAAAGGCGGAAAGACGTTGCATATCACAGCTGAATTTGTGAGCCATAATGGTTTGCATGGGTACGGACGACAATGAGGCTCGCTTGTTTGCCTGTGTTATGAGTATAAAACAACGTTGAGCCATATTCCAGGATCTGGAGACTGACTACATTGAGCAGCGATTTTCCAACTATGTGAGCATCGATGTCTCTTCCATACATTCAGTGAGCTTGGCCCACTATGGACTGATCTCGTCATGATTCATACATGTAAGCTGATGGCATACATACAAATGACCCAGGTGATCGACAATGCGACATACTCTAGTAGTACATAGTGGTTGGCAGGAAGGGTAAACCTCGCTTTGTGGGAGGTGGTAGGTGCTGGAAAGGCTGCTTGACAGACATCAAATCCACTGCTTGGTGATGGTAGAGCTGACAACGAGCTCCGGGTTTAAGCGTTGTGCGACAGACATCAATGTATGCCTGGAGGTTTCTGCACGTACCAAGCCTATACGACGATTTACTATGAGCTTCCACTAGGTACTATAGGATGATCAATCTCGAGGATCAAGTAAATAGAGGGAACCCGGATCGTCTGTGCTTTTGTTCTACCCCGAATGCACTATGCTACCTGGTACACTCACAAGACGGTGATGCCAGTAAATGCCCGATAGTCGTCCGCATAAACGACCGTCTTGTTCCTCCCATCCAGGCCGCACTGGTAGATGCGGCCACCGAGATCGGTCACGTAGAGATGGTGATTCTTGGAGTCCAGCTTCAAGCCAATGCCCTCCTTGAAATGCCTGCTCAACACCTCATGGCCGCCCGATGAGGCAGTCTTTGCCACTAGCCCAGTCTTATCCAACTGCAGCCTGTTGAGAGAATTGCCAAAAGGAATTTCGCCGCGATCAGTCCAATACAGAGTGTAAGTCTCCTCGTTTATTTCGAGGTCCACTGGTTCGGGGAGGCCCTCCGCGAGGCAGTGGACATCGGATCTCGATTGCACCGACTGATGTGCGGGCATTTTGATATTGGCGCAGAATATGCGTCCCTTGTTGCCCTTTGACGGCCCCTTTTGACTCCAGTAAAACTTGCCCAGTTTTGGAGAAACGGCGATGCCAACACACCAGTTCGTGGCCTCCCGCATGTCTGTCTCATTTTCTGAGTTGCCGTTCTGGATCAAGCGCTCTAGATCAGAGCCATCAAAGTTGCACCGGAATACAGAAAGGCCCTCGCGATCACAAAAGTAGATCTTCTTGCTCCCGCTCTCCACAACCAGCTGCTTGGGTGTGTTGATCGTTCCAGGAGGGATAAGGGTGCGAACATTTGTCCCATCGAGGTTGGCGGAGCAAACAGACCCGTCAGGCTTTCCAGGATAACCCATGTTGGTCCAAAACATACGGCCGCTTGAATGGTCGATATCGATGCCGTCAGGCAAAGGCTGCTTATCAACGAGAACCTTGGGAGGCTTTCCGTCCAGGCCGAACTGCAGAATTTGGCCCGAGTTCATCGTTGGCTCTGCAGCGGATAGACCAACATCCAGGGCAAGAAGTTTTGGCTCGCTCGAGACACCGTTTTTGGCTGCCGATTGGGTTGCAGAAGGAGGATAGAGGCCTCCTTTTGCACATTTGGCGCCTAATTTGCCCTGGTCCAAGTAGTTCTTCCTCAGGAAGTCTACCGTTTTCTCCGGGGACAAGCCAAGCTCTTCGACGTAATGCTCCTCGATGAAGGCCACCGTATCGAGGCCAACCACTGATGCTCGTTAGTTAAGACTGTCCATCCCTTTCTCCTATAGTTTGGGGACTTGGGGGGACGCTTACAGTCCATAGTCAAGCAAGGCGACAGACGACTGTTAGCAAACATCTCCTTCCACAACGCATCGATTTCCTCAGGCACAGACACTCCTTCGGCAAGGATGGTCAAGGTCTCTCGTTTGATAGCAGCCCATAAACGATTGATGATGAGGCCTGTAGATTCTTTCCTCGCAACATATGGCATCAATCCCGCTTCTTGTAGCCGTTCGACCAGGAATGGGATGACTGCCTCTGTCGTGTAGCCACTTGCCATGACCTCGATCAACATGCAGTCAGGGGGCCTAAAATAATGTGTGTTCAAGACCTGAGACTTTCTCGTGCGAGAAATCTTGCTAATCAGCTCGGAAGACTTGTATGAAGACGAGTTTGTTGCAAGAATGCAGTCAGCAGGCGCAAGGGCGTCCAGCTCGGCAAAGACGTCAATCTTTAGCTCGAGCTTCTCTGGGACGCATTCTATGACCATCCAAGCATCTGCGACAGCGGCTTTCATGTCTTCAACAGCCATTACTCTGCCAGAAGCCTTGCCAGTCTTTTGGGCGTACAAGGCCACATTCTCGTCGACGTAGGCAACACCGTCCTCACGTTGATGTTTGCTGGGATCCCAGATCTTGACTGTGTATCCTGTCGATGCCCATACGCAAGCTGTTGAGTTTACTGTTAATTCTCGCCGCCTCTCACATACACGGCGTTGATACTGACCTATTCTACGCCCGAGGACACCGGCGCCGAAAACAGCAACAGGCCGATTGCGATAGTTGAGAGGAGGCTGCCACGCTATGACCATTGTGCCGTGCACTTTATGACGAGCTCTGATATGGTTTTTGGTTCTCCAAGTGACGATGTTTGGGTCATCGATCAGGCAAGGGCTGACAATGCATAGACTCACTCAGGATTTATACCTTTCCTTAGTATGACACTCATTATAGCATTAGCAACTCACCTTCTACGTCAACACACCCGTAACACATTAGATTTCACCTGTATCGCAAGGGAAGTGACTATTTCCGCCAACTCGGCTCTTACTTCCGCTACGTCTCTCGTCATCCCGCCACATAAGACTCCCGAGGTTGTTCATCACCAAAGCTTGCCGCGGCTCTGGGGGCGCTGCCACTGTCGGACGTGATACGTTTAGTGTCCCGGAGCTGACACGTCAAAGTACAATCTGAAGAACTGTGTGCTAGCCGTCCATTCTATGAGGACAGTTGGCTGTGTTCCTAAGTGCGAGTTTTGTTCGTTTCTATTATTTGAGTGTATCAGCAGCATCGACCAGCTGAGTCGTGATTGGCTGTGGACTAGGTGACGGCTCGCTGACCAAGTCCAGGTCTACATGTATCGTTGTGGTAAGCCTTAGTACTTCCGTGATCGGATTATGCGTCTTCGCTTTTCGTTCGCGGACGATTTTTTTGCCGAGAGAGAAAACGTAAATTGCTTGTCCCTTAGTGAACTTATAGGCCAGGTAACGGACCAATACGGAAGATGCACATCTTGAACTCAAGGATCTGTCGAAAGCTTAGAGCATATTCTGGTTTCGTTATTCACTTGTTCAACTCAGTGTGATAGTGAGAGCCATCGATACTAGACTCTATACGAGCAATAAAGGTTAGAGAGCAAAGTGTTGGACAATGCGAAGGGTAAGGCAAACGATCGTATATACAGCGCCGAGAACTCCAACAACCCCATCTCGCTCATCCAAGCCATCCAACAGCAACATCTACTCTATACTCTCTAAAACTTAATCGTTGGCAAATCTGACATGTGCACCTTGGCCCCCCCATACGGCACAAGCCTGTACGACTTCCTGCTCCCGACGCACGTCCTCTGCAGCGGCGGCACATCCGGCGTCACGCCAAGATACAGCGGCCAGTCAATCTCGCAGCCGTCGACAGTCATGTAATTCGGCGGCGCGCCCTGCTCAAAGATGGGATCGGGAAGAGTCGCGGAGTCGCTGACGCCGTGGTATTGCAGGGTCGAGGGATCAATGGCCACGTTCCATGGCTTCGTGCTGTTGACATAGTAATCCCGCAGCTCTGCAAAGGGTAGTCCGGAGATTCCAGGGCCTCTGGGGTCGTAGTACGCGTGCGGAAGAGACGAAGTCTGCGAGAAGCCCACGTCCAGCGCGTAGAGCAGGTTGCCGTAAAACACAGCGACGCTATTGTTGGGCCGGTCCTCGGTCCTCACGCCCGCAACGATAACATACGTGATTGTCGTCTTGCCGGGGTTCACAGAGATGCTGGTCATGCCCGTTGTCGGGTCGGCGTCGGGGGTCAGGCGGGACGTGGACGCGCCAGACTGAGACAAGGTGGACATCTTGCTGTCTGACCACTCGGGCATGCGCAGATACAGCGTAAACGGCCTGTCCGCAGTCACCGTATAGCGAAGCACGTTGCTGAAGGGATAGTTTGTCTCGCACTCGACCGTGACTGCGCCTCCATTCACCACGGTCGACACCGTCGAGGGACTCAGCAGGGCGTGAGCCAGGCCGCCGTTGTACATGACCCAGCTGTTGGAGACAAACTTGGGATATCCCTGGGGATGGTTCACCGTGCAGCAGGGATACAGCGGCTCCATGCCAAATGTCGTGGCCACGCCGCTGTTTGCCGTCGTAAAGACTTGCGGCACGCTGCCGTCGGGGGCGATAGTGCTCAGGGCAAACGGCTGGTTGGGCTGATCCATGTACTGGTGCGCCCACTTGTCGCCCGTCAACATCACAGGGAACGCGTTGAAGATGGTCCTCTCGGCTCGATCCGCGTACGAGTTGTTGCCGAGGACTTGGTACATGTAGGCCAGGGAGTAGCTTGTCTCAACGGCGGTGCAGAGCTCGCTGCCGATGTAGGAGGACAGGTCGCGCTCCCACTCGTCGGCGAGGACGGATCCAGAGGCCGAGCCGTGGTACTGAAAGGTCCAGTCGACGGCGTTTTGGCTCTTGACGAGCATCTCTTCGTCTCCGGTCATTCTGTATATGACAGATGATGCTTTCAGGCCTGTTACATGTTGTCAGCTTCAGACTCCACGTTTCTCTGCATGTAATTATCGAGGCACAACGTACCTTGACCAACGTTGACGCCGTGGATATACGGAATGATGGACGAGTCACTCGGGTTTGCAACCTCCTGAAATACCCCCTTCGTATACCAGTCCGCCCACTTGTAGTTCGTCTGGGCGTAGAACAGGTTCATATTGTCCCACAGCAGCGAATCCTGGTCCGACGGGTACTTTTCCAGCAGCCACTGGATCGTGATGATGAGATCGTGCACCCTTGCCTGCCCCCAAGTGCAGTCCACGGAACTGACGCAGTTTGCGTGTCCCTGGCTGTTGTTATGCAGCATCTTGTTCGCCAGCGTCATGAACCGACGCAGCGCCGTAACGACTCGATCCTCCCACGAGCTATCTGCCTCAACCAACTGCGTCAAGCCCATAAAGAACGGCGTGCGAGCCCAAAAGTTGCGCGAGTCGCCCACCTCGGGCCCAATCCATCCATCAGGGGCCTGGAAATCCAGGACGGTATCGGCAACCTCCTGGATCTGCGCCTTGAGCCTCTCATCGTCGAGCTGGTACGCCAGCGGCACCAGCCCGTTGAACCAGTACGGCAGCGCCTCGTTGAGCGAGCTGTACTCGGAGCCGCCCTTGCCCGGCGTGTTGAGCCAGCTGGACTGGTTGACGTAGACGTAAAAGTCGTGCTCGTGGCCGGCCTCGCCGTTTGCCATGGCCGTCATCTCGCCGAGCAGCCAGCCGGTGGGCTTGACCGAGCCGAGCGGCAAGGGGGAGAATGCCCATGGCCGGACTGTGTGAAGCAATGAGTAAACAGGGTGAGATGAGTGACAAGCAAACTAAGAGGCTCACGCGTTGAGGTGGCAGCACCGGCAAGCGGTATCTGTGCTACTGCTAAAGCAAAAGTCAACTTCTTGTTCAACATGGTTAATCGATCTTTTTTCCCGTCCGGATATGACCAGAACGAAAAAAAATAAGAAATGATGATAAACAAAAAGAAGTCAAGGGGGATCGGCTGTGTGTCCTTACAGTCCCATCCGGAATGCATCGTCGTCTCTCTCATATCCCTTGTACGTATTTATGGTCCTCTGCGCTTCTCCCTCGCGTTATACACATCCGCTGCGACTTTCCTTTCGCTCCTGTGACTTTCTTTCTCGCTTCCTGCTGCTCTTCCTGCTGTTGCAATCTATTTTCCCGCCCCTCCACTTACACATACAACATCAAGAGACAGCGGTCCGGCGCGCTTTTGGATCCTTTCTCGGCTCTTTCTCGCCCTCGCTTCGTCGCCCTCCGCTTGGCGTCAATCACGATCGAATCTTGATGTTCCTCTCCGTCAGCAGGCCGCGTCCCCGTGACAACTCGCAACGATCGCAGGCCGCCCGGTTGAGCCGCAAGGCGTTGATTGGCAACGAGGCTCGAGATGTGAAGGGACGGTGGTGACATCGTGTCTCCCTGTGCAACTTGTTCGCGGGGTTTCTCTGGGGCCCTTGAGACGCCGTTCGGGAGCCTAAAAAGCAGGGAGGCTGGGCGCGGAGAGTGAGGGGCCAATAGCGGGAGTCGGCGGTTCCATGGAAGGCATCGACGTGCTCGAGTCAAGTGCTCAAAAGCGGTTCGATCTCGGGGTCTTTGACGATCTGCAGAGGGCAGGGCATCATCATCACATGGCGAACAATGAGATGTTACCCTTTTACAGGCAGTCGGGGAGAAGCTAGCTTATAAGGCAGATGCAGCAGCAGTAGTAGCCTTCGGGGTGCAGCAGGGCATGTATCACCACCATCAACATTAAGGGCTGCATGGACACAGCAGCTGACGAATAGTGGCATTTTTGTTCTACCAGTCCCCAGATTCTAGAAGCGACAAGCCTCGCAGACTTGTGCCTCGTTTTCGGCGGTAGTACTAGCAGAAACGAACCCAAAGACGATGCCGGCACTTCTCGAGGTTCCATCTCCAAGCAGATCATGCGCCATCAACGGCGAGACGCCCTTTTGGACGCTCCTCCCGCAATGCTACGTCATGTCATTCCTATCCCTCGCGAAGAACTAATGTACATATGTATAGCTACCTTGAGCTTTCAGACTGAGAATGGTTTTGTACAGATACTTGTCGTCTCGCCAGATACAATACGAGGAAAGGTTGCAGGTTGCAGATGTGCCTTTTCGGAGGGCTGCTTATTATTGCATCAAGCCCATCCCAACAACAGAATAGTAGCACCCCATCACCATCTCCATCACCAAAGTCTCCCCCATACGCCAAGCACCGCACGAGCTTGCGCCGAAAGAGACAAAGACGCGGGGAAAGCGGAGCATGGCATGTGCATGGAGCCGAAAGGAACGGCTAGCCGAGCAGCACGACTGCTAGCAGCAATAAGCATTCAACGTAGCATCACCAACAAACAGCATCGGACGCGAGAAGAGGGGGCCCGCTTACATGTTGCCCTACGGACAGTGCCAGTCATTCGCACGAAGAAGCTTGAAGCCATCGAATCTCACATTCACCCAACCATGAAGCATCAACAAGTCATCAAAGCACGCAGAAGCAAAGAGTCCATCTCGTCCCTCGTTGGTGCAGCTTACCTAGTAGTAGGCAGGTATGCTCAGGCTCTGCTCCCTGTTACGCTCCATCCCGGAGCTGCCGTCTTCATTCGGCAGACTCGCTTCACGTTGTAACCTGTCATAATCCCCCTCTTTCGGAACTATTTCGTAAGGGTCCCAACATCGTGCTGGACCAACGTGGTTTGTTCCTCCCATATTCTCACTTGAGACATAGTAATACTATCGAGGAGCTCGTAAACAAGAG